TAGTAGAATCGAGGTGGAGTCCTCAAAAGTGAATGTAGGCCAAAGAAGTTTACTAAAACCATTCTAAAATTTAGTATCAACTATGTTTTGTCGCTTTTATATATATATATATTAATATAGATACATAATTAAGATATTAATAGATAAAATTTTATTTTATACTTAATCTAAAGAAAAAAAATTAAAATCAATTCTCTTGAATTATCTAGCCATCTAGGGACCAACAAGAGCGAGAAGGGGGTGGGGCCAAATCAATGACCTACTTGGTGGAAAAATATTGTTTACTATGCATTTCCAAGGTCATGATTCTTATATAGTTGCTGGATTTTCTGACTTGTTGCCCCATTTACAAATTAGCACTGCTTCAACTACTCTCATGATAAATGTGGGGAAGGAAGAAGGGACTCCACCATCAGGGGGCCATTTCTCCACTCCCCATTGCTTCCTCTTCCTCAACTTCTGGCTCTTCTGGCTTGGTTTCATCACTAAGAGATCTATGACTTCCACTTGTGTAATTCACTGTCTTCCCTTGTTGGAAGATGGTCAAAAGAAGAAGAAGAACCATTGAGGTAGTGGTTCAATAGTACATTATACATTTGTCCTTTGAAGAAGCCCTTTAGTAAACTTACCCTTTCTCTTTCTCCCAAGTCAATGGAGAGAGAAACAACATGGCCTTTCTGAGCATGTTTCATAATATTATGCAAAGATTATGGAACAGTTTCTGATCTGATCATTGTTGCAGCATTCCACAATTGGTATGATAGTGTTTAGATGCATTTTTAATTTCATACATTACACATTGAATTGTTTCAATTTCACAAGTCAACCAATTAAATCTTGAAGACAATCTTGTTCTATATTTACTACATTAAATATCTGTAACTTAAAAAATTATTCTATTATTCTTAAAAAACTATGTTAATTTATACACAACATATTCAATTGTTCTAAGTTCACAAGGGAAGCAATTGAAACTAAAGGGAAATCTAGTGCCATATATGATAAATCAAATATCTATAACTCAAAAGGTTTGTTCCAATAGTATTTGAAAGACTTGTCATTTTGTGTATTACACATTCAATTATTTATATTCCAAAAATAACCAATTAATTCTAGAATATAGTCTAAGTTTATCTTTGATAAACCAAATATTTATAACTCTAAATGCTATGTAATAGTACCTGGAAGAATTTAAAAACAAAATTAACTGAAATCTAAAAATAATTCTAATTAGGTATCATATAAAATATATTTTTCTAACCTCACAAGTGATCTAATGCTGCTTAAAATAGTTTATATTTTTGTACATCGAAATGTTAGTTGTAATTTTGTATAAGACAATCTTGTTCTATATCTCATAAATCAACAATCTATCACTCTAAAAGTTTTTCTAATAATTCTTGGAAGGTTTTGTAACTTTTCTCTAGACACAATCAAATCTTTTCTAAAACCCCTTATCAACATGATATTAAAGCCCTAAGGTTCTTTTCAGCTGCTGCTGCTCCTATCTTGCTGTTGCCACCACACATGTTGTTGTTGCCATTGCATCCTCTACATGTTGTCCTCTCTCTCTGCATGCCATCATGTCACTGCACCACACATAATCAGTGCGTTGACGCCTACCTTACCACTGCAGCCCCCTGCCATGACAGCCCTTACCATCATGCCCCCCCTATTACCACAGCCCTCCCATACCATCACAGCCCTCCCATACCATCACAGCCCTACCCTCCCATTGTGGCCCCTCCCGCTCCAGCCGCCAACCATTGTGGCCACCCCTATTGTCATGGCCTTTGTCATCAAAGCATCTACCTCTGTGGCCCCTATCATTGCAGCCCCTCCTACTCTCACGATATCTGTCACTGAGGAATCTCACAGCATCTCGAGTTATCTCGCATTATCTCACAGCATCTACCTATGGGGTATCTCTCAATATCTCTCGATATAACATTTTATATCATGGTATTGCCTCTTACTGCACCACCTCTCGAGGTATCTCATAGTACATCGTAGTATCTCACAATATTATCTCTTATTGCACAGACTTCTACCACATTTTCTACTTGTCACCCACTATTTCTTATTGTGTGTTGCCCCTTCTGCACATTCTTACATTTGCATTAATCCGCTTACATTGATATGTCATCATTATGGATCAATATAGTACATTTTCTCTACTTTAAAGATCATCTTATGGCCACTTGATAAGTCTTCATTATCATGAGTTAATAATTAGTAAATAATATAATTTTAGCCTTAATTCATGATAAATAGACTTATATTTGTGTTAAAGTATGAAAAATAGTTTTCAGTTGATTAACATGATTTTTTAGGTAATTATGTGATTTTATACGATTTTTACAGTCTTACTTTTAAGATAAATGAAGGAAAAGAAATTAAAATAAAAATATAGCAAAATGAGGGGAACCTACTAGGCCCGTAAGTGGGTCGAAAGTGTAGTCAGGGAGTAGCTACGAGTAGGGGCTCAAGCAGCTTGAACTAATGATGGGGGCACGTGTGCGCCACTCTCCTTCCACATCACTAGTGGCTAGCCGATCGTGGGACAAGGAGTGCTCGTACACGCGCGAGAAAGGGACTTTGCTTAGAAATGTAACATTACTATATATTCGTCCAAAAATTCGGCACACAACTGATGTGGGACTAAATTGGTCACCTTCCTCAGAAGAGGCAGGGCAATCAGCATGAGTTTGAATCCTCTTAGAACTAAAACTCATATTTTTATCTAATTATCGCGACTTTCTTGTAGATCGTTGGTGAAGGATTAAGTAACCAGAATCACTAGATCATCGGCAAAAATTTCGTCAACATGATTTGCAGAGTATTGTTACTAAAATTGTTGAAGGATTCACAATAAAAAGATCACGAATTCATCAAGTAAATCATCTGCGATTGATTGACAAATAAGTCATCGTCGAGAAGAGGACAATCCGCCAAGAGACGAGTTGCCACCTCTTGAGAACATACCAAATGCAATGAAGAGCCTCCTCTTGTTGTGCGGATCTGAAGATGAAGCTTCTTGACATGTGCCCCACCTTCATCTAACTCCTCTTTGTCAGGTAACAGCCACTGGAGAGCCGCAAAGTTATTGTTTTTCCGCTCCGCCAAGTGACAGCCGCTAGAGATGATTTGACGACCTATTTCATTAATCTCTAGACTTCACAAAGAGATCTAGAGATTGCCTACGTCGTCTTTATCTAAGGAGAGCCTTCAAGGCCATGGACACTACACGACGATCCTCCCGAACACTTAGGATTCCGGTACATCGTCGGCACATCACCGTCGTGATATTAGAACTCTATTTTCCTACTTTCAACTTACTTTACACTTCATTTAGTGATAATTTATGTGATTTTAATTTACCAAAATATACTTCACTCACTTACGATTCTTCTGACTTTTACAAAAATCTTAATTTGATCAATTAAATCATCTGTAATTACTTACGTAAGAATCGCTAGGTGGAATTCTATTTCTGCCTGATTTGCATTTACCAAGCACTGACATCATCCTGACATCTGCACCCTTATTTCCTTTTTTTTAATTTTAAATATATTTCCTTTTCATTTCTTAGTATAAAATTCATAGAAAATATTATTCTTTGAGGAAAATTATGAATAATTATTAGATATTATATTACATCTTTGTGATCGACTTGAAAAATTATCACTATTTTTTAGAATTTTTATTGAATTATAATTGATATATTTGTTTAGAAATACTTCTAAATATCCAAAAAAAATATTTTCTAGTTTTATAAATTTTAGATTTCCGTGATTTAATATACAACGACTAAGTCACGTCACCACTCTATTGATAATATATTTTTAGTCAAAGTACCTCTATTGTTAACACTCCTTTTCTCGTGACACTCCATCATAGTGTAACTAACTTAGCCAACATATCTCTTCACCAATCTCAATTATGCATCATGACATTGAGTTTTGAGCACTTCCTTACATCCCACAATCTACTTTTATCATCTAACAGATGAACTATCAATTATCGTTGAACCAACTTATACTTCTTGATCCTAAATTGCCTCCATCGTAGTGTCCTAAATACTTTAAAGTATTAAGTAAATTGTCACTGAGCCCCTTGCTTGTATCAAACTTATTAAATAACTTTGGCTCATAGTAGAGACCATGTATGTCAACAAGAGAAATATCAATCATACCATGTAGTTATTCAAGTCTCTTCTCACTTATAAGCAAGGTGATTTCTCACTTCATAAACACTTTGAACAAGATCATGTGATCATTTAAGAGTTCTCTCTTTATCAATCTCTGGCCATTGACATTTGGATGCTTAAACAATATTACCAAGAATCTATGCTAGTGTATATCTCAATGATCTACATCTAGAAGTTATCTCGTAAATTCGTGGTTAGATTCTCTCAAGTAATTATGTGTCAGACCTTTCATCAAAAAAAAATTCAACACTTCGTGTGAGCATAGAAACTCCTACCGCTCAATCAAGCACTACTCAACTAGTTGTCACATTGACCTCATCATCTTTGACTACATCTACTCCTCATGATCAAGATGGTGGTTGTAACCCACAACTTGACAATGGTCGTCATGCAAAAGGTAAAGGCCACAATGTCTTTCTACTATGCCTTTATTATGGTAAGTCAAGCCACTCATCAAATAAGTATTGGAAGAGTTCAGCAAGCCTAAGTGGACTTAGGTTGTTATCTCTAGCACTCATTCAGCTTCTCCTACATTGGCCTTGATAAGTCTTCATTATCATGAGTTAATAATTAGTAAATAATATAGTTTTAGCCTTAACTCATGATAAATAGACTTATATTTGCGGTAAAGAATGATTTTTGGTTTTCAATTGATTAACGTGAATTTTTGGGTAATTATGTGATTTTATACGATTTTTACAGTCTTACTTTTGAGATGAAGAACAAGAAATAAAAATAAAAATATTACAAAAATGGGGGGACCCGCCGGCCAGCCGTGCCCGCAAGTGGGTCAGAAGCGCACTCGGGGAGCAAGCCGCGAGCAGGGGCTCGAGTGGCTTGGCTTGGGGACCGACAGGGCACGCGTACGCCACTCCCCTTCCACGTCACCGGTGGCCAGCCGGCTGTGGGGCAAGGAGTGGTCATACACGCAAGATAAGGAACTTTGCTTTGTAAGCTAACATTACTATATATTCGCCCGAAAAATCAGCATACAACCGATGTGGGACTAAACCCCCGTCACACCTTCCTCAAAAGAGGCGGGGCGACTGGTGCGGGTTCAAATCCTTCTAGAGTCAAAATTCATATATTTTTATTTGATTATCGCGACTTTCCTGCAGATCGCCGGTGAAGGATTAAGCAACGAGAATTGCTAGATCATCGGCAAAAATCTCGTCAACACGATTCGCGGAGCATTGCTACTAAAATTGCTGAACGATTCGCGATAAAAAGATCGCGAATCCATCGAGTAAATCATCTCCGATTGATCGACGAACAAGCCGTCGTTGAGAAGAGGACGATCCGCCGGGAGACCAGTCGCCACCTCCTAAGAGCGTACCAGATGCGATGAAGAGCCTCCTCTTGCTGCGCAGACCTGAGGATGAAGCTCCCTAACACGCGCCTCACCTCCATCCAGCTCCTCTCTGTCGGGTGACAGCCGCCGGAGAGCCGCAAAGTCGCCGTTTTTCCGCTCCGCTGGGTGACAGCCGCCGGAGACGATTCGACGACCCACTTCATTGATCTCTAGACTTCGCGAGAAGATCTAGAGATTGCCCACATCGTCTTTGTCCAAGGAGAGCCTTCGAGGCTGTGGACACTGCACGACGATCCTCCCGAACGCTTAGGATTCCGGTGCATCGCCGACGCATCGCCGTCGCGACGCCAGAACTCTGTTTTCCTGCTTTCAATTTAATTTACACTTTATTTAGTGATATTTTATGTGATTTTAATTTACCAAACTATACTTCGTTAAATTACGATTCTTCCAGCTTTTACATATCTTAATTTGATTAATTAAGTCGTCTGTAATCGCTTACGTAAGAATCACCAGGCGGAACTCTATTTCTGCCTGATTCGCATTTGTCGGGCGCTGACGTCCTCCTGACGCCCGCACCCTTATTTCCTTTTTTTTCGTGAATTTTAAATATATTTCTTTTTTATTTCCTAGTACAAAATTCGTAAGAAAATTATATTCATTGAGAAAAAATCTGAATAATTACCATATATTATATTACATCCCTGTGATCGACTTGGAAAATTACCGCTATTTTTGGAATTTTTATTGAATTATAATTGATATATTTATTTTGAAATACTTCTAAATATCCAAAAATTCATATTTTCTAGTTTTATAAATTTTATATTTGTGTGATTTAACATACAACGACTGAGTCACGTCAGGCCTCATCTAGTTCACCTCACGACATCTCCTCCTACTATTCAAATGACTTTCACACCAACAAAATATGAAGCTTGGAAGCGGTCCACGATTATTCTCTCTTATACACCCTCTTCTGTCAATTTTACATCTATGTTAGGAGCCTCTATGTCAAGTACATGTCTTACTTATTTTTTCATCACCTTAAATTATTGACTTGGGGGCTTCTACCCATATGATTGGTATACTCTTCATACTTTTCTCACTTCATCACACTATGACCCATCCCTCGATGACCATTGACGATGATCAAACTTATTTGATCAAAAGTCATGATACTACCACTATGACCTTTATCCTACTATTGATTCAAGTCTTTTCTGTTCTTAGTTTTTCTGTAAACCTTTATCTATCAGTGTCATCACTCATGTCTTACTTTGTATCATTATATTTTTTTCCTTTCACTATGTCAATCTATATACAAGATGGAAGATTAGTTTGGGGAATAAGAACGGTCGAAGTGTTTACAAACTCATTTCAAAAGTACTTTCTTCTAATATTCAAATACTTTTTGTTACTGCCACTACTATTTTTCTTTTGTGGCATCGTCATTTAGGCCATTTTTATTTTTTAAAACTTTAGAAATCTTACCATGGTTGTCTTTTAATGAGTCATGTCAATTGAGCAAATATTATCATTCATCATATTTTAGTCATGATGGTATTCCATCATTAATTCTTTTTTATTATTATTCATTACAATGTTTGGAGACCCTCTCAAGTTGTCTTTGTCATTAGACATCTCTATTACATCATTTTCATTAATGATTACACTCATGTGAGTTAAGTTTATCTCTTTCATGATCAGTTTCAAGTTCTCTCTATTGTTATCTAATTTATCAGTAAGATTATTATCTAATATTTCACCACACCTAAAGTTCTTTATATGAATAATGCACTTGAACTTGTTCAAGATGTCATTTGTATCTTTTGTACTGATCGTGGTATTATTCATTAGACCATCTACTCATACACTTCTCGATAGAATACAGTTACTGAATGAAAATACCATCACTTACTTATGAATACAGTTATGAAAGACCATCACTCTTACATTACTCATTGAAATACATATTTCACATTACTTATCATATGATGCACTCATAACTGTCACTTATCTTAATAATTGCATTTCTTCTACTCTATTAGATAGTGTCATTCTACTTCAACATCTCACACTCAATGCTTATTTTTTTCTTTACCTCCTCAATTTTTTAGCTGCAATGCTTTCGTTCACGATCACTCATCATTTTTTTCTAAACTCACTCTTAGTGCTCTGAAAAATATCTTTGTGGGTTACTGTCACACCTAAAAAGGTTATTATATATACTTCTCCGACAGCTATTGCTATATGACCTCTGTTGATATTACTTTTTATGAGAATTTTATTTTTTTGCCCTATCTCCTTCGTCTTCTTACCTATCCACGTCTCCACCCCTTAGGTTTTCACTTCTTATCATTCTCACGGATCCTCTTTCTATTCCTTCTTTATCTATTTCTTCTTCATCAATACCTCCACTACCCATGTCTTCTACCAATGCCTCCACTTCAAGTGCAATTCCATCCTTGCCCACCTCGCTTGACACCACTACTCCACTAGTTGACCCTCTTGTGTTGCCTATAAATAATCTTCATCTTCTAATTACATCATGCAAAGGTACATACTTTTACACTTAGCATCCTATATCCAACTTTATTTATTATGATCGTCTTCACCCCACCTTTCATATATTTATTATTTCTGTGGCTTTTGAATCAATTCCACAATTGCATGTTGAGACACTTCCAACCGTTGCTTGAAAAATAACTATAGATTTAAAAATGAAACTACTAGTTTTTTAGAGCACGTGGAAGTTTGTCTCTCATCCGAACAATGCCAACATTGTGACGTGCAAATGGGTCTTCATATTAAAATACAATTCAAATAGCTCTATTGCTTGTCACAAAACTCATTTAGTTGCTCGTGACTTCACTTAAGTTTATGACATTGATTACATAGAGACCTTCTCCTATATTGTTCAATTGAACTATATTCAAGTTCTTATTTCCTTGATAGCACATCATGATTGATCAATTATCAATTAGACATATTTAATGTCTTCCTCTATGGTGACTTAGACAAATAAATTTTCATATAGCAACCTCTAAGATATGTTGCTCAAGGGAAGTTTTCTTAAGTTTACTTACTTCAACATACTATCTATAGACTCAAGTAGAGTCCTCAAACTCGGTTTGTGAAGTTCAATGGCCTTCTTACTACCATCAGCTTCACTTTATGTATTGTTAACCCCACTGTCCAAACAAATACTACACCTAGAGGTATGGTCATCTTGACCGTACATATTGATGACATTCTTATGATAAGGAGTGATGAGGTAGGCATCTTCATCACCAAAACCTACCTACAACAATACTTTGTCACAAGAAACTTGAGAACATTGTGTTACTTTCTTGAGATAGAGTTTGCTTATCAATCAGATAATATAGTTTTGTCTCAAAGAAAATATGTCATCAACCTTCTTCAAGAAATGAGGTTTCATGACTATAAACCATAGTCATCACTTATGGAGGCCCATCTGAAGTTTTGAGATATTAATTTACCTCTAATGGAGGATGTTAATTGCTATCAATAATTATTAGAAAAACTAATATATCTCACTATTACTTCTCTTGGCATCATACATATAGTCAGTGTTCTCAATTAATTTATGTAGGAGTCTTGTCATATCTATTGGAAAAGAACACTACATGTCCTAGCCTATATTAAATAGGCTCCAAGGAAGAGACTCATCTATAGATATCATAGTCACCTACATGTTGAAGCATACTCAGATATTGAGTATTCTTGTGACAAAAGAGATCGAAAGTCAACGACTAATTACTACACATATATTAATGGTAACCTAGTCACTTGGTGCTCTCGAAAGTAAACGGTGGTTTCTTGTATTAGTGTAAAAGTCGAATATTGTGCTATGGTTGAGACAACACATGAGATGATATGACTTCACTCTCTTCTAGAGAGTTTGGGTGTCACTCATCAGACATTTATGCTTATGCACTATGACAATCAAACAACAATCTTCATCGCCAAGAATCTCACATTTTAAGAGTAGACCAAACACATCGAGATTAATTGTCACTACATCTGGGATAAGATTTTAATAGTAATTATCTCCACACCACATGTCATTTCATTCAACTAATTGATAGACATCTTCACCAAGAGTCTTATAGGAGTGTCTTATGATATTATATGTACCAATCTAGGCATGTTTGACTTATATACACTAGCTTGAGAGAGAGTGTTCGAATGTCCTCTTCTATGTGGCCCATTTAGGCGTATTATCTATCTCTTCTCCCACCTATATAAACATATGTATATCTTCATTTAGTGTTAATTTAATCTTAATATTTAACCCCTATCAATAAATTTAATTTCACACAAAAATGATTGAATATGGAAGGCAATTTAAGTATGTATGGATAAATAAAATATTTATAACTCCAAAAATGATCAAATTGTAATTATTAAATTTTGTAACTTTGTTTTGAGCACAACTAATTCTTTCAATTCCACAAGATAAATGATTAAATATAGAAACAATTTAGTACTAATCATATGAACTAAGTTTGAATTAACTCCACAAGTGATTTGTTAGTGCTTAAAAGACTTTGTATGTTTAATTTTCTAAGAAATTGATTGAAAGACAATCTAATTTTGTATGTAATAAATCAAATATTTCTAACTTCAAAGTGATGACATAGCCTATGGAATAGTTTTTATTTTTGTAGACACAATCAATTATTTCAATCTCAAAATAGAACTAATTAAATCTAGAAAGTAATATAATTCTCTATCCTACAAATAAAGTATTTGTAATTTCATAAGTTATCTAATAGTGTTTAAAAGATTTATAATTTTTTACATGTGAGATCTAATTCTCTCAATTTCACAACAAAATAGATAATATACTTGATAAATCAAAGACAAATTCAATCCTTCCAATTTCAAAAAATAATAATAAAATCTAAAAGATAATTTAGTTATCTACTTGATAAATCAAGTTTTTTGTAGATTCGAAAGTGATGTAATAGTATTTAAAATACCTTGTAATTTTGTTCCAAACATAGTTAATTATTTCAATTTCAAAGTAGAAGCTAATTGAATTTGAAAAGTAATATAACTTTGTACCATACAAATTTTTATAATTAACTTTGTACCAAACATAGTTAATCTAACTTTATAAAGTTTTTCTAACTCCATAAGCGATCTAATAGTGCTTGGAAGACATTGTAATTTTGTAAATGACAAGTTTAATTCTTTCAATTTCACAAGATAGTTGATAAAAATTGGAAGACAATCTAATTTTGTACTTGATAAATCAAGTTTTTGTAACTCAAGTCATCCAATAGCACTTAGAAAACTTTGTAATTCTGTATATGATAGATTTAATTATTTTAATTTCACAAGAGATTTGATTGAATCTAGGAAGTAGTTCAAGTTTGTATAACCTAAATGAAGTTTTTCTAACTTCGCAAGTAATTTGATAGTGCTTGGAAGACTTTGTAATTTTATATCTGACATATTCAAATATTTCAATTTCACAAGAAAACCAATTGAATATGATAGATGATTTAATTTTGTATAAGATAAATCAAATATTTGTAACTCCAAAAGTGATCTAACAGAAGTTTTTCTAACTCTACAAGTAATCCATGGTATTTAAAAGACTTTATAATTTTATATTTGACACATTCAATTGTTTTAATTTCACAAGATCACCAATTAGATATAATAAATAATTTAATTTTGTATTTGATAAATCAAGTATTTATAACTCCAAAAGTGATCCAATGATATTTAGAAGACTTTGTAATTTTGTAGATAACATATTCAACTATTTTAATTTCACAAGAACACTAATTGAATTTGAAAGATAATCTAGTTCTGTACCAAATAAGTAATATTTTCCAACTCTACAAGTGATATGATAATGTTTGAAAGACTTTGTAATTTCATATTTGATACATTCAACTATTTCAATTATACAAGGGAACCAATTGAATCTGATAGACAATCTAATTTTGTACTAGATAAATCAAGTATTTGTAACTCCAAAAGTGATTTAATGGTGTTTGGAAGCCTTTATAATTTTGTAAATGACACATTCAACTATTTTAATTTTACAAAGGAACCAAGTGAATCTAAAAGATAATCTAGTTTTGTACTAAATAAATCAAGATTTTCTAACTCCACAAGTGATCTGATGGTGTTTGGAAGACTTTGTAATTTTGTAAATGATAGATCTAATTCTTTTAATTTCACAAAGAAACTAATTGAATCTGGAAGATAATCTAATTATGTATGTTGTATATAATTTTTTTCTAACTTCACAAGTGATTTAATTGTGCTCGAAAGACTTCATAATTTTGTATTTGTCACATTCAATTATTTCAATCTCACAAGAAAACCAATTGATTTGATAGACAATCTAGTTCTGTACTAAATAAATTAAGTTTTCTAACTCCATAAGAAATCGAATAGTGTTTGGAAGCTTTTATAATTTTGTATGTGACACATTCAATCGTTTCAATTTCACAAGGGAACCAATTAAATTTAGAAGGCACTCTAGTTCTATATGTTGTAAATAAAGTTTTTTCAACTACACAAGTGATCCAATAGTATTTGAAAGACTTTGTAATTTATTTGACGACACATTAAATTCTTTCAATTTTATGAGAGATCCAATTGAACCTAAAAGGTGTTGTAAGTTTGTCAATGATAAGTAAAGAAATTGTAATCTAATAAGTGACATGATGTTGTTTGGAAGATACTGTACTTCATTTATGACAAATTTAAATAATATAACTCATGATGTTTACCAAGAAGGCCAATGACTTTAGTCTATAAGACATTCAAATATTGAAAATTATCACTAACATCTACTTGTATTCCTAAAAGATCTAAATATCGTAATTTCAGTAGTGAAGCAATATCCTTTAAAGTATTCTCTGAAATAAAGCATTGCAATTGTAAGACATGAAGAGATGGTGTCCTTTGAAAAAACCTTTTTGGAATTGAATATAAAGTTGTGCTGAGAGGCATTTTATGAAAAAATAATATTTACAATATTGGACAGCACCATAAAACATTCAAGAGACTTAAGTTCTGATCCACTCCATACATTGAACTCTTTTAACATTTTGCCATCTGTCTAAATTTATAATGTTGTCAATCTTATTCCTTGGTCACATAAGAAACTCCACAAAATCACCTTTACTGAGCCACAAACACATGTCGCGCACCACATCATGCATCTTCACGAGATCGTCTGAATACCCCCTTTGTAACAAGCTAGCTGAAATGAGATTATTTATGATTTTACGTCCCTTGTGAGGTGAAGATTGCTCAATGAGTCCTTCTCCTATCCAATAGAGAATCAATTTATTTCTTTTAATTTCATCATCTTCCTTGAACAAGCAACAATAAAGGAAACATTGTCTTGTGCAATCATCTGTTAATCTATAAAAGTTGAACCTCAACAAAGACAAGACCTCTTTTTCGATACCTTCAACCACCATGTGGAGACTGACGTAGGTCCCTTGCAGCATCCCTCCAATCTCCAATTGACCTAGCATCTGCCATAGTACGATCCAAGATTTCGAGGGCAAGTGGGAGGCCACCACATTTCCTCACAATAGCCTTAGCATGTTGATAGACTGCAGAAGAATCATGATCTAAATTTCTACCTACCTTGTTTTGGAAGAGAATCCACGCCTGTGAGTCGTTCAAGGTTGTCACCTCCTAAAATCTTGTGGTCGTCCCCCTTATATCACTCATATTTTTTAATCGGCTCGTCAACATGATCTTGCACTTGTTCTGGGCGCAAGGGATAGGAACTCCCAAAGTCTCCAGATTCAATCTATTCCACACGTCATCCAACAATAGTAAAAAATATCTTTTCGCACAAGAATTGGAAGATTACTTTACCCATTTTTCTTCTTCGGTCTGTGAGGATGGAGCTTTTGAAGACGGTGGATCCAAATCCAGCCGCTCTCTAATCTTCTCCTGGACCTTGAGAACGTTGGGATCGGCGGCCACGGTGACAAAGATAACACAGTCAAAGCTTCAAGCTGCTCCAATATCATGAAAATTGTTGTTGAGCCTCCAGAGGAGCGTAGTCTTGCCGATACCACCCATTCCGTAGATCCCGAGGGCACCTGGGCCATCCTCATCAAGAAAATCCCTGATCTGCCTCATATAGCCATTGATTTGCTCCATGCCGACCAGATCCGCAGTGGTGACGGTGACCTGCTGGACGGGGTCTTCTCTGAAGCACAGGAGATTATTGAGTCTCTCCACGCCCCACGCTAGTGCGAAAGAGAGGCAATCGGTAGCCCCCCCTCACCAGGACGCCATACAGCATCCTGTAAAACCGTGCATATGCCTAGAACACATGCAGCAAGCACCATGCCGGAAGAACGGGACTGTGGAGCTGCCAGGCAGGGGGCGGTAGCTCTAGGTCAGAGGAGAGAGAGAGAGAGAGAGATGGATGAGTCTGGTGTATACCTATCTGTGGAGGAGAGTCACCCACTTGAGACTACTGTTCAAACCCAATGATAGAAGAGAGAGAGAGAAAGGGTACTTCCCTGGCACGACCTTATCTTCGTAACCGGGCAACAGCCAAGATTTCAACGGATGGAAGAATGGGTCGGCCCGCTGGAGTTGATCGGCTACGGAAGGAAAAACAGGCCCAGCCCAATCTCTCTCTCTCTCTCTACGGAACTCGTTTGAACGAGGGTTCTCTGTGTTTCAAACCCGATACTTGATGGGCCTTCTCTGTCTCTCCCTTTCGAACAAATGGTATCTTCCTCTCTTTCATACCTAGCAGTAATGTCTTTGTCTCCCTTCCTCTCTCTCTCTCTCTCTCTCTCTCTCTCAAAAACGGTTTTATGGGTTGTTCTCCACACAGCGTTCTACTGGCGGACCTCTCTAATTTATAAATTGCATCCTAGCTCTCTCCCTTCTCTCTCCATCTCTCTCTCTGTATCTCCCATAAACAGTTTTTTCTTGGTCTTCCTCCACACAGCATTCTACCTGCTGGTCTTTTTCCCCTCCCTCTCTCTATATTTCATGCATTGTTTCCTTGATCTCTCTCTCTCCACCTCTATCGCTCTCTTTCAAGAATAGTTTTTACTTGTCTCTCTCCCCTCTCTCTCTCTATATTTCATAAGTTGCTTCCCGGTTCTCTCTCTTTCTCTCTCTCTCGCTCTAAATGTCTACAGGCTTCGTGGAATCCTCTCAACCCCAAGAATAGCCGACCCATGCGAGGACAAGGTCCTTTCTTTCCTTCATCTAGAAACGAATGGGTGGAAGAGAGAAAAAAAGAGAGAAAGAAGGGAAGGACGTGGGAGGCGGATCGCAATGGCGGTCGCCATCTGGCGGCTTCGAGAGATTCCCCAACTTTGTCGGCCGTCTGTCCGAGCAGCGGCGGCCGCCGCCGTCAATCCTGCCGCCACACACGTGGACCCGCACTTCCCAGCTGGACCAACCCGGCGGCGGCGACCGAGTTCACAAAGGAGACAGCGACGGCACCGGATCTCCCCGCCGGCGCCGCGGCCCGCCAGCCCTCTCTCTCTCTCTCTCTCTCTTGGAGAAGCACTCCCAGCTGGACCAACCCGGCGGCGGCGACCGAGTTCCCAAAGGAGACAGCGACGGCACCCGATCTCCCCGCAGGCGCTGCCGTCCGCCAACCCTCTCTCTCTCTCTCCCCCCCACCATCTATCCATGTCTATCTCTTGGCCGTTCTTCACCGTTAAGACTCCGTTATAGCCGTCAACGGCCCCGTTGACCCAGTTGCCGAGGCCCACAGGTTCTCTCCTATTATTCCGGGCCTCAATAATAAAAGCCCATTCAGAAAAACTCCCCCAACTTCACCCGAACTAGCTTCTTCGTACTAAATCTAGCCTACTTTTATTACCACATCTACACTACTCTCTCTCTCTCTCTCTCTCTCTCTCTCTCTCTCTCTCTCTCTCTCCCCTCTCTCATCATTCATGGACAAACCCATTTCACAAATAAGGGGCTTTTCCATGGGTGGCTGAATAAAACTAAATTTATTTATTTATTTTGTCACGAATGTCATAAATATGGATCCACTAATATTATTTTATATAGTTTATCTTCGGCTCTTACCATAGGGAATATTTATTTTTGTCGTATTTCAATTTAAATTAAATTATATTTCATGAAGCATGGTTCAACGAGTGGTTTTCATTTGGACTGGACTTCCAAGTCCGTCTATGGTTTTTTTTTTAATGCGGTACCCTTACCGCTTGGGACCTGCTCTCTCCCCACTTTCCGGTCAAGACCATCAGCGACCCGGCACCCAATGGCTTCGGTAGGTCCCCCCACCAAGTGCCTGATCTTCCGTAACCGTACCGCCGAGTGGAGTCACCTCCAAGACGGCTGCCGTCAGTGGTCAAGACCAGGCAGACCGACGTCTTGGGAGCTTATATTCCCGACCGTTCTTTGGGTGAGCTTACTGATCTTCCGGAGCGGCCTCGCCCTTCAAAACCGAAGTTCTGCTTTCGGTAACCTTACCAATTTATCACACGACTTTAATCATAAATAACTAAAATTTCAGTAAATTTTAGGATCACCTCCCCGGGTGGCTGACCCGGCGCCTTGGCGGGCGTAATGCTCAATGGTAACCTTACCTTCAAATGGAGTCACCTCTTCGGTGGCGCCTGGTAACCTTACCTTTTGTGTGGGCGACCCTCCTTAAAACGGCATCAGCGACCCGGTGCGTTAGGGCTTGTCTCCTGAAGCGCTTCTGCTATACGGTATCCTTACTGCAAAGTGGGGTCACCTCACAAGAGCCGTCTCGCCGATCACAACCATAACAAAGTCGCGGCGCCGTGGGGTCTACATCCAGAAATGGCTCTTCGGTAATCTTACATCCGAGTGGGGTCACCTCTGGGGCTCGTCAAAACGGCATCAGCGGCCCGTCACCTTGGGGGCATGTCCAACTCGTCATTCTCCTTACCATCGAGTGGTCACCTCCGCGAGGGCCGCATCACCGGTCAAAGCCAGCGGTGTCCCGGCGCATTGGGACCGCCGCAGCCGCCGCGCCGCCCGGCTGTCGGCCCATTCACGGGTCGTGATCCGCCGCCGCCACAGATCGTGGGGGAGGAGACCGAGGCGGCCGCCGCCTCTCTCTCTGCGCGACACGTGGACCGCCAGCTTAATCTTATTATATTCCCCTCGTCCGGAAGGAAGGCGGATTACGCGGTGCGGTCAGCCCCCGCCGCCGCCGCCGCGCCGCCCACCCCCTAATTTTATTTTGTTTAATTCTCTCACTGGTTATTTTTAGGCAATTAAAATTTCCGAATAATGCTAAAACAATGCTTAAATGGCGTTATTTCGGATAAATCGGATTAAATAACGGCGGGAGGAAAAGCGGAAGGCTGCGCGAAGGCGGCGGGCACCGGTCTGACGTGGCGGGACCTCACCGTCCTCCCCGCTGCGGATCTCTATATAATGCGCACCCCCCCCGGCAGAATTTTCCCACCACGCACACCAGTGGAAGAAATTCCCTCCACCTCTCTCTCTAGAACCACCTCGATCTCCATCTCTCTCTAGAATCACCTCGATCTCGGTTCTCACTGCGGCAATCGCCGGAGGAAGAGGCGGCAGCGGCGGAGGAGGAGATGGCGCCGAGAGGGGAGAAGATCTGTGCGAGGGGAGGGATGAGGGGCGGGGTAGGAGGAGGCCATGAGAGCATGGGGAGCGGGGAGGATAGGTTCAGAGGAGTGAGGAAGAGGCCGTGGGGGAGATACGCGGCGGAGATCAGGGATCCAGGGAAGAAGATGCGCGTGTGGCTCGGTACCTTCGACACAGCAGAGGAGGCGGCGATAGCGTACGACGCGGCGGCGCGGGAGTTCCGCGGAATGAAGGCGAAGACGAACTTCCCCCTCGCCGGGGGGCTCCCGTGCGTGGCGACGCCGCGGGACGACGGCCACCGGGAGGCGCACCAGATCGGAAGCCCCGGGAGCCAGAGCAGTACTGTGGAGTCCACCAGCCGGGAGACGGCGGCGCCAGTCCAGTCGCCAGACAACAACCTCGCCGATCGGTCTTCTCTGAATCTGGCGTTGTCCGATCAGTACCTCCACCGCGGGAGCAGCGGCGGTGGCGCCAAGGCCGCCGCCTGGTTCCCCTTCCGCGCCATCCCCGCCGCGGTCTCCACCACCTACGCCGGCGCTCCACCGGTCGCGCATCCGCTTCCCAAGGGATTCGTCTTCTTCGACGCCTTCTCGAGGTCCGGCAAGGTCGCCACTGCGGAGGCAACCGCCGCCGCACTGCCGACGCCGGTTATGACCGGGAAAATCTCCGCGAAGATCAGTTTCCCTGACGAATCCGCCGTCCACGACGGCGACGAGAGCGACTCCGACTCCTCCTCCGTTGTCGAGGATCTGCAGCCGCAGCCACAACCGTCGCCGCCGCGGAGGCTCCACCTAGATCTTGACCTCAACATCTCGCCTCCGGCGGACGCGGTGGAATACTAGTCCGACAATCCTGCTCCTCCATTAACAACACTAGAAATCATTCCAATAAGCTCGATGAGATCCCGCTTCCGTCTCAAGTTTTTGCCCCCCCCCCCCTCATCTCTGCACGAGATCGAGGAAGAGGGGGAGGTCGCCATCGCGAATGCGGATCCCATCGCCGTTGGTTGCCCTCCCAGATTCATCCATGTAGATACACGATGACCTTCCCGTCCCCTCCTGTTATTTCGCCGGGATCTGACCCCTCTCCGGTGCTCCTGTAGTCTCAATTCGATTACATGTTCTAGCGATCCTCAAAAGAAGGAAAAAAAAAAACATTCAAAGATTTACAGAAATTCGTCACTCATTTCCTCCAATCTCAGATCAAGAAAATAAAATAGAGAGAGATCTCATCCATCTGGTATTTTCCTCCGAATCCGCCATTGATCTTCCTGAGCAAGAGCGGGGAAGCCGCCGGGGGTCCCACCAATTTGCCGCGTACCAGCGGACCGCCCGCACGTCGCCGTCGTCGACGGCGGCGGCGGCGGTGGCGGTGGCCCGGAGGCGCGTGGAAAACGGGGACGACGACCGCTGGGCGGTGGACGGCGAGTAACGATGGCGTAGGCCCCACTCCCGCCAACGAAGGAGCGGCGCGAGCCACACCTTCCGGTCCCCATCCGCCGCCGTGTCCAAATTGGCCCGCCTCAACCCCCCCTCTCCTTCCCCTCTCCCCACGCCGCCACCGGCGGGCCCGCCTTACTGGGCCCATTGACTTCAAAAATCCGGCCCGTGTCCATAAAATCGGGCCCGGCCCGCCTCATTTCGAGCTGGCCTCAGGCAACTATAGTCATTTCTTTCCTTCAGAGGTAACCCGGATCCGGGCCGAGCCCGATTTTTCCCGGCCCGAAGTCACTGGTCAAGACGAGATCTTCCGCCTGATCTCCATTTATGACACGTGGGGCCATTTCGAGGAATTTTCAGGGGAGGCGGCGCTGCGGTGTCTAAAGATGCCTCTTCTCTCTCTCCTCTCTCATTATCTTTCTTGTTTCTCTCTCTTCGTTTGGGCACCGACGGCCTTAGTGAGGGGCGGCGCTCGCATCTGGCCGACAACTCGCCTGCCGCCAAAATGGGAAAGCTGAGAAGGTTACAGTGGGGGATCGGAAAACGACGAGAATGGAGAGGGTCGTCGGCGGGAAGGGGGACACGTCGTCCCGCTCGACCGCCCTCTCCTCATCCCTTTAACTCGGCGGCACGTCGTCGATTGACTTTCCCGTGACATAATTATTCCAGGTAATCCGGTCAACGGCCGAGTCGGCCCGGGTCGGATCGGCGGGCGGGGACTCGGTCAAATCCGTGTAGATCGGCTGACGCTGGCAGTGGCGGCAGGGAGGGGATCGAATTGTGTGGGCCCCACGCCGCCGGCGGTGGGGCTTTTTTTTAACTAAATGAAGTAAAATATCCTCGCCGGCGGCGACTCGTTCTGACCACGGCGGCCGTTGACGGCCTCGTTGAAAGTCATCACTTACACGCTTCCTCCATGGCGTCTCCCCATTAGACGCCACCGTTGACATCGATCTTCAACCGTCATCAGCCATTGATGTGTAGATGCCGTCGTCGGAATCAACGGTCAATAATGTTCACTGGAGTCAATGGTTCTCCCCCTTTGATCCGGATATCGATTCGGATCCCACATGGCTGATGATGACGTCACCGGGATGGAGGATGATATTGGTAGCGCACGTCACCACCTGTCTACCGACGCCTTTTTCATTATTTTAATATTTTCATTTTTCCACATTTATCTGGTTGACACGCATTCTTATCATATGTTCGTGGTTTATGTGAGTCCACATCGGGAAGACATCTACCTCCACGCGCATTTACCACTGGATTATATTTTAATTTAATTTAAATAATGGAGGGAGCGTGTCTTCCTGATATTTATTCGGATCAGCTCCCATTTTCCAAAAAATTAAAAATAAAATGATAAATAGTGAAAAACATTGAGGAAAATAAATAATAGAAATATATTTTATATACTAGGCTACTTCTTGATTGTTGTAACCGGTAATTTTGCATATGCGATAAATAAAAAAGAAAAAATGCATTTTTCTCATTTTATTGGATGTAATTGAGTTTAATAGTTATTCATTTTATTTTATTTATTGGAGGAGCAGGTCTTCTTGATATTCATCTGAGTCAAGTTTTATTTTAAAAAGATTAAACAATTAAATGATAAATATGATTTTTTAGGAAGATAAAATAATAGATAATATTTTTATCTAATAGGCGTATTCTTAATTGTTATAAATGGTCATTTATCTTATGCGAGAAATTAATAAGAAAAAATGTTTTTTGTTCATTTTATTGGACGTAATTTATTTCATTAATTTTCTTCATTTTAATTTACTTTTATTTAGTTATTTCTAGTGGCAGGTCTTCTTGATATTTATTGGGGTCACCTTTTATTTTAAAAAACCTAAATAATTAAATGATAAGTAGAGAAAACTTAAATAATTAAAAAAATGCATTTGATTCATTTTATTGGATGTAATTGAGTTTATTAGTTATTCATATTAATTGAATTTAATTATTTGAGGGAGAGGGTCTTCGTGATATTTATTTGGGTCGTTTTTTATTTTTACAACTTAAATAATTAAATTATAAATAGGGAATTTATTTTTTGAGGAAGATAAAAATATAGGCGAGTAATAGTTCTTGATTTTTATTACGAGAAATGCTTATTTTCATTTTATTGGAGTAATTGAGATTATTAGTTATTCATTTTAATTTAATTGAATTACTGCGAGGGAGTGAGTCTTCGTTATAAAAATTAAATGATAAATATGGGCTCTATCGCCCTCTCTCCATCCGCGCGCAGGTAGCCGTTGGGCTGGGCCCCGGCGCTGTATACTGACACGTACCCCGTGTAGGGGCATGTTGGGGATTTAATTGAGGTACGTGGCTCGATCCAGCGCGGAAGTGGGACCGTGTTGGATTTGATGCGAATTGATGCGTACGCGTCTCGAAGTAAAATGTTTTGATTGGGTAACGTTCGTGCGATCAGTGGACGCTGCGTCAGACTTTCTCTGTTGTGTATGCGTATAGAGATGTATTTAGGTAAACGTCAGTAAAACGCCCGTTGCTACTTTCAAAATTTCTGACCGTTGGGATCCTAACGTTCTTCTTCCTCCCCCCTCCCTTTCTTCTCTCCTCCCTCTGCAACTTACCCTCCTCTGTCTGGAAAGAGAGAGAGAGAGAGAGAGAGAGAGAGAGAGAGGCGATAACCAGGGGGGCGCTCCTCCATCTTCTTCCATTTTTCAAACTTCCTTGTACTAGCTTCTCTAGAGAGAGAGAGAGAGAGAGAGAGAGAGAAAGAGAGCCAAAAAGTTTCCTCCATCTCCTCCAGCAATTCTCAGTCCCTTGCCCATCTTGCTTCTGCAGTTCTCTTACCACTCTCCACCCAAATCCTTGATCTCCCCATCTTCTACTTCCTCTAATCTTCCGAAGTAGGGAAGAAACCGAAGCATGGAGGTGGTAACGACAGCCGCCGCCGCCGAAGGAGGGGGAGGAGGGAGTGGCGCCGCCGCGGAGCCGGCGGCGGCAGCGGTCCTCGCTCAGTCATTCCAGATCGATGAAATCTACGAGTTCAGCGCCCCGCGATTCTTCGACTTCTCGAACGAGGAGACCGCCGAGCAGATCAAGAGATCCGAGCTCTGGTTCGAGACGGCTCTCAGCCACGCCCAATCCCGTACGCTTTTATCTCCTCCCTCGGTTCATTTACTCCCCGATTTCTTCAATCGGCGTTAAATCTGAGGCCATTCGTCCGATCTGGAGTGATTCTTTTCATTTTTTCGACAGATTTATCCGACCATTAGTGCCTGTTCTAATCGAGATCTTCCCTTTCCTCTGATGCAGCTTTCGTCAATGGCGTAAAAGGGGGGAGATCCTACAAACAGGAGAGCATCTGCTGCGACTTTGGACACGTAGAGGATCAGAGACTTTCTTCTTCTTCTTCTGACAAGGTGACGGCGCATTGTGATCTACAGTATAATCTGTTTTTACTTTGTTTAAGATGACCGAATCCGATCTCATGGTTTTTCCTTCAATCCTGCGCAGAAACCGGAACCAGCGGCTGAAGCTCAAGGTGATGATGACGATACGAGGGAGATTCTGGTCGTTGAAACCAAAGGAACAGGGTATGATCATGAGGAGGATCTAATCTAATCGTTGTACTTCCATCTCCTGCTCCAAGAAGCTCATTAGAAATTTTTTCATCTGTTCAGAGACATCCAAGCGGCTGTTCTTCCAACCGCAAGATCGGAAACCCGTCAGGAGGAGGAGAAGAAGAGCAACGATGAAGGAACTGAGCACGTAAGCTGTTTTTTCTTCGATTAAAGTCGATGATCTCCTCCATCTCACCACTTCTCTCCTCGATCTAACTAACCATTATTCGAACTTTCAGATCCCCGGTCCCAATCCCCCTGAAAATTTAAGGTACTCTCTCTCTCTCTCTCTCTTCTCTCTACCTCTCTTTCTCTCTTTCCTTTTTCTATTCTCACTGATAATTTCAAGCTGCAGCAGGCTTCCGAATGGAAATTCTTCCACAGTCGACGCGAGCAGAGTTCAATACGGAACTTCAACAAATCTGGCTCCTGCCCACTCCGAATCGAAGGGGGCCGCATCCCAGGGTATGTATATATACATCAAATTCCACAGATCTACCGGATTTCTACGCGATCTTTCGCATTGAATCTCTGCTCCATCTTCCGTGATCAGCGTCTGCTGCTCGCACCCCCGCGATTTCCCGCAACGCTGGAAAGGTAGATGCAGAAGTCGGCTCGAGGAACAAGACGGCCAAGAAGATCGCCAGCCTCATCAGAAACCCGTCTGCCCTAAAGCCAAGGATCCAACCTGCTTCAACTCAGAAGACTGCGTCGTTCAGGTGGGTCGTCCTAGCAAAATCTCCAGAAAAGGAAAGAAAATCTTAATATTGAAGCGGGGAAAGAAAATCCTAATCTGCAGGATAATCTCTTGCAGGTGCCCCGGTGGGGATATTGCTCAGGAAAACCAGGCTGTCAAGAGGCAGAAGCTTGACGGGGGCCTGTCTCGCCAGGTGAAACCAGAATCACAACTCTCTCTCTCTCTCTCTCTCTCTCTCTCTCTCTCTCTCTCTCTCTCTCTCTCTCTCTCTCTCAGACTTCTTTACCTTCTCTCTCTCCAACGGGCTTTTGTTCTAAGGGATTGTTCTCCCTGCAGATACATAATGTGAAGAGCAGGGCGCTGGTTCACAAGTCCAGGCCTGATCTTCCAGCTGATGGAGGAGACCTCCTCTCGTCCAGAGATCTCCATGGGGTGAACAGAAAGGTGCATATTTTTGAGAAATTTGCTAAAATCTCCAAATTCGCATTGAAAGAATAAATTGAAAATATTAAAAATATTCTAATTCTCCAAGTTAAATTCCTCAGAATCATTGTCTTGCCTCAAGATTGAACATATTAAAAATAGTGTTAATAATTTTAAACGACCTAAAATTCCAAATATATAAATCAATTGAAGTAAATTAATTTGTTCATATTTTTTTATTCCAGGAGGACATGCAGGCAGTGATTCAACGAAGGCCTAAGCTTACCTTGACAAGGCCCAAGGAGCCCGAACTGGAGACAGCCCACAGGGTGCGGGCCGTGAGGATTAAGAGCTCTGCAGAACTAGAAGAGGAGATGCTGTCCAAGATGCCCAAGTTCAAAGCCCGGCCTATAAACAAGAAGGTACAATTATTTTTATTTTATGGTTGGTTTATGCTAATAAAAGAAATAATTATTTATCTGATTATTGTCAATTGTTTTCCATGGAAAGATCCTGGAGGCACCTTCATTGCCCGCTCCTCAGAGGAGCACTCCACAGCCTCCTGAATTCCAGGTACTGCAGAGAGACGAAAAGAACAATTATGCTCTTTTTTTCTATTTACATTGAAAATATATATAAATGAACAATTAAAAAAAGGGGGGATGTGGGATGATGAACAGGAGTTCAATCTGAAGACGATGGAGAGGGCTGCAAGAAATGCTGGAGCATCATCTGTAGTATCTTCTTCTTTGTCGATGGAGTCCTCAACGTCATTCAATGTAATGGATTTATTGTTTCTTTTTTCTCACTGTGGATCCTCTCTCAGTAAATCTTACACTGATTTATTTCTATAAATAGGATCATTTCAAGATCAATAGACTCACAGAGCCCAAGCCGCCTCAACTGGAGACATCTCTTCGGGCTCGTCCTCCCAGGTTTGATGCTAAATTTGCTAAATTTGATCCAAGTTATGATGTTGGTGGGGCCCGATTTGAAAAAAATAAATCCATAAATAACTTTTACAGAGTCAAAAGCTCCCAGGAGCTGGAGCTAGAAGAGCTGGAGAGAATTCCAAAGTTCAAGGCCAGGCCACTAAATAAAAAGGTATGTTGATCTACTTATGGTTATTATTCTTTAAATAAATTATCTCCAGCTATTCCAATCAAGAAAATGGATAAAATGAGATGTTGCCCGAATTCAGTGTTTTGAAAAATACTTATTTATGGTATAATGAGACGTAAAATTTTTAGAAGTTTTTGAATTATGGTATAGATCAAAATGGCCAAGATTTTTGGAGATAATGCAACAAATTTGGATCGAATTAAGATAATGCACGAACGTTATTGGATTTTTTTATTGGTTGAAACATTTAACTGTGCGAAACATTGGAAAGCAGCCGATCATCATCGTCACAGAATTTCAATTTTATTTTTCTGCAGATCTTTGAGATGAGAGGTGATCGCGGATCACTCCGCAGACCCAAGCGCCAGATCACCATCCCTCAAGAGTTCCATTTCGCTACGGATGAACGTATGGGCCCACCTGCATTTGTTCTCGAGGCTTTCGACAAGGTACAGGCTTTCCATGGCGGTGGCGATATTGCTTGGTTTTTCTTGGCGACAAAGTACTCATATTTTGTGTGTATCTACAGCTTTCACTGCATTCAGAGCGTCAAACCGAGCAGCAGCGCCAAGTTCCTAGACTGACGATTCCGAACCCATTCCATCTCCATACAGAGGTTAGTCAACGCCCTCAAGTAGATCACACAGACTTGCCAAAATTGCAGGATCTGACTTTCTTTTTTATTTTTTCTTGGCGTGGTTCTTTAAATTAGGAGAGAGGCTTGGAAAAAGAGAGGGATTTATCTCTGCAGATCCTGCACAAGGAGATAGAGCAAGAGAGAGCTCGCGTCCCCAAGGCCAATCCATATCCGTATACCACAGATTATCCCGTTGTAAGAAAGATTATCCATATCTATTCAATTATTTTCATTCATCTACTTTTTACAGCCCAGTTCTGAGGAAGATTTTTTATATATTCATTTAATTCTAAATTTCCCATCTTTTATCCCCAACTTTTCTATTTTTGAAGAAGAAGAAGATCCATTTTTTTTTATAATTAATATAATTTTATCTCCCAGCTGTGTGATGAATGACAGTTTTAGCAATAATTCTAAGTAAATCCAGTTGTAAGAAAGAACAGAACTCCCTTTCAATTATTTAAATTCATCTACTTTTTCTACCACCACTTCTGAGGAAGATTTTAGATTTATTCATTTTGTTAGAGAAAAAAAACTCAGAAAATTTCCCATCTTATTTTTCTAGTTTTTCAGCTCCCAGCTGTGTGAAGAAGAATGACAGTTGATATAAAATTAATCTGATTTTAATTCCCAGTTGATTGATATAAAGTTCCCATAAATCTTTGTTAATTCCAGGGTCTGTCTGACCTGGTTTGTGCGCAGATTCCACCAAAACCAACGCCCAAGGAATGCACAAAGCCAGAGGCTTTCCAGCTGGAGAGCCTCGTTAGGCACGAAGAGGTAATGCAGAAGAAGATGGAGGAGCTGGAGAAGACGGAACGGGAAGAGGCAGAGAAGAGAGTCTTCAGAGCGCAGCCCATTCTGGAGAAGTGGGTATTTATTTCTCTGCATTTATCTTTTCTTAAAATAATGAGAACTCACCGGAATTATCGATCGCATGAACTATCAATCTTGAAAGAAGTAAATATTCAATGATGAGCAAATGTTGTCTGGGTTGGTGGAATAAATATTCTCTGTACTTATTTTTTTCTTAAATAATGAGAATTATTAGTGGAATAAATATCAATCTTGAAGAATTGAAGAATTGAAAATATAATTCCTTGGGTGTTTAAGTTTTATAAAAAAAATGACGAGGAATTGAATATTTTATTTATTTACTTTTTTGTTTAATTATTTAAATATGTGCTAATTTAAACTGCCTCTGATAATCGCAGCAGGGACCCTTTCCCTGTCGCGAAGAAGGAGAGGAAGCCGTTGACTGAAGTCCAAGAGTTCGCTCTTCATGTAGACCACAGGGCCACAGAGAGAGCAGAGTTTGACCAAAAGGTGTTGGCCCTCTGACTTTTGCTAATCTCATCCACAACTACGGTCGATTTGGTCTCAATTCAACTAATCTCACAGTTACTTTTATGAAAAATATTTTATAATACGAAATCTCATAATTATTTTTAGATTTGAGAACTCAAATTTAGTAAAATATATTGTGTTATTTTAATTCCTGGAATTAATCAATCTTCAGGACCCCGACCCATTGCAGAAATAAATATATTTTTTTCATTCTGCAGGTTAAAGAAAAGGAGACGATGTACAAGAGGATGAGGGACGAGTATGAGGTTTCTAAAAAGGTATGAGGACTTCATCACTCTCTCTCTCTCTCTCTCTCTCTCTATATATATATATATATATATATGTCATATGATTGAAGAGTAGATGCTGTTGTTCTACAGATTGAAGAGGAGAGGGAAGTCAAACAGATGAGGAAGACGATGGTGCCCACGGCACGACCCCTCCCCAACTTCGCCAACCCCTTCCTTCCCCAAAAGTGAGCCTTTTTTTTTTTTTTTCTAAGCATGCTCTTCTTCATCTGCTCCTCATAAATTATACGAAAAATGTGATTCCCTCTGTTGTTGTTTTTTTTTATAAAAAAATCAAATCCCGGGTATTATTATTTTTCTAAGCATATGCAATCAATCAATCCTCATACGATAATGGTGTTTTTTTCTATATAAAAAATTCAAATCGGGGATATTATTATTATTTATTCATTCAGCGTCTAAACAGAGTTTGTTGTTTGGCAGGTCAACCAAGGAGATCACCAAGCCCAAATCACCAGCTCTGAAAGTCTCCCAGAGACTGACGAGGAGGCAGCAGCAGCAGCAGCTTCATCTCTCCCAGATGAGATGAAGAAGAAGGAAAAGCTAGCAAACTATTTTGTTCAAGAGCGCTTGAATTGCTGATGGACCCACCCCAACTAATTAATTGATTTAATTAATGTGTCCTCCATCATCATTGTTTGATGTAAAAAGGTTCGTCCAATCTTTGTATGTAAAGATTCTTCTTCAATCTTTCTTTGGGAAACGAAGATTCTTCTAGAAGACTGACTGTGCCTATCCTTGGAGGGGACGGTATTATTACTACTAAATTTAATTATTTTCAACTCTTTTTTTCAACTAAAAATTGATTTATTTATCGTGGTTCTTGGAGGGTATTATTTTATTATTCAGGGATATATTTTTCACCTAATATTTTTTCTATTTAAAAATCCCCATTTATAGCGTGTGAAGACGGCAGACATCGGGACGAGTTTGAGTCTCTGATGACCGCCTGACTGCGGGGCCCAACAGCGACCCAACCCCACTTTGCTATCGCTGGGCCGGCTCGTCGGTTCAAACGTCCCTCTCTCTCTCTCCCTCTATCTTTAATGCGGGATGTTTCTCACTCTCTCTTCTCTCCTGTCCACCCCTCTCTCTCTCTCTCTCTCTCTCTCTCTCTCTGGGTACCCCACCTACTCTCTCTCTCTTTAAATGGGTCAGGCATGTTTCTCTCTCAAATCACCCTCTCTCTAATGGATGGATCATGTTTTTCTCTCTTTCTCTCAAATTACGCTCTCCCTCTCTCTCTCTCTCTCTCTCTTCGTCCGTCTCCTACATAGCTCCCGCCGTCTCTCTCCCTCTCTCTAATGGGTCATCTCTCTATCTCTTGCTAGACTGCCACTCTCTCACATAGCTCCCACGAATCTATCTCAGACCCCTCTCCGTCTCTCTCTAAGTTCCCTTCTCCCTATGCCGCCTAGGTCACGAAACTCTCTCTCTCTCGCTCTGCATCTAGCTCTAACCTGCGACGGCGTGGTCCTGTTAGCCCGCTCTCCCTCCCTCTCCATCTCGACTGATCTCCTCCCTTCTCTCTGTAAACTCTTCCTCCTCTCCCTGCTCTAGATTCCTCTCTCTCTCTCTGAGCATCTCTCTGTAGGTCACTGCCGATTGTACGAGGAAGTGGTCCTCACCCTCGACTGCCCCCAACCTCTCTCTCTCTCTTTCTCCCTGAGCTGCCGAGTGTCCGCGTGACATGATAGTCTGAAGAAAGGCCCAACAAAGAACGAGAGAGCACCTAGATAGAGAGAGAGACATAGAGAAACGAACAGAACCTAGAGAGGGACATCTACAGGCAGGAACAGAACCTACAGCGAGAGAGAGAGAGAGAGAGAGAGAGAGAGAGAGAGAGAGAGGTAAAGACACTACAGATAGGGAGAGAGAACCCTCGTAGAAAAGAAGAAGCTAACCTCTCCGCAGCTTCTTCCTTTTCTGCTCCCTCCGTCCCCCATGGTTAGAGCCCGGCAGCTGCTTCCGAAGGCCGCCGAGGAGGCTCCCGCCGACGGCCGGAGACCGACGGCGGCGGCAATTAGCGAGGCAGCAGGAGAGGAGGAAGGCGGCGGCGAGAAGGTATCCCCTCCAGCGAGCGGCGGCGCTCCGGTGGCGCCGTTCTGCCAGGCGGACGCCTGCGCCGCCGATCTCGTGGCGGCGAAGCGCTACCACCGCCGGCACAAAGTCTGCGAGGTCCACTCCAAGGCCGCAACCGTCGTCGTCGCCGGCCTGTGCCAGCGATTCTGCCAGCAATGCAGCAGGTTCCTCCCTCATCCTCCTCCATCTCCGCTCCTCCGATCTATCCGCAGATCTGCGAAATCAGGAAGGAATGCCGTGAGCAAATCCGCATTCTCGATGAATCTCGTTAGATCTTCTGCAATTTCCGCCAGAAAAAATGGAGGCAACCGATCACAACTCGGAATCGCTGCAGGTTCCACGAGATCCCGGAATTCGACGACGCCAAGCGCAGCTGCCGCAAGCGCCTGGCCGGCCACAACGAGCGGCGGAGGAAGATCTGCCATGACATCGAGGGGGAAGGAGGATCGAACCTCTGCAGGCCGGCGGATCAGCACCGGAGGATGAAGATCTCCTTCTCCGCCAACTCCACCTGTAACCGCTTCCAGGTCAGGTGAAGGATCCGGCCTCTGTATCTCCCCCAACATCAGCCATGCTCCCTCTCTTCTGTCATTCCCCTGGACTGCAACAAAACCGTTCTTCTGTTCATCTTCTTGGGTTTGCTATGCCCTAGGGGATGCCTACCTTTATAATCTGCCTAATCCTGTTCATGATTCTCCAAGTTTCTTCTCGAAAAATCTCCGCAGATCCTGCGTCCGTGCGCGATCTTTACCTCCCGATCTCAAGATCGTTCTAAGAAAACCTTCAAACTCCAAACCCTAACTTCCAATGAAAACCTTCACCAGTTCCGCGTGGTCGGGGGTGGCCTTCCGTCATCATCCACAGAGATTGCTCATTCACCGATGATTTAAAAAGCTACGATTGGAGACTGTTCTTCAGAGATCTTCAGCAAAGCTCGAGATCATCGGATAATCTGCACACCGCGGTCTCAATATTGTTCTCAGAAAGTACCCTCCACAAAAAATCTCTCTCCTCTCTCTCTCTCCTCTGGGTCCCTTCTAACGATACTTAAAGAGGGGGAAGGATCGCGGGCCCAGTGAAAAGCCCGGGATCGAGCCCGACGGGCTCTACAGGGCCCTTTCTGGTTTCCAGCGGTGGCTGCTGTTAAGAGAGAAGAGAGGAGTATTTTTTTCGGGCCGGGCCAGGAGTGCTTCAGGGTGTTGAGTAAGAGGTCCAGAGCCTTGAAAAAGACCGGGCCGGGCGAGAGTCTCCGGGCTTTTTATAGGCCCTAGAGTCGTTCGAAGGTTTGATGTGATGATGTCATCATGGTGACGTAAGCAAATGACTGTAGTATCTTTCTGACAGTAGCCGGAGATCTCGGGTTTTTCCCTGAAGGATTCGTGTGTGAACCCGGCAAGCGGTTGTCCACAATTTATTGACGGATGACGTCACCCTCGTGATTCCTCTCTCTTGGTACGTGCCTCCCAACTGTCTCTCTCTCTCTCTCTTCCATATATTCAGGCTCGGCCTGTCCATTCTCAGCGCTCCCCCCCTATCTGTCTCTCTCTCTCTCTAGCCCTATGCGTGACTTCATAACAGTGTGCCGTGGTAGGGCTTCTCTCTCTACAACATTTTCTTCTCCATCTACCATACTTGCAGGCTCATCGGCCTGTCCATCCTCATGGCTCATCTCTCTCTCCCTCTCTCTTCAGAACAGTGTTCCATAGTTGGGCTTCTCTCTCTAGAACCATACTTTCAGCCATACTTTCAGGCTCAGTCTCTCTCTCCTTCTCTCTCTTCAGAACAGTGTGCCGTAGTCGGGCTTCTCTCTCTAGAACCATACTCTCAGCCCTCTCTACAATACCTTACTCTCAGACTCAATCTCTCTCTCTCTCTCTATATATATACAAAAATATGCGAATAAGAAATGGATTAAAATCTCTCTCTATAAAAATATCGAACATAAAATATGAATCAAGGCTCGGATCCCATTTTTGAAACATGACTCCCCTTCTGTCACCCACGTGGCAGCCCCCCCCCCCCTCTCTCTCTCTCTCTCTATACACTCTCACTTTGTACACCACACACCACGCGAATCGGTGGGGAGGGGGGGGATCCCGGCCGAGTCAATCCGGATCGGCCAGTCTCACCCAGCTTCTCTCCTAGCTGGATTTCGATCGATAAACCAAGACCTACGTGTATCCCAAAAAGTCGAAAGAATGACACGTAAGCAAAAATAAACGATATGGGATTATAAATTTGAATCGTAACGACGGGGGCTGGGTATCATCTCACCAGATCGCCATCTCCGCCGTGGCGGAGGCCGCCGAGGGTTTCCTGGAGCTCCACCACGCGGAGCGCCTTCGTGAGGTCCGCTCCGCCACTGCCGCCCGCCTCCGGCCGCCGAGCGAGGATATCCAGATCTGCGGCCTCCACCGGGGCATGGAGCGCGACGAACTGCGGCAGCGCAGAGCCGGTTAGAAGTCCCCGGCGATGACCGGAGAGGGAGAAGATCAAGCTCACCTGGCGGAGATGCGCGACGGAGACGGCCGGCCGGCAGCAGAGGTGCGGCCGCGGCAAGCTAGGTAGATCTTGCTCGCCGGAGGGGAGCAGCGTCAGATGCACGTCAAACTGAGAAGAAGAAGAAGAAGAAGGAGAAGAAGTGAGATGCTGGTTTGATGGAGGTTTTGAGGATCGTTTTGATGTGTACCTCGTCGTCGTTGTCGTCAGAGTGGCGGAGGAAGTCTAGGATCCTGGATATGCGCCCGGGCTTGGAGTTCTTGGCGGCGGATCCAGCGGAGCTGCCATGGCGGGACTGGCTGCGAGCGCCGTTCTTCCCCCAGACGAGTACTTCGTCGGCGCAGGCGGGGGCGGGGGAGGGGGCCGGAGAGATCCGCCCGCCGGATCTGCGCCGCCGCTTCTGCCGGAGATCCGGCGAGGACTCGTCGGCGGAGGAGGACTCCCTGGCTCCGTCGTTGCCGCGGCCATCCTGATCGTCCTCGTCGGACCCCCCGAGGGGAGGCTCCCGGCCGGCGCTCCTGCTCCTGCTCCTGCTCCCCGGCTGAGGACCTTGTCTCCTCAGGAAGGAGGCGGCGGCCGTGGCCTTCACCAGCGACTTCTTCTTCCCCAGCGCCTCCGACTGCCGCTGGTACGTCTCTGAGATCGAAGCCTGAATCTGCCACCACACAGAGGAGAGAGAAAGAGAGTGAGCATAGAATGTAGAGAGAGAGAGAGAGAGAGTGGGGAGTGCCTTCTTGTTCCTCAGCTGGTCAGCTTCATGGAAGGCGAGCTCCTAATGGGGGGAAGAACAAAGAAGACGATTGATCAGGATTTTGTCCAGATTAGGAAATATGAGAGTGGGAATCGGGGGAGTGGGGATGATGATGACCTCCTGTTCATATCGGTCGATGTCTGGATAGAGGACGGCGATGAGGGCGTCAAAGTTGGGATCGTCTCGGAGAGATCGGCGGCTCGCGCAGTGGGTGCGGCAGGCCGGGCACTCATTGTTGCTGGAGTAAGAAGAACCCCACCACCGCGAAGATCAATCAGAACTTTCCAAAAACAGAAATTCTATAGATTACGAAAAAAAAAAGAAGAAGCTTAAATATGAGGACGAAGACGAAGATGAACCGAAAAAGGATTTGAACAAGTTCTTGAGATGAATCAAAACGAGGATGAATATGAGGTTTCGAGAGCTATGAGGAAGGAATTACCCGAGCCGCATTGACTTGTCAATGCACTCTCTACAGAAGCGATGCAGGCACTCCATTACTGTTCTTGTCTTGCGAATTATCCCTGAGGCCATACAGAGGAGGATGAGGATAAAATCAATAAACGCGTTCTTATATAAAAAAAATACTAAAAATAATTAAAAATAAAACCATTCAATGGAATTGTCCAAAATTGTGACGATTTTTTAGCGATCTTGTTCCTTCTGTTCTTAGTAAGCTTGAGGAGATGATGAGAATAACTATAATAGATATATTTAAAAAAATAAAAAAAACGAAAAAAGGCAGTCAAAGGCGATAAATGGAATTGCCTAAGATGGTAATCAATTTCAATATTAAAGAATAAAAAAATAAAACCATTCAATGGAATTGTCCTAATTTACGACGATTTTTTTTTTAATAAAGCGACCTTGTTCCTACTATTCTTAGTAAGCTTGGGCGAGCATAGAAGAGAGGAGATGACGAGAACAACAAAAATAAATATTTTAAAAATATATATAAAACCGAAAAGATTGGCAGTGAAAGACGATAAATGGAATTACCTAAGATGGTAACCAATTTCAATATTAAATAAAAAAATAAAACCATTCAATGGAATTGTCCGAAATTGTAACGAATTTTTGTAATAAAGATATCTTATTCCTACTATTCTTAGTATGCTTGGGCGAGCATAGAAGAGAGGAGATGATGAGAGTCATTAAAAACTATATTTCAAAAGATAAAAAAACCGAAAAACAAGGCAGTGAAAGGCGATAAATGGAACTACCTAAGATGGTAACTAGGTTCAATAATTGTAATTCTAGATCATACTTTTTCTGAAGGAGCTAGGATGAACAAGGTAGCCTCAATCAGGCCCAATATAAAGAAAGCCGGTGAATTATAAAAAAATAAAAATAAAAAGTGAATCAAATATGTATTATATATTATGTTATATACAGCGACTTTCATGAAGTGTAGAATGCTTTCAATCATTACTGCTAAATGCCATTGGAGTTTAGCATACAAGCTTAGCTTTAATAAATAAATAAAAAAACAAAGGGATCCGTTGGAGTTCAAGTTCATAAAGCCATGTGTGGACTTGGCTTCGTTTCTTTGCTACAACAGAGCTTGAGTTATTTCTTCAGCCGTCCACTTTACTGGTATCCATTGAGAATAGTCCCATATGGATAATTATAGAGATAACACAAATTTGAGGTTCTATCGTCTTTGAGATTTTATCCTCGAGTGGTTACACATTACCCAATAAGGAAAAAAAATTAATACACCATATGATAAGATGTTCAAAGCATGAGGATGATTTTCAGGAGAACCCATTGTAGAAAAATAAGTCAACCTAGTGGAAGAAGATGATCCTCAAGATTTTACATGATACTGCTTCAGTTGACTGATGCCAGTCGATACATGGGTTTTCCTCATCATCATCTAACTACATAGTATTAAGTCTGACAATTGTCAACTCCTCCCTAGGATTTAGGAAACTTCCAGCGAAATAAACTGATGACAAGTGTGAAGGGTGGCCCGGAGCGCCATTGATGATCATTCTACCGTTATGCTGCAGAGAGGAAAATATTCGTCGCTATTTAAATAATCTAAAAGCATCCGATATGTGTTACATGCCATCATTGTCATTCGCAGAATTGGAGGGTTATACGGCAAGATAAATGGGATTCTAGTTCAATAATCTGCTGTAAAACTGTTCAGAAAAGTTAAACTCATACCCAAGCATATTGGACACTGAACTTCCTTGCGAATGTCTGAAAGCTTAATAAGGACGTACCTAAAAGCGCAAAACATAAGCAATATCATTATTTACGGTCACAAGGACATACGTGGGTACATTTATGGCAGATAAATAAAACCCGGGAGACATTTCATTGGAGGAAAGCAAATGGCTATGAAATAGGAGATAAGTAAACGAGAGAGAATTCTCTGGAAGAAAGCAAATGACTAGGTAGGATAAACAAGCATACATGATCCAAAAGATAACCTTAGATGAAATGATGAATGAAGCAGCACAAGATACAGATAAAGTCCACGTCATCAAAGTGCTTTGTTAATTCCGTCAGGGTGGACGCAAATTGTTCCATCAATCCGCACTACTTGAATTACGCTATTTATAAGAATACTAGACCTAATATATTAACATCATATTACCCAGAGATGTCCTTTTTGGGCGAGATGATATGAATAATGCTAGCCTTAGTTATTTCAGTCAAATAGAATGATGATCGGTAGATATTGCCAGTGACAGATTGAAAGTAAAAACGTTGACCTTTAGAAGTCAGCAGATCAATGCTATAAGTCACTTTTACCGACTTAGCAGGCCGTATCCAACGTATTTCGATTCAAAGTACCAATGTGGATTTGTGTGCTAGCCTGCTTCTCACCCAGTGAAGCCAAGTCCTGTATGGATCTCAATGGGTAAACCAGAAAACAATGGACTCGGATGAAATAACTCACATGGTAACACCTACATGATTATTATGTAATTAGCCATAAATATGATGTTTGCCTTGATCTTTCCCAAAATAGGCCACTTCTTGAAATCAGTCCTTGTCTTTCAATGCATAGTAGCACCTACAGCCTTGAGAGATGCAGAGCTAGATGCAAACACAGCAGATCGACCTGTGCCCCCACCCCCCACATATACACAGAGACACTTCTCTTAACGGACTCAACCATCATCTATCTTCTCTACAACTCAATAATGCCAATATATTTTTTAGTATTGGAAATCCAAGTCAGAAAACCACCCTTCCTGTGTTCATTCTTGGCATCATCTGGAAGATGGAAACACCAGTGGAACAGTCAAATGGGATGCTACATTTGGCGTTCTGCCCAGATTATGCTAATAATACCAAATTTAATAATTTTTCAAGCAATAAAAGATAAGCAGAGAAACTAGAACTGTACAGATAATTCGACTAGTGTTGTAGCCTGATGTAGCTGAAAGACTATTATATAATACGTATAATTTGGAAAAAACTAACATATGAATAGTGGAAGGAAGGAATTAAATAGATGAAGAAGGAAAGGTTCTACATGGAGGAATTTAAGCAATAAGGAAGACCATAGCAATAAAAAGTAATCAACCGAAATATGCTGCTCTCTAAAGCACCGAATCAATCATATAAGCAACAAAAGTTGAGGGTCGTTCTGAAGAGCGTCACCAGCATTTATTGCACCTGATGATTTCTCTTTAGACAAGTCCATATAACTAGTGATTAAATCTAGATGGCAGCTCTGCTGATCATAAGATGGACCAAAAATGGGCGATTTAAGTCAACTAGGTACATCCAAAAATGGATGTATTCTGCATAACGACCAGATCATCAGGCACCCATGCTACATAATATTATTATGATCACTAAAATTTCTGATGAATATATCCTGCGGGGCGTTCAAACTTCTATGCAGATAAATTCAATATCACTGGCATGAAAATACATCCAAGGAAAAAGACACTATCCAAGCTTCCGATGAATACATCCTGCGGGATGTTCAAACTTTCACGCAGATAAATTCGATATCACTAGCCTGAAAGTACATCCAAGGAAAAAGACGCTATCCAACCTCTAGTATTTACCCACGTCTTTTAATGCGTGGAAAAAAGCAAAAACATCCAGAAGTGATCAACCTGAAACTTGCTAAGCACTCCGCCTGCTACAGGCTCAGTAAGTGAGAACAACAAGAACGGGTAAGGCGGATCCCGATGCAGAGAAGCAAAACGATGCGCTCATATAAACAGAAGAAAAAGCGCCAGCGTCCCCACTAACACTAAAACGGCAACGGAGCAACAATCTTAAGGGAGCAGAAGTCCGGGAGAAGAGAGAACGCATACTCGCGTTTCCCATCAACAGCCGCGCCGGACGGAGAGGGGATGCCTTCATCGTCAACATTCTCCTCTAAATCTGCAACAACAAACAGTCAGTCCCGCCATGGAGAACTCCACGAGATATCCAGAAGAAACAGCAAGCGAACGAGAAAGAGAGAGAAAAAGTGGCTAAACACATCGTTTTACCTTCCTTCTGATCTTCCTGTGACGGCACTGCTTCTTTGTCATCCTCTCTTCCACCTTCCACCTCCTGCTTCTGCTCCTCCTCCCCTTCCTCATCTCCACGACGCCGCCGCCGCCGCTGCTGCTGCTGCGCCGAGGGAGGAGCAGGAGACGGAGAGCCGCTGCCGACCCCGTCGTCCTCGCCACCGGAGTTATCGCCGCCTTCGTCAGCGCCGGAGCGGGGCTCGTCGTGCGGCTCCGGCGGGGGACGCTTCTGCGCCGGCATATCGTCGGCCGTCGCCTCCTCCTCCACCTTCCTCCTCCGCAGATCCAGACGACGATCTCCACCCCTCCTTGTGCTCTCTCCTTTCTCTCTCTTCCCTCTCTCATATAGTCTCTGCTCGGCTAGCCAGCCGTTGAAACCCCTCCCTCCTCCCCCACGCCCCCCTTGCGCTCGGTCGCAAGCTGTACACGATCGCACGTGTGAAACAGGAAATGTAACTAAACAGGTGTGAAAATATAATAATTCTTTTTTTAAAAACAAATCATTACATTTTTAAGTTTTCTATTTTTATTTTAGATTTATGCCCGTGTCCCCCTCGTCCTTCGCCGCACGGTGCTTGATCGCACGTGCGCAACCGTAATTTGTGTAAACACGTCTGAAAAATATAAGACCGCGTTTTAAAAATAAATATCAATGCCTGCTTTTAAGTTTTACCTTCACAATAACTAATTTATAAAATAAAAATCAGAATTTTTTATTTTCATCTTATGCCCGCTTGACCCCTCCCCCCACTCCCTCATACATGATAGCACGTGCGAAACAGTAGTTTTCATTTTAATGGATTTTTTACATCCCGAATTTAAATAATTTAAAACATATTTCCATTTTAGTTTTATCGTTGACTTTTTCTCACATTTTAAAAGTTTTATCTCCACATGAAATATTTTAATAAATTAAACATACATTTTTTATATTAGCTTTATTCCTCTACTAGCCTTGTGCAATTTCAAACCTGATGAGAAGTAAGTCAACCCTGACCATACTTGAAGTCAACCTCATTTAGTGAAAGATTGATTTGACTACCATCTATGGATTGCACTTTGAGGGACAAGTCAACAATGTTGGAAGGTCAACTTTTGCCAAGAAATACCAACATTGGGTAGAGGTACTTCTTTACGTTATGAGGGTATTTAAGTCTTTTCACACATTGACATCTTCTACAAGGGCAAGACATGGACCATAGAAAGCTTGTGAAAAATTAGGTTCTTAGAGAGAGATAGAGAGACATGAAGAGAGATGACCCAATCTAGATTATCCTTCTTTCTAAGCTCCACCTTTTTTATGCACTTGTTAGAGATAGATAGTGATAGAGAGAGAAAGAGAGAGAGAGAGCACTACATTGGTCCCATGTTATCTTTCTTTTTGGGGCTTGAAGGTATACGAGGCGAGGTTCGTGGACCACTTCATAATTATCCATATCATGTACATTTAAATAAATGGGAATTATAATAATTTTAAATAATTTCATTATATATATTTCATAGTTAAGAATTCATTGCACACAGAAAAAAGATTGCGTAAAAAGAAAAAAATATTGGTGATAAAATATATCTTAAATTATTTGAAGGATAAATACTTAGTATCTTTTAGATTTAAAAAATGAAAGTATATGGAGACATTTTTAATTTTTGAAAAATAATTTATATGTATATCCTGGTTTCTAATAATTATTTAGCCAAAAAATACATTACATTAATTATTTTTATTTTTATTTAAAAAATAAATTAGGAAAATTTGTCCAGACGAAAATAAAAATAACGGAATTCCGTGGGAGTTAGTGCCATTGAGGCGGTGCCGTTTGAAGATGCTCTACCGGTAACTTCACTGCAAGGTTACAAGAACGATTTAACCGCTGATCTCTGTTTAACTAAAAACCTGAAGATCCCTGCACTTCCTCCCCTCTCTCTCTCTCTCTCTCTCTCTCTCTCTCTCTCTCTCTAGCTCTGTGATGTCGTTGAGGAGCTTAAAAGAGAATCTGAAGAGACAATCTTCTTCATCATCCACCGCCTCCTTGCGATTCTCATCAGAATCTCAGAATTCCATCTCGTCGTCGCTGCAGGAGGTGGTTGCCCCGCCGAGGAAACCCCCCAAGTCCTCGCTCTCCCAGCAGCTCCAGCGGTGCAGCGGCTCCCTCGATTTCTCTTTCAGCCCCCTTCCTCCTCGTCCCCCTCCCGTCCCTCGTCGGACGCCCGTTGGAGATGGACACTCTACGACTGGTGAGGAGAAGAAGATTTCAAGTGGGCAGGGTGCTGAACGACATGTTGCCCTCAGCGACGAAGAAGGCGATGAAGAAGATCAAGATGAAGTACGAGGTGTCCTCTCCCGACCAGCCTCATCGGACTTCTTCTCCAGCGCCGTCAGAGGGCCCTTTGAGCCATTTATCCTCTCTTCTCCCGGTGAATCTCCTATCATTCAGGTACTTTTGCTCCTTATCTCTCCTTGTCCCTTAGAGCATTCTTGGGAGCTTTACCAAAATAAGTAAGGCTTTGCTAGGGTTCTGGGTTTTTACCGTAGTCTGATTTATTTCTTCTAGTAGTGTTTGGTCTTCACCGAATAGTTATAGTCAAGAGTTACTGTCTGCGATTTGATCAACCCTCTATAGGGGAAAAGGAAATATCGATGTGCAGAACTAGCTTTTTCATGATGAAACTACGCAATTCCTTGACTGGGTATTGTTCAATGATCTAATGAGGCATTCATGAACTAGGCATTATGGGGACGAGGAAACATGACATCAGTAATAGCTGGCTAGATCCAATCAGCAGGTATGAGAAATGGCGGGAAGGTACGTAGCCAAGAGGGAAGAGACAGAAGGGCCACTACGTCAATGCCTATAGAAAAGGGGTCAGGGATGGTGTGTTGGGGAGATAGGTGAGAGATTATGTCAGATATATCTGATCGTGCTTTCATGCGTGATGCATGAAAGGTAGATATAGCTGAACAACCAGGGAAAGGGAATAATTAGTATCGAAATAAGTTGAATGTTTGTAACTTGCATTGCATATGAGTCATATTTCATACTTTGTTGAATAAGTATAGGATAAGAAAAGAGAAATCTTCAGAGCATTATTTTCCTTACTAAGATGTCCATTTTGCCACTTGATCATTTCTCTAGACCATGATGGAGTGAGTTAGGATGTTTATAATGATTTTCACATAAAAAAATTCTTTATTAAAAGTGATGAACTTCTTTATAGGTTCCTGCATCAATCAATTGTAGGCTTCTAGAGCATCAAAGGGAAGGAGTGAGATTTTTGTACATGTTGTACAAGAAGAATCATGGTGGTGTACTCGGGGATGACATGTAAGTTTTTTTTACTGCTTCTAGCTCATTTGATTTTTTTTTGAGTAATTCTCATGGTGTAAAGTTGGGAGTTGTTACAGGGCTAGTGTCAATATAAACCGAGGGTTTTCATCTGTAAGGTTGCATAGGCACCAGTTAGGCGCTGCTCAAATGTTCGCACTTTTAATTTTTTTTTTTCATATCAATTTTTTTCCTTTTGAATCAGGGGTCTGGGGAAGACCATTCAGACCATTGCTTTCTTGGTTGCTGTGGCTGGCAAAGGCTCCGAATATCAGGATGCCCAGGTGAGCAAAAGAGAACATATGACAAGGATAGGTCCAGTGCTGATAGTCTGCCCAACTTCTGTCATATGCAACTGGGAAAATGAGTTCCAAGAATGGAGTGATTTCAGTGTTGCCATCTATCATGGACCAAATCGTGATTTGATCCTTGACAGGCTAGAAGTTCGAGGTGTTGACGCCCTCATAACCAGCTTTGACACATTCAGAATTCATGGCAAGATCCTATCTGAGGTCAGGTGGGAAATTGTAGTTGTTGATGAGGCTCATCGCTTGAAGAATGAAAAATCCCAGCTGTACAAAGCGTGCTTGGAAATCAAGACAAGGAGGCGTTTTGGGCTTACTGGAACCATAATGCAGAATAAAATAATGGAAGTATTTAATTTATTTGACTGGGTTTTGCCTGGATCCCTTGGAACCAGGGAACATTTCCGAGATTTCTATGATGAACCCTTGAAGCATGGCCAGAGGGTAAGTGCTCCTGAAAGATTTGTCCAAATTGCTGAGGAGAGGAGGCAGCAGCTTGCCTCAGTTCTACACAAGTATCTCTTGAGGAGGACCAAAGAGGAGACCATCGGCCATCTTATGTTGGGAAAGGAAGATAACATTGTTTTTTGTGCTATGAGCGAGCTGCAAAAGCGTGTCTACAGAAGGATGTTGGCGCAGCCAGAGATTCAATGTCTCATAAATAAGGATCTTCCTTGTAGTTGTGGAAACCCTCTTACTCAGGTTGAGTGTTGCCATCGGATAATTCCCACTGGAATCATTTGGTCTTATCTTCACAAGGACAACCCAGAAGGTTGTGACTCCTGCCCATTCTGCGTGGTTCTTCCCTGCCTTGTGAAGCTGCAGCAGGTGACTCGGCTTTTCATTTTATGTTTTGTCACTAGTCTTTAAACCTCAAGTTATTAGTATGATTTTTCCAGATAAGCAATCACCTGGAACTGATCAAGCCCAATCCTAGGGATGAAATAGAGAAACAGAAGAAGGACGCTGAGTTTGCATCTGCGGTGTTTGGTGTGGACATTGACTTGGTGGGTGGCAGTACCCAGACTGAAAGCTTTATGGGTCTTAGTGATGTAGAACATTGTGGAAAAATGCGAGCTTTAGAAAAGCTTTTATCATCGTGGATCTCATATGGCGATAAAGTTCTCTTGTTCAGCTACTCTGTCAGGTGATCATTAATTTCTGTCACTTATGAAATCCATTTGTGGCTTTTTCCCGATTAACCTGTAATTGTTTTATGTTCGGTTGTATTAATCCCCAATAATTCCGTTTAATTTATTTAAAAATTACAGTTCTTGATCAAACCCTGAGTTTGACATGTACATAATCTATCTTATAGTATCATTTATTTATTTATTTATTTTTAATCTGTTGAGAATGCCTTATATATGTGTATTCCGTTCATCATCTGATAGTATTATATCAGAGTAAGTTTTCATTAATAAAAGGCCTTGTGATATACTTTATATATTTTAACCGTCTGGATGATATCCACGTTTTTCTGTCGTTCTTGTTGTGTGCCTAGTTCCATGGATTAGAGGTGGAACCAGAAAAACGTAATCACAAAATGGAAGAAATTTAAAACCCAAAAGGATTTTTCCCCTCTGAAAAAAAAACCCACAGACCTGATTGATATGGCGTCATGTCAGATGATTTAACAGAGGGCGGCTGCCATCAGCTTGTGGCGTAACGATAAAAGAATCTTTCTCTATGTTGTGTCTATATCCAGGGAAAAAATAAACAGTTCTGTTTTTTTTTATGCATATTCTGATGAGATTTGGTTTCTTTTCTGCTCTAAACAGGATGCTGGATATATTGGAAAAGTTTCTCATCCGGAAAGGCTACTGCTTCTCCAGACTTGATGGCACAATTCCGATGAGCTTACGCCAGTCTCTAGTTGATGATTTCAACAGGAGCCCTAGTAGACAGGTGATTGATATTCTTGAATGTAATACCTGTATCATCTATTTTATTGGCGTCAACAGATCGTTTGCCCTAGTATATATATGACCAATACAAGTAGATCATATAATGTGCATACGATCTTCTCATGCAGGTGTTTCTGATTTCAACAAGGGCTGGTGGATTGGGTCTGAATCTCGTCAGTGCCAACCGGGTTGTGATCTTTGACCCCAATTGGAACCCATCTCAAGACTTGCAAGCGCAGGACCGGTCCTTCCGCTATGGTCAGAAACGTCATGTTGTGGTGTTTCGGTTCCTTGCAGCTGGTTCGATTGAGGAGCTCGTATATACTCGGCAGGTCTACAAGCAGCAGCTCTCCAACATTGCTGTTTCGGGGAAGATGGAGAGGCGCTACTTTGAAGGAGTCCAGGTGTGATGCACATCTTAACTAGCAGCCCTTCAGTTCTACCCCTCTCTGTTTTTTTTTCCTTTTTTGGAAAATTTTGGATTGTTGACGGGATCAAGTTATCTACAGGACTGTAAAGAATTCAAGGGCGAACTATTTGGAATCTGCAATCTTTTTCGAGATCTATCTGATAAGCTGTTTACTAGTGAGATCATTGAATCGCATGGGGATCAACAGAAAAGTAGTAAAAAATCTTACTGCATTGAGGAAAAATGTGGGGAAGATCATGCCGTTCTAGAGAAGCAGATTCTTAGTCTTCCTTCCATGAAAGGAACAGAGAAGGGAGTTCCAGCTCAAAGGAACCTTGATCTCCACCTGTTGGATGTGAGAAAAGTTGGAGGCCTGCATGATTTGGGTAAGTATTGTTGACTTTGTTCCTTTATATTTAGTTCCAATTTTTCTTCTGCATGGATTCTGGTTTGTATCTCAACCAACCTTCATGAATCAAGTGCGGGCATTCTCAAAGTCAGACTTAGCTCCAAATGCATCTCAAAGTTCATTGCGAGAGTTGATGTTCATTAGAGAAAACATCCCCACCGTTGACCAATGAAGGTGTGGAGAGTGGCCTCATGAGCTTGCCTTCTGATTCATCTCGAAGGTCAAAGTTACAAGGATATTACAGTAAAAATCTCAAGTCACTGAAAAAATTATAGAAAGTCACATCATAAACATCCCCACCCGTTGACCAAGGAAGGTATGGAGAGTGGCCTCATGACCTCGCCTTCTGATTTATCTAGAAGGTCAAAGTTAGAAGGATATCATAGTAAAAATCCCAACTCATTGAAAAAAATATAGGAAGTGTAATCATGAACATGGCTTCTGATGGTGGCCCTTGAAGGCCAAGAAAAGTAGGACATTAGAGGAAACATTCCACTTCATACAACAAGGTCAGGAGCATGACCTCAAAGGTCAAAATTAGCATATATGACTATTACAGTAAAGATCCCAACTCATTGACTAAAGTCTGGAGAGGACATCGCGAAATTAGCTTCTAATTAGGTTTTTATGTCAAAATTAGTAGAATATTTAGAGGAAACACCCCCTCCCTCCTAAATTCATTGGACAGTTCATTAATTTCAGTAGGATATATTTACTTTGATCTATGTGATGTGGATCATGTCATTATAGCTTGGATACCATTTGGCCCATCACCTTCATCTGCCATGGGTTTGTCTGGAAAGGTTTTTGAGGATGGCTCAAGAGTAGCTGACCTAGAAAGCTTTCTTAGGCGAAGGACTGAATGAAGATCTTGAATGAGCTCAACATGATGCCATAAAAAGTATATTTATATTTAGGTGAAAGTAGAAGCCATGCATTCGATCATCTGCTCTGGGAATCTTCACCTCACTCCTCTATTCAATAAATTTATCAAACTGTTTATTCCATTTTTGGGGGTAATTTAGGCAATTGAAGGCTTGGATTCTCATCCTTGTTCTACTCAAATCCACAAATTAGAAGTAAAAACAGAGAAAAAAAGAAAAAAAAGGAAAACTGGGTGAATAGATTTTGATGGTACAAACCCCCCTAGAGAGAGAAATTATGAATAAATTTGATGAGACCTCCCCCCCTATCACATCTATCTGCTCTGGACTACTCTATTCAATAAATTTATCAGAACGTTTATTCCATTTTTGGGGGTAATTCAGGCTACTGAAGGCTTTGATTCTCATCTTTGTTCTACCCAAATCGACAATTAGAAGTTAAAAAAAAAGGATGAATAGATTTTGAAGGTACAAACCCCCCTAGAGAGAGAAATTATGAATAAATTTGATGAGACTACTCCCCCCTCCCACATCTATCATACATCTAGGAGGCTTTCTACTTTTGTCTGAGCCAGCCATATTTGGTCAACTCTTTCCTTAGTTAGAACATTCTTTGACTGAACCCATTAAACGGTGGACTCCCATTTCATTCATGCTCACCTCCTCTTACAGGGATTGTTTATGCCCACCGGAACGAGGACATTGTGAATGCAGGGCCGGGTGAAGGCCCTGCGAGCTCGGAGGCCAAGATCTCAGATGGAAATCAGATGGAAGGAGGCGCTTTCTGGAGACAGAAGGCTTCTAGAGAGAGAAACAGCAAGAGGGCCGAGTACGAACTCATTGCGGAGGGGAGGGGGATGGGGGTGATGGAATTCAGCAGGTGGGTGCTGGCGGCCTCGCCCTCTGATCGCCAGGGGGTCCTTGCAGAGTACTACAAGAGGAGGAAGCGGAAGAAGACGAAGGGGACCTTGGAATAATAATGGTCGCCATTGTATATTCACAAGGCCGGCTTACTCTCTCTCTCTCTCTCTCTCTCTCTCTCTCTCTCTCTCTTTCTCTATCTCCCTCTCTCTCTCTCTCTCATGTGGCGCTCCTTCCTCTTCGGTTGATGGAGGGAGAAATAGTAGAGGTGATATCCATAATTAACGCGTAAATATTAGTGTAAACTTAGAGGCTTTGAATCTTCCCATGTTTTATTTTATTTTATGGAAATGTCAAAGCGTCTGTCATACCAAATCATCATAAACCATATGCAAAATATCAATAAATACAAAATTTTAATCCACTCATTGCATGTAAAATATATTGCTGAATTCTATTTGCAAAATCCTTCCAACTATTCGAAACAAAACATTTTTCATTGGATATGAATCCGCTCTGCCCACTTCAGACAATTTATTCCCAATTGGGTGGGCCGTGGACACCAAAACTGGTAATAAGTTTATTTTTAGTGCTGGGGACAAGGCTGAAGCCGCCATCTACCTCTGAAAAACTGGGAGATACTGCCGGCAGGGATCATCATCCACCCTTACATGCTAATGGGCGTAGGGATGAAGGGTTTTGCTCAAGAGGGTTATGTTATCTATAAGTTCTTGACTATCTTCCTTTAATTCTCATTCAGCCCCTCCAATCAATAATCCACTTCACAACCATGAATGACTATCACCCACATATCAACAAACTATAGAAGTATTAGAGGGAATATCCATGGTATGCAACCAGATGGATGGATAGCCATGAATTCCCTTCAGGAAACCAGAGCGATCAAATCACATGCCCTGATTTCTCTTTTCTATTTTTTATTTTCTTGCTTGTTGAACTTCAACTCATTATCTGATCTAAATTTCAGAGTAATTGAGAGAAGAAGAGGGGAGAGGAGATCTGTGGAAGTTTTATTTCCTTGGAATGCAGCAGCCTGTCAAAGGAACTTATCTCAATCAAATCAAAGCCAGCATTATCATAATCAAGGTTGAAGCATACAGGCTGATGAGGTACCCCCCCCCCCCCCCTCTCTCTCTCTCTCTCTCTCTCTCTCTCTCTCTCTCTCTCTCTCAAAGGCTGCAAGGGCGTGGGAGAAAAGGAGACTTTGACTTGTCTTGCTGAGAGTATTGGATAAATCACCCACCTGAACCAAGAAATAGAAATAAATGTCAGGGTGAAAAGATAAACAGGTAAAGAGAAATCAAAAGAGGAAATCGAATTTACCAAAATTCAGCCAGTGGGTGCGTTGAACGACGGCCTAAAGCAAGTATTATACATAGAAGCTTAATCTAAGCTGGTGGCAACGGCCGTCGACAAGTAGGGCATTCCATCTTTACATCCATCCATCTTTGTAAGCAGCCAGAATGGAACAAATGTTCACAAGGCGTAACCTGTACACACATGAATTTCATCAAATTTACTAAATCTATATAAATATGTACATATAGATATATATATATATAGATATATATATATATAGATATATATATATATATATCGGGGGTGGAGGGGGGGGGGGGCTGACAGTTTCATGCTCGGTCGAATCCATACCATGTGGTCACTGGGTTGTTGTGTAACGTCAATGGCAGTCATGCAGATCACGCAATCAATAGACTGAGATGCGTCATTGTCGAGCCTCCTGGAGTAACTATATTTTTCTGGCAAGATCTGTCACCAATCGAACGAGTAAAGAAGATTGCTGTGAGTACGGCTTGATTGAAGATGAAAAGCTGTCTAAAATGATCCAAACTGCTAATCGATTGAACTTTTCAACTCATACATTTAAACCAAAAGATATTTTTGATTTCCCTTTTGATGTCAGAAAAGATGATACTGACCCATACTGATTAAATTATACATTGCTAAAATAGGTTCTGAGCCATCAAGAATCGAATGCCAAGTGAAAATTTTCAGTGGCCATATCCTCTTCTCAAAATTTATTTATTTATTTTTTTTTTTTTGGTGTTGGTCAACCCAGTGCAATTAATTACGATGATGAAGTCACAGAGTTTGTTGAGAAAATATAAAATAATACTGATAATATCTTGACATAAAATACCCACCTCTGTTATGTTAAGATGGGTGCTTAGTTTTTAGGAGCAAATATATAAATTATAGTGATAAAACGCGCTGAACAATAAAAAATGATTTTGACGATAACAAAGCCATGATTTCTAAACACTGATGCTCCTCAGAGATGAGCACGGCTACCATAAATATATATGCTCTGACATAAAAATAACAGAAAAAAATTGTGAAGAAAAGTATCATAGTCTTCTATCATAAGCACAGAGAAATGCAAAGCCTGATTTGAAGCAAACGACTGCAATTTAGAGATATCATCTCTTTAAACAGAAGGAAAAAATAAACACTTGACCAGCTGACATTATTTAGATCGTAGACTCTGAGCTAAGAGTAGATTAGGATGGAGAAAATATTAGTGGGACACTTCAACTCAGTTGCAGCCACTGAATTCCTCTGCCTTTTCATCTTACTTGAAAATTAGACTTTAGAAGTTCAATTTGGAGCCTGTTTTACTGAAATCTTCCACTTGAGTAGAAAGTATAGCTCTACTGATGTGACATCACTCCATGACTGGAACCCGTCCAGCCCAGTCCCACTAAAAAAGAAGCCAAGGGATTTACAGAAAGGGGCAAGCCAGCATTTCCGTGCAGGGCCTGATACTCAAGGAATAGAAAATATAACCTCCTGAGTGACTATGTGGGTTAGATCCTATCCATTCGTTTGTGCCAATCTCCTCTCTTTACCATCTCCCTCATCTCCTAGTAAATACAAGTGGCATCACTGAAATGGTAGAACATATTTTAGTCACAGAAACTTTCCCCAATATGGCTCCTTGCATCTTTCTATGTTAAGCCCTCTCTAGATCAGAATATGGTGATCAGAGTGAGATCAGTCCAACTGCCCATAAAATTTCCTAATTCTCCCAGAATCGTAGCTCGCTTGAGGCAGATGAAGGCCATAAATTGCTCATCTCATCTCATTAGAAAGGTCACGAGGATGAGGAAAATAAAGCATCATCTTGGGTTCCAACCCAGATATCATTGTAGTTTCTCTAGTTAGATCTCACCAAACCTGCTAGACATCACCAGCTTTTATGGCAAAATCCTTGCTGGAGTGCATCAGACACAGGTGGCGCGAGAAATATGGCAAGTTTTAGCATCCCATTCAAGTGTCCAGAATTATACTAGAGGAAAATAAGGAATCAAACTCAGCATCAAAAAGGATCATCTCGGATGGAATTCCAAAGATGGCAGTCGATTCACAAACCTGACGAGGTATGAAACATCTAGAGCCAAGATAATGTTGCAGGAGGAGAATTGCTGCCTGTACTCCAACAAAAGCTCCCAAGCATATGCACCAAGTCTTATCAACCTCAATTCTCATGAAATTGTCCGGGCAACCAAATATGTATAATGGAACTGCAAGTCGAGTGACAGTCATGCCTAATACGTAATGAGGATGCAGTGGCTTTCTTGTATCACGAACAACGTTGGTCACTATCTGAGGTATCCAGAAGGAGTACATGAGGAAGAGAATAAAACGCAAGATGCTCCGGAACTCATACATGACCAGGATACCCCCCAAAAGAACACCATCTGAAAATAGAAACATGGATATCAGGCACCAGGGGATCTCATAAATCATCAGTAATACAAAACCAGATATTTGACATAAATATAGGCAAGTTGATGTTTCAAACGTGGTACTTCACTGGAGAAACATCGTATGAATTTGAGACCAAACACAGAGAAGATGATCTTATATGAATTATGATAATTAATGTAACACCATAAATAATAGATGGGGTTACTGGTCATATAGATATAACTAACTATGGTGTCCATCTACAAGATCAAACAATGAACTCATCTTCTTTCGGTCCACATAATTCCATGATATGTGCTTTTGGTCACCCTACAAAGATACTCTGGTTTTTGTAAGGAGTCATACTTTAAAATCCTTCGATATAGGTGAACCATGAGTGTTTTCTTCGAGGATTAAGGAACCTTTTTTTCCTTGGAAGTAGACTAAAGAAAATCTCAAATTCAGGAAAATTTCCAAGATATTTGCTGTACCTTCTAAGTTTAAAAGATTAATAAATAAATAATGTATGCAAAAATTACTGGGGACTATCTGAACAAAAAGCTAAAATCAAATGGTGACCTGACTACATCAAAAACTATATTCTCCTTCCACTGAAGATCATTAATCAAGTCATGGAGGGAACAATGAATGCCTGTCACCAAGATATTCCTAATTGTTGAATCTGACACCAGAATATTATAGACCTTCGTTGGCAGTATAGCCCAAGGAATAATTCCTTCATAGAGTGATATATACTTTCATAGGCAAGGGGTCACAGGCAAAGCAATCTGAATCAACTGGAACCAAAAAAACAAAAAATAAGGGAGATATATCATTAGATCACTTACAGAAACGGCTATAAAGAACTGATAGCTCACGTCTCATTGATTCCCAACCTTCTCCGCTATTCAAAGGTCTATTAGCTTTCCATATTGCAAGAAGGTACCTCATCTCAAAGATAGAGAAAACTACGAACTTGAAGAAGGCAGCAGTTGCAAAAGCATTAAACAGGGATTCTGCAAACAAATGTAAGGCAGAGTGATATTGAGACCAGTCCAGGCCCACTAAATGATTGGTTTAATTATGCAATAGATAAAATGTACTGCTCTACAGAACATAGAAATGTAGGAAGCACAGGCAAGTGCTAAATGCAAATAGAAACACGTACAACAGTTGATGAATCCTGTCTAGAGAAAGAAATCACAAAATAAGTCATTTTGGAAACAAAGATCAACTGAACGATGGCACACCAAGACGGTATGATTCAATTCCAGATTTATAAATGATAGCTAGAAAGTTCATTAAACTAAAACCATGTAAGATATAGTTCACAGGGTACTGGTATTATTCATAACAACGCTCAAAAGTTGGTATGCTGGCTCACAGGGGAGTGTGCTAAGAGCTGTCCTGAATTCGTAAGAACAAAAGTAAACTTGTGACTATAAAGATGAGCCTACTGCACTCATGTCCAATTGGTTATGAGTCGGACAGCCCAGTTACTATTCAAAGAGATTACATAGCTCATTGTGAAGTTCGTCATGCTAATTGGACTGATGCTCATATTCACTCATCCAACTTTTTCTCTATCCTGATGTTTCGATCAATATCTTCATTCGTAAAGTTAGATATTTGCATTTCTGGAGTTGTCATGTCTAAGTCTTCTTTAAAGCTAGATCCTCGCTCCTTGATGGTTAACATTGGTGACTCCGTCACTAATGTCGAAATTCCTTGTCATACTACCCACATATGATCAGCTTTCTCTTTATGTACGACCCAAGGAGCGAGGATGACCGATGTGAAGAGAAGGATGACTTATTGGACCACTTGTTTCTTGAGGACTAATTTTTCCATGATAAACTGGTAAAATAGAAAATGCCTCTCGTCTAGTGGAGTAGTTGACATATTAGCATAAAAAGTAAGTGATGCACAAAAGTGATGGGAAGCTATGAGTCATCTTTCAGATTCATCTTTCATGCTTTATGCTATTTGGGATAAGAAGGACAATGGGAATTTTTAAAAGCAAAGTTGCATGACAGAGAGGGTAGGCATTACTGTATGCGAAGGGTGAGGGAGTGAACTATGGAATGTCAGACGCATTACGCAAGACACAATATTTTAAGGCCATTACAGGGCTTAATTTACTAACTGGGCCCAACAATGAATCAATTAACATCATTAATTCATCATTGCCTTATTGATGGCCAATTTCTCCCTTTTATTGTGATAACAGGGATCCCCACTAAAATACTAGAAATATGGTATCTCATGAGTGTTACTGAGACACTTCTAGACAGCATCCACCTGTAGCTTCCCCCTGGCAATTATATGATCTCTGTATTTAGTCCCAACACGTGCCTCACACTGAATTCATGATGAAAGAGCAACACAAGTAAAAGTGAGAATAGGAAGCACTCACCAACCAAAATACCCGCAGTTAGATGCAGGAGACAAAGATAAGCATCCATAATAGCTTGCTGCCCAATCATTATAATAGAAACTTTGGCCGCCCCCTGAGATTTTTAAAAGTAATAAAATAATAATATCAGGCTTTCTCGGACACTAAAAGAGTTGATTCTCAAGTCAATTCTTATGAATCGCCTGAAAGAATGTAGATCAAATTACCGATTGAGTATTGCTATGCTCCATTTGTCGAATCAATAAAAGAACTTGGAGGAAGGAAACCTATTGTTAAACTGTCAAGGAATTCCAAAAAAAGAATATCGAAAATCCCGTAAATAATAATATATCAATACATAATAATTCCTTTCCAAATTAAAGGATACAAGTGTAACCATGAGCGTGTAATTAACTGCTTTGTTATAGTATATTTCAATATTTACTGAAGTGGCATTTAGGCTAATTGCTGAGAAACACTCTCCATCATCACCAATTCCAGGACTCTCCATTATGCCCTCTAAATGGTATCTTTCATGATCTCCATCTGATTGCAAGGAAAAAATACAATTTAATAACGATGGTGAAAAGAGGGTAACATACTGGCAACACAAAGATCACATGCCAAACGAGAAAGTTGCATGCAAGTTAACATGAATAAATGATGACAACGAAACTGTTGGAACGAGAACATTTGGAATCAACTGATAAAAGATGTATGAAATCTAAAAAAATATATTATCTACCAACAATGCATAGATAATGTGACAAACAAGAGAGTTTCATTTAATTTAATACGAATAGGTGGTGGTACCAAAAAATTCGAGCGGAAGCATTCAGTATCAACGGATAAAAGACATAAACCCACTTACCAGAGTAACCCATTGGAAGTTAAAGCACTGTATTGACACAGTAAAGCTGAAATATGAAAGGCATATTCAATGAACACCATGCCCTCCAACCGGCCTTCTTTCAGCACAATCGTTTTAAAAGAAATGTATTCCCCAGATTGATCACACTATAGGCTGGATGCAGGCTAAAGGGGATGTGTGAGGTGGCAGAATATGGTCTTGGTGCATCCCAATTTCTGTGCATTTATTTTGAAATTTATGAAGCTGACTATAATTGGAGTTTTTATCGTTCCTCTGAGACTGAATGGCCCAGGTAATTTTAGTTCATCTCTGATGTGCTTGCTGCCAAGATTATTTTCTTTATTTGTCCATGGTTACATTATGTATATTTGTCTGTAGTTACGTTAGAGACCATGTAAATATGGCAGTCTGAATGAAGATTTTTATGCCTGGTGAACAGCTGAAAGTTCAATTATGAATAACTACAAATGGACAACACCAAGATACATTAGCCGATAAATTTTACTGGTCAACAGAGTGCCCACTTTTTAGCTATAAAGGAATCACAGCAAAACAAGCAGATCTCATTCCGTTCTAGTTTCTACAGAAAATGATGAGCCTCCAATTAATTATCACTTGTCGGTGGCTAATTAATATTTCCTGCGTGATGATAGATCACAGGAAATACCCCACTCCCCACTGATGGATCCAAGCATTGTCTTAGGAAGAAATCTTGAATGATCGTATTAATACATATTATATCTATTCACAAAAGAAGCTCTAGGAAATGAAGTTTTCCTAGAAACTGTTTTGTTGTTCACTATTCATATGCCTCATAATGTCTTGTCATGCAAGTTGCCCAAATGCATAGCAGGTTAATCTCGTCATATTAAGTCTCCACTCTGCAGGCAATCACTCCAAAATAGCAGTCTATTTTGTCCTCTCGAATGCCAGTCACCAAGCAGGACCTCTCAAATGGTAGAACGATCCCAGAATAATGCCACATGCATTATTCTAGATGCTCCAAAAATTGTGCAAAATTGACAAATTAGGGGCTGAATTGTTCTGGGGTTGGGCAAGATTCAAGAACCCTTCCAAATAGTTTATTATGCATTTAGGGTTAGAAATTAAGGTAGTGCCATTTTATCTTTACCCTTGTTTGAAGTCCTAGTCATGTAACTAGCAATCGAGAGGATGGAGAAGAATACACAACAGGCATCTCGCAGCCCATGGGCAAGCAGAGGCGCTTCTTTCAATAAAAATGAATAAGCGAGGAAATGGCACCCTGAACAGATGTTCTAAACCCCGAGCTCTTAGAATATCTGGTTACCAGTTACAGCACGAGGGGGTTCCTTATCAAAACTTCATTTTGTCTAAGGTCAAGGAGGTGAGAAACTTACAATAGTAGATACATGCTTGCAACATTATTTTCTCATTTAATGGCTGTACACTTACTAATGACGGTTTCAAGGGCTATAAAACCTAAATCTTTAATTGTCAACATGGTCTTGGAAATAAAAACCCGTCGAAGTATCTATATAATGACGATAACGTTACTAATAGAAATGCCCCTAACACATCCTACCTGGTAAACCTTGACATCCCAAGGAATGTGATCACAGTATGCTACAAGCATGGATTAGGTTGAGTTTATCACGATCCTACCAATATATTCAATTGTAAAAACGACACTAGAAGATATTTGCCCGGCTACTATTGAAAACCAAAAACACTTCAAAGAAATTCAGAAAAACACTTTAATGTTGATCTTGTAAAGTGCATCTGAGCAACACAGAAATGCAGATCATAAACATGCACCTAAAATCACTGTGATAGACTATACATTGAATATCTGCCAACAACACTTCTGGGTCTCTGAGGCAAAGGCCCTTTAAAGGTAGCTAGTTATTCCTGGAGTTCATATGTATATACCACTCACATAGGTCAGTTCAGAGGTATTTCAGTGTACATTCCATTTCTCCAAAAAATACTGAACTTCATTCCTGCATGTGACTACATGAAGCATATCAGACTTCAAACAAGCGAAAAGATAAAACGGCACCACCTTAATTTGGAGCACCGAATCCATAAGATCATCAACCATCGGGAAGCGTTCTAGAATCTCGGTCAATCCCAGAACAATTCAACCCCTAATTAGGCCAATTGTGCATAGATTTGGGAACACCTAGAGTAATGTATGTAGCATAGCAAATGATATCGGTCCCATCCCTTCTCCCTTCGGTGAACTGATAGATTCGGATTACCACAGTTTGGAAGAACTCTACTCAAGATCACCATCACACTGAAAATAATTGGCGAAAATAAAACAAGCCGGAGACATGGTTATACATGTCAAAGTATGCGATTAAAAATGCCAAGCAGGGGACCGATTATCATCCAATGATTGACATGCAAAGGTAGCTTCTAACAATCTTACTCTGAAGGATACCTGTGAACCTAGCGCATCACAAGAACGACAATACAACTGGTATAACAGACTAGTAGTAAAGAGTAAATCCAATTGGTGCCACCACTATCTGATTGCCCATTATCACAGAAAACTCCGAACTAAATTAGTTACAATGACAGGTGAGCAATAGAAAATCTTACAATAAATCTAGAAAAAAACTTACTGCTTTGGCTGGGTGAGATAGGTGAAAGCTGAGCCGCTATCTCTATGCTACAATGCTTCTCCAGATCACGCATAAGTGCTGCAAAAGAAGACATCTTAAGAGGATCCCAGGGCATTGCAAACTAAATCATGAAAAGCCAAAAGCAAAATGACGATACATTTTTTCCACTGGATCTTGTCTCTTGCAGACTCTGGAAACACCTGAGAAGAAAATGCGCCAAGCTGTTTGAAATAAAAAGCAAGCAGTTACTGGTTCAGTTGTCATCCACATGGCAAAAATGAGTCGGTAACAATGAGGGATCTCATCAACTGCGTTGAACTTGAAATATAATAGTTGCATAACCAAGTCCAAAGATCATAAAAATTGAGCAAGACAAGAGTAAGTTATATCCCAAAGATAATACTTGGATTCAAACAAAGATAGGCATAGGCAGAAACCAGCATTGGAAAGTAATTATTTTAGAAAGGGTCATGATATGGGCATTCTATTTTTTAAAGAATGTGATTAGTATGGAATTTTCCAAAGTCATCCGCATGATGTACAATCTAGTTCTGGGTGCTCAAAGAGACGCTTTCCTGACATCCATGGCAGAGAGTTGATTTCTACCAATTTTGAAACACTTCAAATATCATGCAACCTAAATATGGATAGTCACTTCTAGAGGATTATTCTGGGTTTTCATTTCTCCTTTCTTTCATTAATGCCCTCCACTACCTATAAAGCATCTCAGAAGCATTTTCCACCCATTGCCTTTGACTTTCTTCAATTGTTACAACACTTTTCAAGAAGGCCATTTCTCCATCCATGGAAAAGTACAGCTTCCTCAACAAAACGACGGGACTTTTCTAGCTAATGATCAATCTGGTATACCACAACCAGAAAACACTATTTGCCAGTCAAAGAAGAGCTGCCCTGGACGGTGCAAAACACCCTGCTAATGCTTTTAATAATAGGGTATGATGTTTCAGGATCATATTAAGATATAGATAAAAGTCATTAGCTTAGAGATAGGAGAAAAAAATATAAAAGAGAATCCAACTCAAATCTGACATACAGGAAATAAACTTGGAAGATATCACCAGAAGTCAGCAAATGAATCACAATAAATCAATAGCAATGACACCAAGTAGAAGATGACGTTCTATTGTTCCAATAACATAATTCTAAATTCTTTTGCTTGCTGGTGTGTCCTTTATGACATGTGTGAAATTTTAACTAGCAAGATGTCCAATATAAAAGGGATGATCTTAAAATGAACCATGAAGTAACAATGAAACCCATATTGGAATAAAGCGTAAAAGAATAGACAGTGCTTACCAAATGATAAGGATTAGAAGAAAAATAATCTTCTTGTCCAGACTCCCCATCTGTTCCACTACATGATGAAAACTGGTGCATTAGAAATAAAAAGGTGTAGTTCATTAATAACAACAATATTCAAACTCTGACTCATCAGAGAGTTTTTTTTGTTCAGAAAACCACAACAATATGGTGGATTAAAATAGCATATAGGTGATAAAATGAAAAAGGAAAGCTAATACTCTCCAAGCGACCACCGCCATTATTCAAACTAAAAAAAGGTAGACCAGTACGCTTGTATGATTACTTAATCAGCACTTCAAGCATTACGTTGGCACACGCATCCACTTTGGAGCAGGCCAGAGGTTGGTAGATGGAAGATAATTGATATGAGGCTGTCCCAAGGTGAGGAAGCACACCCACTATGCTGGTTATCAGCTGAAGTGACTTCAAAAAGAGTTGATTATTTTAGCTACTTCACATGACATGACTTTTTCTACTTCAGCATGCATGATTTGGGGGTGTATTCTAACACTCAAAATGGTGAACTCTGCATGACGTACTTCTAGAAGATTGGAAGGTGCCCAATGGTCATCTCCAATAGTACCCTTCTTTTCCTGCCACTACGAAACATTGATAAATGCATGAATTGTTGACGTGGTCAACTACAACATCTACCCAATGCCCTCCTTTGTTAGACTGTTATCTCAATACCTTTCACCAAATTTCTGGAAACATTACCCTTCTCCCAACAACTTTTGTTCACACCTATCCTCCTATATATAGCCATCTCTGGAAACTATTAGGTGTTTATTCCTCTCAATGTGCATAAATTTGTTGCAAGTATGCATACCTAAATGAGGCGGACAAGGATTCTTCATGTATATTACTTAAAATTTTCGTAAGGAATTAGGAACTGTGCTAAGTTCCATTTAATTATTCTATCAACGGCCTTTAGGATATGTAACATTCTAAACTTGAGAACAAAAAAAAAACCAGGCTGAGTAGCTACGACAGTAAGATTCAACAAAATCAGATCATAATTTCAACAAAGTAAACCCAATCATAGATCTTGCCCATAAAATGAAGTGCACATTATCCACAATGCGAAACAAAAATATAAAAACGATACTGTCCGTTGATAATGTAGAGACAACACAATACTTCAGTATCCTGATATCCATCAGACAAGAAAAAACAGCACTACTGTTTGCATGATCTTGTGGAGACACCGAAAGATGTGACCAAGTAAATGCATATGCCAGACGAAGTTGCCAGAACAAGTAAAGATGTGCTGACCTGCTCGCCACCAAACGAAGTTGCCTAAAGGGCCATATGTATACACCTTCAACTCTCATCTGAACGGCCCCAAGATCCTGTTTATTGTCAACAACATCGTGGAAAGTAACTGCTCCCTGAAATGGAAGACAGGAATAAAATATATAAGCCTTTACTGCAAAAGATAACATATTGCTGCGCCCAATTTGACTTCAGTGATATTACAGGCAAAAAAAATTCAAATATCAATGAACCATATTCCATTTCAATAAGAACATAGGATAATATTAGAAGATTTTTTTTAAAATCAATATCAGAGGTTATATCAAAGTTCATGAAAATAAAATCCTACATTGACCAACCACTAAATATTTTCCTACTTTATCTGATGGCAAAGGAATATGCTTGGCGCCTTAATAAAACTCAGAAAACTAATCTTCTCTTCAAAAGTTCTCCAGAATTTGAAAATAATGAATAAGATAATTTCTCTTCTTTGTTTTCGTTTATTCCAAAGTTGCCAAAATAACCATGGTGCTCAATCATATATCCATTTTCTCTTCCAACTCTTTACATTTTTTTGATGTGAGGGACATTCTAAATTATTTAGGGTTGCTGTCAGTGTTGTTTCTTCATGATGATTGATTGATTTAAGATACAATTTGGAAAAAGTCCAGTGGAAAGTTCTCTGCGCAAATGTTTAATGTGGAGTCACTATGATTCTTTCCCCAAATGGTTTTTAAAAAAGTAACTCCATATTTAAATTTCATAATCACCTGTACGCTCTGGAATATTTCCAAGAGAAAAAAATGCAACAATACTGACCTATTCTTTTATTCAATATAACAAATGAGTACACCACTGCGGCCTGTCCCTGTCTTCAGCATATTCTTGATTTCAGAGGGCTACAGTCATTTTATCTATACAAAATATTAATACGCTACCAATACAGAATTTCTCAAACAGAATTGGTATCCAAATATCCGAGACCAAATGCATATTTTACAGTAATTCCAGATATCACAGAAAATACAGAGGATAAACAAGTTTTTCAAATGCAAGCTAATACTTCTAAGAAAATTATCTGAGCAATACAGAAACCTTCATGGGATGATCATCGAAACGAAATGAGGAATATATCATGTCTAGCAAGGAAAATTGTCAACATGTCAATCAATTGAGTGAAATACCTGAACATAATGAACACCATTTATCTTTGCTGGAACACTCACTAACTCAAGAACGGAAATACCATGGGATTTCATAAAATGAAAGAACCTTGAAGATCCATTGGCATTATCAAAAAGCTTCCATTCGCCTACAGGAAGTTTAACCCAAGTCAACATAGAAGAAGACCAATGAAAAGAGCCGCACAGCATAGAAATTGTAAACAAACAGTCTTGTTCTCAATTTGCCATTTCATGAATAGTTTATTTTGACTGGTGGATACAACATGAGATTGAATATGAGATTCAGGTCACTGGCAACCATGCCAAACATGTGTCTAGCTAATAAATATTTGATTTACGTTATCAATGTTATAAATGATCAATAACCTCTTTCTGTTCCTAGGCACTGTATAAATAGTATTGGAATATCCAAATTCTGTAGGTTACCAACAGCCGGGGATTGTCAGTATTTTCAAAAATATTGTCCTCCATTATATTCCTACTTCACTTATTATGCCTAAAATCTCTGCCCTGTTCATTGCTTACTTGCGGATCCCACAAGCACCTGCCTTGCAACTATGGAGTCCGGGATGTTTCTCATTTATCACCTTACAGTTAATCATATATTCCAATTATACCGCAAAAACGAAAAGAAACTAGGATGACCCTCAAATCAGAAAATAAATTGCAGAAATATATCTGGGGTCAATTGTTAATCTTATGAATATTTTCTCAAGGCATAAAGAATAATTTGACTTCTATGACGATGGCAAGAAAATAAGAGAATCTATTTTCTCTTATCTTTTCATCCTGTCTCTCCCCATCTTCCGCACTCTATTTAAACTTCCCTCTGATACTACCGTCCTGCCTGCTGCTTTAGAATTCCAATGGTAGCAGCGCCTTGTAACAATATTTTTGGCCCTAGAAGCCTGTGATTCATCCATCATAATTCCTGTCAAGATTATTGCTAATAACTTTCTTCCTGAAGGTCTTAAAATCTTGTTCAGTGTATCACATTTCCCCAACAATCTCTTAGCCTAAGACATCCACACGTGTAATTAAATAATGACCTACGATCCACATCTGTGATTTTTCCAATCTACCACTGAGCATTCAATGAATGTCTGGCTTGTTCTCCTTCATCTTCCTTTCAAGATTCTATTGTATTTGTGCATGATCAATAAGTGTCAACATTTCCCTCAGGCCCTCTCAACCAACGTATTGACCAATAGTCGATATAGCTGCCAACTTCGATACCTGTTTGAAGAATTTTCCAGTTTCTATTAATGCCCATACCCTGAAAGGTAATGATAAACCAACCAAGTCTCTATTTTACCATAACATGGGAAATCTCAACAATGGCTACATAGTTCATGAGCTAAGCCATTTCATTCAACAGTTTGTTTAGATGAATTGGTGGCATAATTTAGAGACTAAATCGTTTCAATAAGTGATTTTCAAACAAAAAAAAAATCCCCTTATCCACAAGAGAAAAGTTTGGAATCACTGATACAATTGCAGAGCATCTTTCACCATATATTGTACTTACAGGAAAGTATTGTACTTTCAATGTCAGCTTGAGCATCTTTCAGCTTATATTAAGTTGTCTACAACCTTTAATTTGATAATCAAATGTCAATAGTTTTACTTTTAATCGTTGTGTGAGAGTGAAAAAGAAAAAAACTTTCCTTAAAGTGTCTCCAGACGAGGGTCCCCGCCTATATCTAGGAAGAAGTTGAGAACAATACGAGGGATCAGGTATTTACCCACATTAACACTTACTTGTATTGGCTTGGTCAGACCCACTTACTTGTAGAATATTTACCCACATTAACAGTTACCCTCAAGTTGGCGAATATATATCAACCATGACCCGCTTGTCACATGAGATATTGATCTGTGGATTCAGTATGAGGGCAAATCCTCCGGCTCATTACAACTTCCCTTAAAAAATGGCAAAATACAACAATATGCTTGTTTTTTTCATAAAAACTCGAGTTGCAAGGAATTAAGATGACGCCTTAATGTTTATAAAACTTGAATTCACTGGAATTCAGTGTCAAAATTTAAATGAGAGTTTTCAACCGCATTACATCGGATGTTGTTTGAGGCACAGTTCTATATTCAAGCTCAACACAATGTTAAGATTACCTCCAATGGTAGATCTTCTACCAATCAGCATCAGAAAAAGAAACATTGTCTGTGCGTCCTCCATTGAAAAAATAGAGCCCTTTACTAGTAGAGCCATTTATGTACCTCAAAACTCCCAAGAAAACATCTCAACGAAACATCTTAGGAAGCTATATAAATATTGTACAGTATTTCACGTTTTGCAAATAACTTTTCACCATGCAATATTTATTGATACAAGATCGTCGGTCAAAATTGCTTATTTAAATGTTATCTTGTCTCTTCAATGCCTTCCAAGTCACCACCAGAAAAGAGGATGCTATCAACATAAATAATAAGAATACCTACTCCTAAAGATTGCTGGTGAATGAACACAAAGTAACTTGTTTGACTCCTAAGAAACCAGGATCTAATACAATTTGATTGAATTTCTTAAAACCACAGTGGAAAACATCACTAAAGGTCATAGATTATCTTCTTAAGACAACACATCATGATGTTGGCGTCCCTCAACACCCCCCTCCGCCAGGCAACAAAAGTTGGCAATTACTCCATATATACTTCTTTATTTAAATAGAAAAAAGGTACTCTTAATGTCTGAGTGAAATAGAGGCCAGACATTATATAGAAATTCAAATAATTACATGAATCGCCCAATAGTACCAAGAATTCCAACGGTATTGTGATCATCATTTAAGGTAGGTACTCATTTTTCTTAACTTTCTGACATATGATTTTTTCTAGAACAATGAGCACACTGCCAATGGCCATGCCAGCGAGCATTGCAACAGGTTACCCCTTGGTCATGGGAGATGGCTCCACTACAATGAAAACTAGATGTTAACATATAATTCTAGGTGTGTAATGTAAATGTAACTTTGTACTTCAAATGATGCTTCCGTGGCAACTTTAGGCTCATCAGTATTAGCAGTAGTGGCATTCATTATTTGTACACAAATTACTTTCCAGCTACACGTGTAAAATAAGAACCTTTCACTTTGTTATCTTTCAAATTCAAAAGCATTCAAAGTGTAGACTAAAAATGAAAATAACAAGAGCAGCACAATGTGTATCTTAAATGGAGATATAGGATAGTAAATCCGGTCAAAATGTTTCCCTAACATAGAACTTGTTTTACTGGTAAGTCTGTGGGTTAAATACTAAAAAAAGAGGAAATTTATTTTTTCTACGGAAGCCATTAATGAAATTATCAGAAATCCGGAACTTTCAGGCTAAGCAAAATCTCCACAATTTATTTACAGGGATAAAGCCTCTTTAAAGGAGAAGGAATAAATTGGAAACCTTTGTATGTTCCAGTGATATTTCTGACAGAGTGTGGACCAAAGTTGCTTTCATCTCTTCTCATAATGGGCTGGTGAAAAAAAAGGAAATGAATACGGACTGATAGCATATAAAGCTAAAAACACTTTCAAAATCTAGCATAGAAAATAGGAAATTATCCACCAGGTTTAGAAGCACAAGCTTGCATAAGTTTTCATTACAAAAATTACTGCTCACTCTCACGCAAAGAGACTGACAAGATGAACTTTTGGAGGTAGAAATGCATTTACTCAGCCATGTGATACACTGACCTAAAATTCATGGCCCCAAATTTTTATCTTCATGGTCAATCATATGGCAAAGCTTTCCAACTAGTTTGGTCCTTTCCTAACCGTTGTTTATCACAACCGTCCAGATAATTGTTTGATTGCTAGACATGTTGAAAAACATATATGAAGAAGTAAAGATGAAATGAGTGGCATTTACTATAATTTGACAATTATGCTATAGATATGCTAAAGGTCTTATTGTGATAACTTTGATAGGCTTCACTCTGTCGCAGACATTACAGGGAGAGTTAGAGACCAACAGGAATCGTTCTTAAAAATCGATACATGATCTACAAAGAGAAATGATGTCAATTTCGTTCCATATTGTCCACAAAAATAGGCGATTGAGATAAAATATACTCTCTTTAAAACCAAAAGGTGGGTTGTTCGAGGGTTAGCAGAGGGGCATGTCTCGATCAAAATATTGATCAGCTCTTCATTCATCACTTGACGACTCTCTCTCTCTCTCTCTCTCTCTCTCTGAAAATTCGAAATATGCGAGGCATAAGAGTCTGATGAGGATCATATTCGTCAATTCTGCACAGGTTTCCTGAATTTTTTCTCTCCAAGTGCGTTGTGCGAGGATTATAGATAGGGAAAGAGAATAGCTGACCTCATCAATCCAGAAGGAAGAACCCGAAGACACCAACGAAGAAGACGAGGCCACCTTCTCCCTGATCGGCCTCAGGGCAGTCGCGGAGGCAGGGAACTGACAGACGACAATCAGCACACAGAACCCGGCAATCCCCTGCGTCAACCCTCTCCTCAACCTTCCCCTTTCCTTCCCATTTAGTCCCTCCCTACAGCCTTCACTATTCATGGCCGCCCTCCCGTGGCACTCCCTCCAATCGGAGGCTAACCCCCTCCACCACCGCCTCCCCCAAATTCACTAGCAAGAAACCCCACAATCCGATCACAGAAGAAGGAAGACGATGAAAAGCGCCTCCCTCGTCCCCTGCCCTGCCCTGCCCTCCCCTCTCCTTCTCCCGCTGGTTCTGCAGAGAGAAATTTGGTCTCAACGTGGACTGGAAGATTAGCAGGTAGGCATAGAGAGAGAGAGAGCGAGGAGGTCAAGGTATCGATTGCTTAACACGACATAAATGAAGACACCGAGAGCTATCACCGGCCATCTACGCGGTGGAGGAAGAACCAGAGAGGAGCCAACTCCTCCCCGCCGCCAACGCGACCAGCAAGAGAGAGAGAAAGAGAGAGAGAAAGAGAGAGAGAGAGAGTGGGGGGGACCCCTGGACTGTGTCAACGAGAGGGAGAGGCGACGGGGTGATAATAATTTTTTTTTAATAATGGGCTGAGCGTTGCGTGATTTGATATACATCAATTTCCTTTTAAGAATCTCTCTTCTTTTGACTTTCCCTCCCATCCTGCCCCCCCCCCCCCAACTTTGACTTCGAGTACCCTCTCTCTCTTCCCCCCCTCTCTCTCCCTCTCCCTTCTCCCTCTCGCCCTCTCTCTCCCCCTCTCTCCCTCTCCCTCTTCCCCTCTCCCTCTCTTCCTCTCTTCCTCTTCTCTCTCCCCCCTCTCTCTCCCTCTATCTCTTCTCTCTTCCTCTCTCTCTCTCCCCCCTCCCTGTCTCTCTCTCCCCCCTTCCTGTCTCTCTCTCCTCCCCTCCCTGTCTCTCTCTCTCCCTCTCCCTTTTCTCTCTTCCTCTTCTCTCCCTCTCCCTCTCCCTCTCCCTCTCTTCCTCTTCTCTCTCCCCCTCTGTCCTTCTATCTCTTCTCTCTCCCTCTCTTCCTCTTCTCTCTTCCCCTCTCTCCCTCTCTATCCCTCTTCCCCTCTCTCCCTCTCTCCCTCTCTATCCCTCTTCCTCTTCTCTCTCTCTTGTGTAGGGCCCCGGGGTTTGCTTATCACAGAAAAAGAGTGGGCCCCAGGTCGAACTGTTTATGGGACTCTCTCTCTGTCTTATCCATTTAATTATCACCTATAGACTAAAAAATTGGGGATAATATTTTATTTAAATTAAAAATTAAAAAATCAGACGAATATTTAAGGTACACCTTCGCCAAGATAACAAATTGTGAATAATATATCCATATTTATTCAACTACTTAGATATCCGAGTTGACAAAGAGGAGCCGTTGCTAGGTTCCTTTCGGAGAAGGCTATAACCACAAATATGTTACCTAGAATGGTAATTGAATATTAAACAAATAATAGGCAGGCTTATCGTGCAAAGATGGAGGGAGAGGGAGAGAGAGACGCGGAGACGGCGACCCGCAAGCTTCTTTCTCCTATTTAAATTAAAGCTCTCTCTCTCTCTCTCTCTCTATATAGTCGGTGTTAATGGGCTCAGACGGGCCCGGGTTGAGTATAACGGGCCCGGCCCGGGATGCGCTCAAAATAAGCTTCAAACGGGCCCTGTACGGGCCAACTTAGCGCTGAAAAGAAGCTCAGAAAAGGCCCGTCCCGTCACAATTTAAGCCTCAGACAACTGCCCGGGCCCACCTCCCCAATCTGGTCAGATCTCGAACTTAAATAGGGTTTAGGCGGGAAGTCCCTTTCTTCTCAACATGTGACCAGCCCATGAAAGCCTTCTCTCTCTCTCTCTCTCTCTCTCTCTCTCTCTCTCTCTCTCCCTCCCTCCCTCTCTCCCTCTCTCTCTCCCTCCCTCTCTCTCTCCCTCTCTCTCTCCCTCTCTCTCTCTCCCTCCCTCCCTCTTTATGTGTATATGGAGGGCCATTTTCTGGGCTTTCACTGGGCTTATGACATTATGGGCCTTATTGGGCCTGCCCAGTCATCAAAAACCCTAATCATGACAAATTTACATCAGTATTGCCATTCCATGCTCTCATAGGTACATATTGATTGGGTCAATGCTCCTTTTTTTTCCTTGACTCATATCCAGCTCTAATTTTCATATCATTTTGTGATTTAATAAACTAGTAAATGTGTCTTTAAAAAAAATGAAAATACTCTAATACATACATATTTATAATTTATGGATTTTAAATTCCAAAAAAATATGTGTAAATCCTATGCATCATTAAGGATACAAAATATTTAGAGGAGAGAGAAAATTTAAAATATTAATGTTCTTAATATTAAGAATTAGGTATGTGAATTTTTATGGCCTTACACTAGTTTTCATGAGAAAGGTGGGTTAACTCCCTTGCAAGATATAAAAATAAAGAGATTTTATAGTGATTTTGACCCACCTTGGCTACCCAAATCTCTTTATTTTTCTATCTTGCAAGGGAGTTGACCCACTTTGACAACCCAAATCTCTTTATTTTTCTATCTTGCAAAGGAGTTGACCCACCTTGGCAACCCAACTCTTGTGAGGACTGGACTCATAAATATTCACAACTTTTTGGCAAGTGTGATCACAAGACACGAAAGCAACCACATGTTTACCTCCAAAGTCATGCCTCTATTGGGCCAACACTCTAGCCTTTTGGCACCATCACATGTACAACTTGATTGCTCTAGGTTGCCTTTGTGGGCCCAATTGGATCTTTCTTAGAGGACAAAAAATGGCTTACTATTGGAAGTATGTGGCGAATGATCAAGGTTGAGTATATGGTAAGAATGTAAATAAAGCTTTATAGTGGGCTGGTAGTGGGGTTGTCTTTCTAAGAAGGAAAGAAGAACATGGGCTTTGTTTGATTGTGGATGTAGCAGGATTCTTCAAACCACATGAATATGGTGTCTTCTGTTTTTCTCTCTCTATATCTTATTATTGCACTCCTTTTGCTATCCAAGAAAGGGACTCATCTCCTAACATATGACTATCAAATTAGATCTTTCTTGACCATAAGCTTGGAAATATTTATATAGAAATTATTGCTTGAAAAAAATGCTCATGAAAGATGTTGACTATTTTTTTAAAACTATGAACCCAATGTGGTTGTTAATCTTTCTACATAACATTTATTTCTTCTTTTGTAAGTGTTATAATGGTCCAAAAATTCAATTATGACTTTATGGTTATATTATAATACTTTGTCTTATATTTATTTTGTCATGTACTATATTTGGAGCCAATATAGTTTTGATGCTCATAAAATATATAGATGCCACAATATGCTAAGAGTTTATAAAAATATTAGCAAGGTATCTTTAAAATACTAGGAAAATTACATATACTTTATGTTTATAAAAAGGTATTTTATAAACATGCCAAAGTCCCTTATAAGCACATTATTGGTTGCAAGTTTTACTTAATCACTTTGTACATTATGCTAAAATAATAATAATAATAATAATAATAATAATAATAAGATAAGCTACTAAGAATACCTTTCCAATTAATCTTTGAAGTGTTGAGTAACTATTGGACAATGTTAAAAAAATGAATTATTTTTTTACTATTTAAAATAAAAAATATTAATAGAGAAAAATCCCTATGTAAGGACTTAACCCCCCTCAATATCTCACAAGAGGAAAAATCATTCTGATGACTCCTTCCTCTCTCTCTCTCTCTCTCTCTCTCTCTCTCTCTCAAGGATATTAGCTAGTTGCTTACTTGATTGGTCATCTATAGATCTAAATCTACATAATATATTTAGATGAAACACTTGGGTGGGTAGAAATATAAAAATCTGATTCGAGGCTAATTGAAACATATGTTGAGGTTATAAAATAATGTAAGTTAATGGAATATAAGGAGGTGGTGTTCTTGAGAGAATGGATAATCTAAGTGGCCAAATTGTTATAGCTATTGATTCCACAAATTAATATGAAACTAAAGTTAAAAGGATAATCTAAAAATACAAATTTGATCCTAACACTCCCCCTCCCTCCCCTTTTTGCTCTTAGTTTCTATGGGAGCCTCCATCAAAGTAACAAATATGAGGTGAAGCTAAGGCAATTTGGTAAAATAGATGAAGAAACAGCCATTTATAGTAACATAATAATAAGAGTAGGTGGTGTCAATAACTACTAGGAGATGATGAAAAGCTCAAGATTTGAAACATAAAGTCAATGATAATATAAATTTGACAATTTATGAGTAATGATAATCATAAGACGACTTTATCACTAAGAATTGAGAACTTTGATGAACAAAACATTTACATTAGTTATGATGATAATGAGGGGCTGATGAGGAATCATAACAGCTAAGATTAAGAGATTAAGTGGTTGATAATGTGATTAAAATGGTTATCAATTAAGAACCAATATAAACAAAAAACAATGAAGGATGGGAAATCATATTTTTGTTAAATCATTAATTCCGGTCCCATTATTTGCTCCATGTTCTTACGTTGGGAGATAAGTCCAAAAATAGCCTTCAGAGCCATTGAGTTAGATGGTTAGGGTAGCAATCAACTATAAGATCGGTATCAATGATCTCTCTGTCTCTCTCTCTCTCGCCCTACCACTCTCCTAACCAGAGAAATTTTTTAAAAAATCAAACCTTCCAGAGGACCCAACAAGCAGGAAACAGAGAATAAACCTGAATGGAGCAAAGTACCGGCTTCTTCCCCGTTAAGCCCCAACGAAACAAGAGAGTAGCAACCAGCCGCAGGTACAGTAAAACCAGAGAAACGACTTACAGAGCTCTGGCGACTCTCTCTCTCCTGGCCTTGGCCGTGATGGGTCTCCTCAGGTGGGCTTGTAGTACTTGGTGGGGACGAAGGGCATCTTGGTGATGACACCATCGTTGGCCTTCCCCCTGATGACCACCTTCAGCTCCGTGCCCGGCTTGTGGAGCCCGGACTTGACATATCCCATGGCGATGTTCTTCTTCAAGCAGGGGCTGAACCCCCCGCTGGTCACCTCCCCGATGGGCTCGCCGGCAGCGGTGGTGATCTGGCTGTGCCCGCGCGGCGGCGGTCCCGCGGAGAAGAGCCCCACGCGGCGCACAGTAGGGCCGTCGGCGAGCTGGCGGAGGATCACCTCGGCGCCGAGGAAGCCGCCCTCGGCACGGCGGCGCTTGCCGATGGCCCAGGAGAGGCCGGCCTCGACGGGCGTGACGTGCTGCTCCATGTCGCTGCCGTAGAGGCAGAGGCCGGCCTCGAGGCGGAGGCTGTCGCGGGCGCCGAGGCCCGTGAGGCGGATCTTGCCCTCCGAGCGGTCAAGGATGGCCTTGGCCAGCTCCACCGCGTGCTCCGAGGGGACCGAGATCTCGAACCCATCTTCCCCCGTGTACCTGTAGCGCCACCACCACCACCACCAATCTCGTTCTTCACAACATCGAAGAAATGAAACCATGCTGGTTTATCTATTATATATAGTATGAGCATTACTAGAAATATAAAACAATGAGGCAATCTTACCATTGAATAAATCTTCTTGATTTAATTTAGAGCAAGAATGTGGACTCCGACCTTCCCGGATCCCATTCATATCACATGCAAATTTATTAATTATGTATAGATGTGTATGAATGAGCAGAAGGGGAATGAAGAACGACGAAGATTACTAGAAATTAAAAAAAAAAGTGTATGAATGATCATCTGGCAGATCATTTGATTGACTTATATTTCTGATCAGGCGGGGGAATCATGATTTACTAAGAAAACAGAGGAATGGAGATCATTAGAAAAAGAAAAGAATAATCGATTTTATTTTATTTTGTCGCCAGTGTAGCTGATGATCTCAGAAGAAGAAATTTAACTAGAAAATCCGGATGCAGAGCATTTGACTGAATTAGATTACTAGGAAAAAAATAGGATCTTCTATCTCAAGGGGAACAGATATAAGTTAAGGTCAATAAAAATACTCCACTTGTGCATGAAGATCCCAGGAGAAGTCTAATGAAAGAAAAGGTAGTAGACTCTGATCTTCCCGGGTGCAAATATATACGACTTGACCAAATCACACCCATATGAAATTATAAATATATGCCTCATGATGGTTTAACGATCAAGAGGAGAAGACAAATATTTCTAAAAGTAGGAAAGAAAAAGGTAAAGGCTGATCAGCTTGTGGTCCCCGTCTGAAGCAAGGAAACCATTCATTTGAATTACAAGAAATTTGGATCTAACAGTGAGTGAGGATCTCACTGATTACTGTGGCAGAAAAACAAAATAAAATTTTGGGACGATCATGTGTGCATAAAAAAAGATGTAATTTATTTTATGGAAACTTGATTGATCAACGAATTAAATGATAACACTAGTTAATATACATTCAGCTCCTGAACCATCACAAGGCCTCATAAGATCTACAAACTTTACACGTCCTTTTATAACTAAAATCTCTAATTTCTCCCATCATAAGATCAGGCATTTCATCAATGTATAAATCATCCTGATAATGTTTCATTTATGCAGAGAATTACTACTAATGTTCATGTGACGAAAATCGGGGCACTCACAGAGTAAGTATGAGAACTTTAATATCAAATCTTAGCGTAATAGTATCTTTCACAATGTGTTGGATCTTCTCCCTAGCTTCTCAGAAGCTCCAACTTGTAAGTAGGCACCCTGCTGCTGACTCTCCCATATTTGGCAAGGATTAAGGTCATGACGAAATAGTAAATGATAATTCGTTTCCTGTATCTATTTTGATCATCTGGGTAGATGACTAGAAAGCCTTGCGAGGAATCCTTTCTGTTAAGAAAATGGGTTATGAATGCAGACGTATGAATAACTCGAAGGCATGAGAAATCAAGTTGGTGACAGTTCGCACCAGTTGTTCCTTACACGGTGGGGAATCATTTACTGGAATTTCTTTCTAGCCTAAAAATTATGATGAATAATATTTTTACAGCGAAGCGGATCATAATGTATTAGGAGAATGGCTTCTAAAATGAGAAAATTACTTGCAGCAGTATATATTCGCAGCATTCAAACGCATTACTATCATAGTTACCAGAAGTTGATTTGAGGAAATTTATTACAAGAATGGCTGGTCTGATGTAGAAGATCGTACTAGAGGAACAAAATGCATTGTTGATGAAAAAAAAAAAGTCTACAGGTGAATGGAAGGAAGAACACTCAAATAAACAGGCTTATGTCAGATGTTGCAGTATTTTAGTTTTCACTAAACTTCGTAAGACAGTGACGAGTACAGCATGGCAATCGATTAGAGAAAAGTTAAATTTGACAAAGCTCTGCTGCCGCGAAAAACTGACAGATAGGAGATGCATTATAACTACCGACAGCCAACACTGGTTCTTTAATTACTACTACCCACACTTCCCTCAGCAGCTAACCAGGTATCCCATGAAACTGAAGGCAACCAATTCAATTGCTATACGGTTCAGTGAAAGTCAAAACCAGTCAATACTGCCCACCCTCTGTTTAGATACTTTATCTGCCAGCCTAGAGGACCCCAGAACTGAAAAAGGCGTAGCAATAATCCACTGCATATACTGATTAATAAATGGCGTAAAGATGAAAGTTTCAACAAAAGAGAAGCAACATACCCAGTCCTAGTGAGGAAACAATGAACTCCGTTGATGTCCAATGTCCGAAACTCTCCGAAGTAGAGTTTGCTCAAATCATCTTTGGTCAAGAACTGGAGAACTGGCGCAGAAAGAGGGCCCTACATGATGGTTCAGGCTTCACGGATCTCAAATGGTGAAATGGGAGTAACAGAAAAGGTAAACGCTACATATATATAGATTCACGTGCAAAAAAAGGAAAAAAAGGCTGTTGTAATGAAAATGAATGAAGGCACAACATGTATAAGACAAACAGGAGGCACTTCCTATACAACACTAGCATTGTGAGAAGGATAATGGGGAAACCATTGAACGAAAATTGACCGAGGAGAGTGATAAAAAGAGTTGCGAGTAGAACGAGAAGGCTGGTAGGGAAAATTGTGTTTTATGTCGTCATGGTGACTAAGTCGATTTTACTGTCTATCTCCAGGCAAATCATGTGACTAAGTCGATTTACGAAACAAATAGAGATAGTTCACTTCCTGAATTTACTAATCTGTCGTCATGGTGAGCAGTCACATCAGAGAAACATTGAAGAATTTCAGTACTCGAACGTACGACATTGCATCATCACTGATTTTTTTATCGGAGCGATATTCTCATCTAGCATTAAAATTTAGAAGGACCGAAAAAAATAGCGGAAGAAATCAATGCATATTGATTGATTGTTCAACACACGTCGACCAAAATTCGAAGTAATTTTGAAAAAAGGAATCATGTCAAGCAGGATAATTCAGGTAGTGGATAAGGTAAATGAGAAGATCCACCAAAAGACATTAGCATTCCAAATCCAGACAAAGCAGCAGATTCCAGAACGAAGAGAATGAAAACCTGAAGAGCGAGAAGCGAGCGCTCATCGTGGATGTGCCACGAGACGTCGCCTCCCTTCGCACGGAAGGCCTCCATGTGTTCGCCGATGTGCGCGAGGTCCTTATCGCGGCATCCGGCGTTGACGACGAGGTAGATGTGGTCGTCGGTCACCTTGGTGATGACGGAATCATCGATGGCGCCCCCCCGCTCGTTGGTGAACACAGTGAGAGTCCCAGTTCCCGGTCGCAGCCCCTCCACATCGGCGATGACGAGCTTCTCCAGGAAGCGGACGGAGTCCTTCCCCTTGAGGCTGAGCCCGCACATGTGGGAGACGTCGAAGAGGCTGCCGTTGGCGCGGCAGTTGAGGGTGGAATCCATGATCGAGTCCTTGTACTGGATCGGCATGCTCCATCCGGCGAAGGGGACCATCTTGCCGCCATTCTCCACGTGAAAATCGTACAGCACCGTCCTCTTCAGCTCCGGCGCCGCCTCCGCCTCCGCCGCGAAGCACCGCCTCCCTCCCCCCGGCCGCCCCAGCCGGCGCGTCAGCGACTGCCCCAGCTGCCACAGTCCCCCCCTCATCCTGCGATCTCTAGAGAGAGAGAGCAGAGAGAGAAGTGAGGAAGAGAGAGAGTGGGTGAGGGGAGCACTGCCTTCTGTTTCAGATCGGGTAGAAGAGGAGGGAGAAGAAAGATGCCGTTGGTCCGTAGAAGCCTTTTCCAATTCTCCGATATTTTACGTGGACTCCTCTATTTTTCAAAACTTACAAAAAAACCTTTTAAGATATCAGAACCTTTTCAAACGAAAGTCTAAAGTCTTTCCGCTTCATGTACAATTATCGAAAACTCCCTAAAGTACTTAAATATTAGACAACCTTCAATTACTTATTTGAAAAATATTCATGAGGATTAAAATTTTCACGTTCGAGACATCTCTAAATTTTATCGGAATGTGTAAAAAACTCCTGAAAATTTAAAATATCTTGATGAACATGTCGGTGAGAAATTACATGTCTATCTAGGGTTTTTACACAAAAAATATGCTTTTCCCTCATTTTAATGTTGTGCTTACGACAAAACCATCACATGATCAGCGTCGCTCCCAACTAGGTAACGCTCCGGCCGTTGTTGCAGTCTAGCTGTGTATCGAGAGGCACATTCCCAATGCGTATTGCTCAGAAAACTACCACGTTTCAAACGGACAACGTTTCTCTCTTTGTGCCGATAGGGTTTTCTCATAGCGAATGTGTATTCGCGAGTGCATATCCAATGAGGATCCGACGCTTGACAGGAGCCCTCCGTCGGACACGTGGCATGGTTGGAGGATAAAACCGCATCCGTGGCTAGTGGCTCAGAACCGCATCCAGGAAGGCCTCGCCCACCGACCACTAACGTCCCAATCTCTTCCTCCACCCCTCCCCGGTGGCTGGCCCAGCCGGTTTGCCGGTCCCCGCGACCGACCCAGACGGTTCTAACCGGGCCTGGGCCATATCAACTATGTTGTTGGGCCATAACCCATTATGGTCCATTAAAGGTAGCCAGATCTCTTTTATGGTAAAGTATATTTTTCCGCCTCACTGAAATAATTTAATTGCATATATACTTTATTAAGCATCCTTCTCAGGCGTCGATAAAATCGGACCGTCAATCAGACTTTAATATTTATAATATAATATCATACATTTTAAATAAATAATTTATTAATTTATATTTAAATTGATTTATTATATATAGTGATTCCGTTTTGACGGTTGGACTCTCACGGGTTTCCTCCCGCTCTGCGTCGGAGAAATATGAGGCAGGGGAGAGGGAGTAGGGATGGTGGGGAGGAAGAATCCGGCTTCTGAAAGCGAAACGCGGTGAGATCTCGCCTTCTCCTCCTCACTCTCTCCTCGCCATTCGAATTCCTGTGGTCCAGAGGGCCTCCTGAAGCTTGCACGGCTCTGATTTCTTCCGGGACGTCCTTCTGTGACTTACTTTATGTTGCTGGTGCCGTTCTGTGTCAAGGTTTGGGCGGCCTTCTGAACGGGGTCCCGGAGTGTTCGACACTCACAGGGTGAGTACCCCTCCCCCCTCCCCCCACTTGTGGAAAATAGAGATAGATAGTGGGGAAACTGGATAAGAGTTTGTGGTGTTTTCAGTTGCCTGTTCCGATCAGCTGTTTTATTCAATGTCGTGTTCTTTCTTTTTTTGCTGGTCCTGGAAGGGTTAGTTGGGTAATATTTTTTTTATGTTTAAATTTTCAGTTGGATCTCTTGCCAGCGTGAACCGTCTTCCCACTGTGAGCAGTTCTACTGGAAGAACCTCACATTAGCTTTACATATGTCATTTGGATATGAATGACCTTAGAGCAATATCACTTTGTTCCTATTCAGGTCTTTCAAGTGAGAACGAAAGATTTCCAGAAAATTATGGTTGACGGAAAATTACTGGACTAAGCAAGAAAACTGGTTGATTGGCGGTGAATTTTGTAGCCTCTTATGACGTCAAATTCCTTCGTTTTAGGGCAACTTATTCCTCTTGTACCCGGAGGATTTTAATTATTTAAGAGTTTTGGACGGAGGAGAAAACTACAAGAGGTCCGTTAGATGGATTGCAAAGATTATAGTTCACTCCAATCGGTCGCCTGCCTGGAGAGGCATCATAGACTAAGTTGTTTTATGGAAAATAAATCAATTTTCAAATGAGAACGGATGCTAATTAGAATTTACTTAAACTTTTAGTTGAATGCAAATAAATTGGATACCCATTTTTCGTAGGCTATATATGACATTACCACGAATAATGTCATGATATATGTTGACGCCCTCGTAATGTACATTTGCAGAATAAGTCTAATAGATAGAAAAAGTTTTTTACTCTAAATTAAGAATGTGATGAATGTCCACCCAAAAAATGAAACCTTTCGATTATGTTCTTTGCTAAAATTTTCTTACTTGGAGATGATAGTTTCTGGTGGTCAAACTAGCCTTGAATGAAATATCTCCCAAGGAAAATGAATGTCTTCGTGTGAAAATTTTCTTAAAAAATCATTTACCAGCTTTATACAAGGAAGAAAATTTTAATGGACCTCGTTCACTTTTTATAGAGTTCCGAGGTAGATTTGTCCCGATATCTTAGATTGTCTATTATTTTGGTGGTTGCTCTTACGAACCCTTTACATCATTCATCTTCTTTATGGTTGGAAACATGATATGTGACATCAAAGATAAGGACATTTATTCTTCATGAGCTATGAACTTTCCGAGTACTTACTCTTTTTGGGTATGAAACTCTTTCTACTTATTTTTTTCCTTTTTTAATTACATAAAATATTTTTCATGACTTTATGCAGCATTATAACTTTATTCGTGTGTTTCTGCTGCAATAATATATTCTTTCTGGAGATATTTTGTGATAAAGCGGCACATAAGCCTCGGGCTTTTCCTCCAAGGGTGGGCATGAGTCAAGTATCTCCTTACAAGATGGTGAAGGCCATATGTTGAACTCATGGTGCTTCATGTCTGGATCTGGGAGAAAACTAATGAGATTTTTGAACCTTGTAGTTAAGTGAATTCTCATGGTTAAAATGATTACTGAACATTCTCTTGCATTTTCGTGTTTTATCTTTCACCAGAAAAATACGTGCAACCCTGTTCTTCTTTGAGAACCGTAAATGCCAAGTTGGCTATGAGGCAAGCATGGTGACTATCCACTTTTCCAAGGTTTCCCAGGAGTGGTGGACCAATGGGGAAACTAAAATATTTCCAAAGAATGCTTCAACCAACACCCCTCGCTCCCGTTTGCTGATTAGTAGTGTTTCTGCTCGTTGTTCATTTGTTTGTGGTTCTTCAAATGATCTCAAGGAATTGAGGAGCCATTATCTATGGATGAACCCGAAACAAAAGTTTCCAAACAGGGGCCCGGTATGCAAAAGCTTCTGAATTTCTGGTTTTCGACTATTTTCTGCCAGTGGCTTTGCTTTAAAATAATCCTTCATGACGCTTTTTTCTATAAACTTTGTTCAGATTCTGCCTATTTGTGCATCGCTAGATGAAGATTACCGTTCATCTCGGAATATTGCAATCAGCCTCTTCAGGCGATACAGGAATGTTGTTGATCGTGGTGGTGCTGATAATTTAAAGGTATCTACCAGGCTTCCTTTGTTTCCCTTCCACTAGAATGCATTTTGAGTCTATTTGAAAAAATATTTACGCCTCTCAGTGCAATTTTGTAAAAAATCTATTTTGTTTATTTTTTCCAGGAGTTCATAAATGTTGGGGTGAATGCATATGCCTTGGGTTGCACTGATGAGGGACTGAGGAAAGAACTCTTAAACTTGAAGGAAACTGGCGTTGAGATAGAAGGACTACGTGCATATGGTGGAGCCACCAGTTTGAAGTACAAAGTCTTGTCTGAGGAGGTAGGTTTTCCTGCCAAAGCAGAATCTTGAGATTGCTAAAATAGATTTAAATTGGCCGACTCTTATAAATTAGCAGCCCTTCCCATAAAAAATCCAAAAAGTAATTGCTCTTTTTGTCTTGGATCGTTCGTAAGATCGATTATACTGACATAAAGCTCGAGATTATGTGCCAGATGACGCTACTAACCCTATGAGTAGCGCAACAATATTGACATTGTGTTCCTATTTGATGCTCAAAATTAACATGTAACATGATTTCTCCTACTTTAGCCTTCAAATATGATGAAAATCGCAACCATAAGAGAACTTAGGGTGTTCTCTTCTATTTATGTATCATCTTAAGCCCCCGACATTCCGTGACATTTTTTTACTAATTGAGTAATTCTATAGCTCATTGATTCCTGTTCAGATTTTTGAGGTAACTTGAGGCCAGATATTTTAACCTGCTTGTTTGTCTGCATTCTCGAAACAGCCTGTCGAAAAACTTGTTAATCCAATTAAATCCTAGGTTTTTAATTTTTGAAGAACCTTAGCTGATTGACTTTCCAATTTTTTTGTCATTTTAATCCGAAAAGAAAGCTCTACAAAATGGTGTCATTACCTTATTGCAGGCCCAGGAATGCATTCTCTGGTTAAGTATTATATTTATCACCATTCTTTGCACGCCACAACCGACTGTCATCAGATGGTCTTCTACACCGCCCGTCTCCGACGAAATCATGGCTAGGTGGAAAGGATTCTGTGCCCTCATAGCAAATGCATACTACGTGAAAGGGATGGCATGGTACGGGCATCTACACAAAACACATGCACATGCTCATGTCAACCTTATGAGCCTGTTTATTTGTCTCCACTCCTCTCCATACTATTTCTGATTCAAATCGGGCTATTTTAGCACTTCATAATGTGATAGATTATCTCATTTGGCCTCTCATGATATGGATAGTTATCAATATATCATGCAATATGCTTAATCTAGGTTGGTTGGAAGAAAAATGGTTAAATTTTGGAGCCTATATATCATGTATGATTAAGCCAAAGCTTCATCTTTTCACGTCATAAGATTGATGGTGAAGGCATTATCGTTAATTCCGTAATTATTTTTGTTTTTTTTTGACTATTTTAGGCTTCCGGTGAAAACCTTACAACTAGAACAGTTGGCTGTTATAGGGAGCGCTGAAGAACCATCTGTTGTCTCCAGCCGGATGCAGCTGGTGTTTAGCACGCTAGAGGTTGGGCATTTCTTCAATATCTCTACCAGTGATCTCGATTATGGCCCATCAGATTATCATGGCTGACTTTTCTTTTAAAGGTTTTTTTAAGTTTACGTAGCTGTAAAACAGTTGGTGGTGGCTAAGTAAATGAAAATATTTAATTTTTTATTTAAATAAACTATGAAAAAATTCATTTTTCAGGTACTTATCTTATGCCAAACTTATCTATGTAGCCGATTAAATGGTTCCTCAGTCTCTAGATTTCAATAAAAATACAGTCAGTTTCGAGATTTTTATTCTTTTGACATTATTTAAACTTTGATATTCTAATTACCGTACCTAGATTTTTTTTTATTTTTTCTCTTTTTCCTGAGAGGGGGGGTGTTCTTGGTTACTGTAAAATAGCTGAATGATAAGCCAATGGGACCAATTTAGCTCTTATAGCTTCAATAAAAAAAATAAAAATTTTCATTGATAAGTTTTTATTTTACACCAAACTTACCAAACAAACTGGATAAATGCTTCCTCAGTCTCTCGATTTCACTGAAAATGCAATAATCATACTCTGCTGAGAAAAAAACCTGGTGACTAATGACAACATCTCGCTTGAATTTTTTTCTCTTTCATCATGGTATCATCTTTGATATTGAGAGTTTCGGTGCCTTTATTATCTAATTTTGGGGTTTATCTTAATCTCTATGTTAAAGAACCGAATGGTGGATAAACCCATGAAGTTAAATTAAACCATATAGTTATTTGAAATAAAAATTTCCTTCATCAATAATTTCTTCTACGCCAAACTTCTCTTTTTAACCTGTTAAAATGGTCGGTCTCTGGATCTTGCTAAAAATACGTTCTTCATGAGATTTTGATTCTTTTATCATAATATGAGCTCTTGATTATGTGATTTACATGTTGTCATCATCCCTTAGATCCTTTTACATTGATCTTCCAGAGAAATTACTCGATCACATAGAACTTAGATTAAACCAAAATCAATTTATCAGGTATTTAATTTATCTCAAACTTAGCTATCCAGCCTATTAAATGGTTCTTCGGTATCCCAATTTCACTCAAAAATAAAATCATTCGGCAGTTATGTGTCAAAAAGTAGTCTGGCAGCAAGAACACCCCATTTTCATCATGGTATGAACTTTGGTGTTGACTTTCTAAGATTAGACAAATTTCACGAATTAATGTCCATCTTAGCTTGGTACTATCTCTAAATATAGTAATGGCCATGGCCAGTGATGTGGGTTAACCTTCATTTTATCTGATTTAACCAGTCAAGAACATTCTGCCTTCATTAATGTCCATCGTACTAAACTTCATCTGCCCAACTCATGCTGAATTCCTATCTCATTTCTGGACTTTTTTTCTGGGTTTCTGCAGGTAGTTAGCCCACAGTGGCCAAGAGCCTGAGATGGGATCTGCATAGTTCAGAAGAAATAGAGGTTATTTTACTTATTATAGAAAATATTATCACCAAAGTTTTTAGTTTAGTTATATGCTTGTATATATATAGATATTTATTATATGTATATATTCGATCATCATTCGTGCATGTTGACAATGTGTTGATGACGTGCCAATGCAGTGTCCTGTCCTTTCAGAGGAAACAATGAAAATGAGAGGTATTGAGTGTAGGAGGGGGCTTACAAAGGAAGGGAAAGGAGAGGATGTTGGAGATGTGGATGAGCCGGGTAAGTCCAGAGCCCAGCCTGGCCCGGCCTAGTCATTTCAGTCCACCCCAATCCCCCCCTCTCTGGCTGCTTCACGTAGTGGTGGTTCTTCCATCCTATCTGCTAGAGTGTCACTTGGGTTGGGCCCGGGCCTTGCCAAACCCAGCATGAGCCTAGTTGAACTTACCAGAGAGAGAGAGAGAGAGAACGGTGGGGGAGGGGAGGGGAGGGGAGCAGGCTGCCTTCTGGATGATGGCTACCATACTCTTTCACTCTTTCAGGAGGCTACCATACTCTTTCACTCTTTTAGGAGGCTACCATACTCTAGTTTTGCTTAGTGTGGTGATGGGCTCACTGAGCCCACTGATCATCGTAGAACTGATAGCAGATTTTACTGGTTTTCTTCTTATTAAACATCTTGAAGTTTATTTTCTTGTTTAGTTGCAATTACTCCTACTACCAATTGAATTTTCTAAAGAGTGCCCACAATCAATACTATGATCGATAATGTGCATAATTATGGCTAATAAAAAAAATAGACTATAAGATCATAAAATAAGAAGAAAATAAATACAAGTTCATATTAGTTTTAAGATAATTAATGGGCAATGTAAACACCATGGCCCTCCTCATTTAAGAACCAACAACATCTTTGCCCCATGCTAAGGACATGCTACTCATTTAGTTTTGGGTGAATTATTTAATCATTTTTATTAAGTTGTTACATCATCATGGGTCATGAAATATTCTCATATTAAGCTAATTGCATTCCCTCCATAATCTTGACACATCTTGTTACTCAACCTATACAGTTCATGCACCCCTAACTATTGATTGGTCAATTGAGCATGTTAAGAGCTCATCTAGTTTGTATCAAGTACGTTGATTAGTTCCATAGACCGTTATTTTAATGCGATGGATAATATTTATATTTAGTAATAAATTTTAGTATCTTTGATCATGTGCTATCTATATCCATGTGATGGTATTGATGTGTCCTCTTCAATCCTCAACCAGCCACACAAGAGAGTCACACTCTTCACATAAGGGGGGAGGGTACATAATATGTGAATGGCTAACTTGCTAAAAAAAATGTCAATTTACTCTTTCCATAAGGGGGGAGCCCAGCACTTTATCCTCTCATTGCTTGACACCTCATGCTACCCCTACTTATCCATATGTTGCCGTCTACTATATCGTGTTGTCTCTATGTCAGCAGCACATATGTGCTATGGTGCCTTGTTTCATGACTTATAGGCCTCGTGAACTTGTGGTATGTGATGGCAAAGATATGCCTATCCTCATCACTCATTCACATGAGAATACATGGTTCATGTGTGCCAAGTTATGTTGTTGTGCATTATCTATTGAGGTTTAGAACTACTCCTTATGGCCCTTGCTGTTGGATTCCTCAGTCCTAGTTGTTTGTGCTCATAGTGCCACATGATAGTGTTTTGAATATAGAGAAAGGAAAATGACTTCTATTATGAGTTAGGGTTCAAGACCATGTAAGTATACAAAATATCATGTTAGTTATAGGGTATAAGTGGACCCAACCTGATAATCATAATTAAAGTCATATTTTGTGTATAAAATAACTACACTACAGAAATATCTTATATTCTAACACTCTCCCTCAAGTTGGTGAATGGATATCTCCCATTCCCATGTTACTCATGAATTTTCACATAGTGAGACCATGAAGTCCCTTATGAACAGATCTACACATTGAGCCTCTAATTTAACATGATGAATGTAGAGAATTCATGATTCAATTTTCTTTTTGATAAAGTGATGAAGTCTGATATTGTATCTTGAGTTCATCTAAGATTATTTTGATCCATAATACTTTATAGACTCCTTGAGCCTATAACTCTAAGCTCATAATCTACACGATTGTAAAAATATTAATTTTTTTTGTTGTGTAGTATGATTAAATCTTTTTCAAGAAATTAGCAATATCCTAATGTAGATTGTATATCCACAATAGAACATGCATAATATGCATTAGTAAAGATTTTCAATTATTATTCCATTTGATTGGAATGTAATGTTATTATTAGGTGCTCCCTTTAGGTAGAGAAAGTCCTATCTTGCCACCCTACCATGTATCTCTTTGAGGTCATGCATAAATTGGTTTCGTCCAACTAACTATCATTAGGTCATGTCATAAAGGTAGATTAATTTACCAACTAAAAATCTTTGATACCTCCCTTGATTTGTTGGTGGACTATTCTCTCCTCTCCCTAATTTTCTATCTAAATTGAGGGAAATAGCTGCTGATTTATCTCACTAGCATTTGTTTCTTTGAGTAAATCTAATCTATATTTCAATTGGGACAAAAATATTCTACATCTACAATAGACAACCTCTATTCCTAGAAAAAACTTCAAATTTTCTAACCATTTTATTTCAAACTAGGTAGATAATTTATTATTAAATGATTCACTTTATGATAAATTATCTGCGATAAGAATCATATTGTCAACATGAATTAATAAAATATAAATGTCATTATCAATGATCCTTGTTACTTTGAAAGTAATTCATTTCATGCATAATTGTTGAGAGTGTACCAAATTAAGCCCTCTGTGACTATTTTAATCAATACAAGAATTTCTTTAACTTACATACTACATTTTTGTTCTTTTCATTTTTAAAACCTAAAGGAGTATCTATATAAACCTTCTCATTAAAGGAATCATATAAGAAGTCATTTTTCACATCTAATTGATGAAGTTTTCATCTTTTCATTATTGTCATGGGAATTAAAAAAATTACTTGGTGTTCATCTTTGACATTTGTGAAAAGGTATCATCATAGTCAATTATTATTTTTTTAGTATATCCCTTGGTGACTAATCTCACCTTATATTTTTCTATTGATCCATTAGGATTATATTTTGTTATGAATACCCACTTATATCCTACAGTCTTCTTATCCCTAGGGAGTTTAATTATTTATCATCTCATTTTCAATTAATGGCCTCATTTCTACATCCATAGCTTTTTTCCACTCTATGTTACTTAAGGCATCAGATAGTGTAGTTGGGATTGGAATTGATCCTACTCTCATGAATAATGATGAGTGTGTTGTGGATAAATAATGTAGGGAAAGGTAATTTTGTAAGGAGTAGTTTATTTGATTATTAGTATCATGATGAATAAGTCTATACAATTTTCTTATTGTCTAGATTTGGAATCTAACTCTTCTTCATGAGTTATATCTCTCTTTGGATTTGTGTGGACGTTTTATTCTTTTTTTTTTCCAATGCATGTTTGCCCAAATCTCCTTTCTAGGCTTTGATTATGCGATTCAATTCATCTCTAGAAAGTAAATACTTTCCTTGAGATGTGGTTTGATCATGCTTTTTACCTTTTGTTCTAAGTTTTTCATTTATCTTCTAATACTTTTCTCCTTTGTTGAAGGTGACATCTTGTGTAATATAAAATTTCTGATTTTGTGGGGTCATAACATTTAAACCTTTTTGTGTAATCGAATATGCTAAAAATATACACTTAAGTGCTATTGGGCCTAGTTTATTTGTATGGTATGTGATCATATGCCACCTACCCATACACTTTTGTTTGGATGTTGGTTTTCAAATTTACTCGCAAAGTATAAAATCCCAAGGCTTTTATTGGGTGCTTTTTGTCTAATATTCTCAATGACCATCTATTAATTAGGTGGGAGGTGGTGATTAAAGCCTCCCCTCATAAATATTTTGAAACATTTCCTTAGTCGAAAGGAAATCAACACTTACTAGAATTGACTAGGTATTTATTTTGTTTAGAAAAGTGAACTAGGTATTTATGGATATAGTCCTTTGCATTGTCCAATCTAAGGCATTTTATAGTAATATTAGAATATGATGTAATCATTTTAAAAAATATTTTAATTTTTCATTCACTTTAAATGTAGTCCATCAAGTATACCTATGTCATTTTAGTATAGTCACATGAAGCACATGAAGCTTTGATACCATGTTAGATTCCTCTACCCTTAGCTATATGTGCTTGTAGTGCTGCTTGATCTAGTTTCAAGTGTAGAGAAAGAAAATGACTTCTATTATGAATTAAGGTTGAAGATCATTTAAGTACACAAGCTGAAAGACTATTGGGTCAATTACATGGTATAAGTGGACTCGATTCAATAGTCATAACTAAAGACATATCTCATGTATAAAATAACTACACTACATAACAAAATATTTGACATTCTAATACTTGCTATGACTAGATGACGTGACTCAGTCGTTGTATATTAAATCACGCAAATATAAAATTTATAAAACTAGAAAATATGAATTTTTGAATATTTAGAAGTATTTCTAAATAAATATACCAATTATAATTCAATAAAAATTCTAAAAATAGCGGTAATTTTTCAGGTCAATCACAGGGATGTAATATAATATATGGTAATTATTTATAATTTTTTTCAATGAATATGATTTTCTTACGAATTTTATACTAGGAAATAGAAAGGAAATATATTTAAAATTTACAAAAAAAAGGAAATAAGGGTGCGGACGTCTGGAGTTAAGTGTCCAAACGGATCTTATAAGAACCCCCCATAGTGGGAGAGTTGCCACCGGATCTCATTAGAACTTTGGAGTTAAGCGTGTTTAGGTGGGAGTAATCCCTAGATGGGTGACCTCCTTGGGAAGTCCTCGGATACGTGTGTTGAAAGGCACCGTGCCGCGAGGCATATGTGGCATCCATCTCACTATGCCACCATGCCAAGATGCCTTGAGCATCGAAGAACATGCCGAGAGTCACCCTTGCCACCATGTCGAGAGGCATATGTGGCATCTATCTCTGAAGAATGTGCTTGAGAGGCACCAAAGTGGTTGGGTGTGTGAAGTATCGGGATGGGTGACCTCTTGAGAAGTTTCGCCCAAGATAGTTATAAAAAAAAAAACCCTAAACCCTAAACCCCCCTGCCATTTGCTCTTTTTTTTTTAAAAAAAAAAAGGGTGAGGACGTCATGATGATGTCAGCACCCGACGAACACGAATCAAGCAGAAATAGAGTTCTGCCCGGTGATTCTTACGTAAGTGATTACAGACGACTTAATTAATCAAATTAAGATATGTAAAAGTCGGAAGAATCGTAATTGAACGAAGTATAGTTGGGTAAATTAAAATCACACAAAGTATTACTAAATGAAGCGTAAATTAAATTGAAAGCAAGAAAACAGAGTTCCGGCGTCACGACGGCGACGCGTCGGCGATGCACCAGAATCCTGAGCGTTCGGGAGGGTCGTCGTGTAGTGTCCACGGCCTCGAAGGCTCTCCTTGGACAAAGACGACGTGGGCAATCTCTAAATCTTCTCGCGAAGTCTAGAGATCAATGAAGTGGGTCGTCGAATCGTCTCCGGTGGTTGTCACCCGGCGGAGTGGAAAAACGACGACTTTGCGTCTCTCTGGCGGCTGTCACCCGACAGAGAGGAGCTGGATGGAGGTGGGGCGCATGTCAGGGAGCTTCATCCTCAGATCCGCGCAGCAAGAGGAGGCTCTTCATCGCATCTGGTACGCTCTCAGGAGGTGGCGACTGGTCTCTCGGCAGATCGTCCTCTTCCCGACGACGACTTGTTCGTCGATCAATCAGAGATCATTTACTTGATGGATTCGCGATTCTTTTATCACGAATTGTTCAGCAATTTTAGTAGCAATATTATGCAAATCGCGTTGATGAGATTTTCGCCAATGATCTAGCGATTCTGGTTGCTTAATCCTTCACCGGCAATCTGTAGGAAAGTCACAATAATTAAATAAAAATATATGAATTTTGACTTTGGAAAGATTCGAACCCGCACTAGTCGCCCGCCTGTGAGGAAGGTGTGACGCGGGTTTAGTCCCACATCGGTTGTGTGCCGATTTTTCGGGCGAATATATAGTAATGTTAACTTTCTAAGCAAAGTCCCTTCTCTTGCGTGTACGATCACTTCTTGCCCCACAGCCAACTGGCCACCAGTGACGTGGAAGGGGAGTGGCGCACACATGCCCCTATTGGTCCAAGCTAAAGCCACTCAAGCCCTTGCTCACGACTACTCCCCGACTGCGCTTCCGACCCTCTTACGAGCTCGGCTGGCCGGCGGGTCCCCCCATTTTTGCAATATTTTTATTTTTATTTCTTGTTCTTCATTTATCTCAAAAGTAAGACTCTAAAAATCGTATAAAATCACATAATTACCCAAAAATTCACGTTAATCAATTAAAAACCAAAAATCATTCTTTAACACAAATATAAGTCTATTTATCATGAGTTAAGGCTAAAACTATATTATTTACTAATTATTAACTCATGATAATAAAAACTTATCACTAGACAATGTAATTTGACCAAGTTTCATGCACCCAAGCATAGCCTCATCACTTTGCATGTGCCACACCTAAGTTGCCACACCATCCATGTCTATCTATCATGTGCTTATGCAAACATTATGCATGTCCACCTATGTTGTACCACATTAATCTATTAAGGTTTACAATCAATGTGCTATTTTCTCTCACTCAATGTTGTCACATGTTTGAAATGTGTTAGAATTGTATGATTAGTCGAAACATTAAAAGGGAGGGGGGGTTGAATTAATATCTCTAATAGTTATGGTGAACTTTCTAACTTGATGGAGAACACTTTGACATCTGCATTAGCTCTAAATCATCTAATTTTATTTCACTTTTTATCCATGTACTTTTCAAGCATATCACTATCAAGATAAACTTTAAAAATTGGAGTATTCAATCCATTCCTTATTTTCTTGTTGATTTATATTGGGAATAGTTTGGAGAACATGTTAGACATCATGTAGGACTAAAATAGAATAAATAAATGCAACATGATGATTAGATTGTCATGAATATAATCCAAATGAAATATTCTATTTTTATCATGTGTCACCACATAGATCATGTGCTACACCATGTGTTAATACATAGTATACAATCTTATATGTTTATACTTAATCCTTTGTCCATAGATATTTATTTAATTGATAATTCCTTATTTTCAAATATTTCTAAGATAGATTATAATTTAATATCAAGGCTGAAAATCTTGGTCCTTTGCCCACATTCACTCTCCAAAAATAATCACAATTAATATCAAACATTGAATCACAACTAACTATATTGAGTTTAGCTCCCACATAATTTAACATCAAAATTATCTTTTACATTCAAGATTCCAAGAGACAACAATGGATTAATGTGTCTACTATCTTGAATAATTAAATAAGGATTTAATCACAAGATTATTTCACAGCTAATAAAAAAGATTAACCATGAATAGTTTTTTAGAGGAAGATGTTAGCTAGGAGTGTCTCTAGAAATTCAATGATAAGGAATTTGGTGTGCCACATCCCAACTATCAACATATACCCATGGACATGCACTTCAATAGTGTTGTGTTTGTTTCAGGACCCACTAACACTTCTCATAATTCATCAATGAATGAGCCCAACCCTACCTTGTGTCTAATGTAAGGGTTGGCCTACTTTGCCACCACCTTCACATCCTCAATCCCTTCCTCAACTTAGAGGAGGGTCTCCTATTATTCTGCCACCCATATTTGTGTACACACTCTTATGTTACTATCCACCACTATAAATCTTACCCATGCTAGTTTCACATCCTATGTTATGATACCCTTTGCCACGAGTGCAAAGTTCCTAGTAGCCTTCATCAGTGTGTTAATTAAGTCATCAGCCCATCTCTGACACACGAGCCATACCACACTGTTGCACACCATCCTTTGGCAACACTAAGTTTCACAACCACTCCTATGGTCCTTGTTTGTGCTAAATAGTGCCATCCTGCAGACATCACACATGCCCATGCACAATACTCATCACTTCATTATGCTGTGCCCATGCCGCCACATGCCTCCATGCACAACACAAATGTCTGCCCATGTCGTTGCGTGCTTTTCTGCATGGCACACATATTTGTTAGTGCATCTGTGTGCCTTTGTTCACACCCAACACGTGTCCATGTACAATTCAGACATCCAAAACCATGATATTGCTCGGGCCCAATACTCAATAGTAATAATAACTTGATGTATGATGAACAAGACTTTGTAGTGTCTAATTTAAGAAATAGCAAGGGATGTCACAAGGGGCCTATTGATGGAGGAGTGGTGGGCTTTTTTGGGCCAGGGCGGGCCCATCTTTGTTCCAAACTAGCTCATCAAAAATCTGTCTTTAATGGGCCGGTCCATCTTGAGCTAGAATGGGCTTCCAATGCAGAGAGCAGAGGACAAATGTGCTGATAACTTTGTGGGCCCATATTCGGGTCATCCTCTTCCCTCCATTTCCATCGTCATCCTTATTATCTCCACTGCGGCCTTCGGCTGAGGCAGAGATAGCAGAGGAGAGAGGACCAGGGCCAGGGCCGGGGACAGGGCTGTTCCTCCTCGCCGCCGGAAGGGCGGAGCCGGCGCTCTCGCCGCCGTGCGTCTGGTCGTCTCCTTCCACCCCCGGCGGAAGCACAAGTCACCGGCATCGGCAGGAGCCAGAGTTCCCTCGCTCCATCGTCCGCGTCTCCTCGGCCATCCTTCGCCGCCGTTCGGCCTCCAGTTAGTTTCTCTCTCATCTACGGCAAATCTCTGGCAAAATGTTGATATGCTCCAAGGTCGCATCGACTCATTCCGAACGGTCGAGAATCCAGTAGATGTGAAAATGGATTTTCGAACACTTCACAGTAGCCGACACCGAATGAAGAAAAAAAAAAGCAAATAAAACAGATCTCATAGTTTCCGATTTTTAAGATTCCACCATAATGTGCTCGTTTCCTAGCTGTTTATCATGCAATCCAGGATATTACAGATTGAATTCCATGATATCTCACGGTTTTCTCATCCTAAGATTTGAATTATTTTTGGGGTTTTCATGACGATACACAGATTTTCCTTCCACTAATCACCGAATTCAGTTGTTGATAGCCTGAATCCCGTTATTTTCATACATCCATTTCTTCATTTTTCCCAAGGGAAGAAAACCATGAATTCGCTGCTCTCTTGCTGCAAGCTCTACATCTCTGAAAGCCGAAACCACGCGTCCTTGGAATCAATCGAGAGAGCTGTGAAGCTCTTCCCGGAGGTCATTATTGTGAACAAGTTCAGGGACGATGCCTACAACCGGGTGGGGTATACTCTCGTCTCCCATCTCCCTGCGGAGGCCGCATCTGATGCTAATCCTCTGAGGAATGCTGTGTTTGAGATGGTCAAAGAAGCCTTCAGAACCATCAATCTCCAGGTGCACAGTGGAACCCATCCTCGTCTGGGGGTTGTGGATCACATCTGCTTCCACCCCTTGTCTCCGGCTTCCCTAGACCGGGTTGCTTCGGTGACCAGGTCTGTGGCAGTTGATATTGGTAAAAATCTTGAAGGTGGGCAAAACCCTACTTGAGAACCCGTTTTAAGGCAATCACTGTAACTGTTGGAAAATCTCACCATCTCGAATGAAACAATTAAATCATGTGATTAAAATCTATAGGTCAACTCAATTAATTTAAGGGAATCCCTCTTTAAGGAGCAGCTGTAGACTCTCAATATCTAATCATGGCAATATCTTGAATGGGATGATTAAATCATGTGATTAGCATGCATGGGTCAACTCTACTCACTGGCAATTAATTCTGAACGTGAGCATTGATAGTATGCATTGGATTATGATTGGGACTGGCCTTTCAATGAGACTGTTAGATCATGGGTGAATATTGAATATATACACTTACACTAGTCAACTCCAGTTATGACCTTTTAGTTTTTTTCTATTTTAAGTCTTTTCTATACTTGATTAATCATGTTATTACTGGAGATATGTGGTGGGTAATACTACATGAACGTTGTAGCCCTTGCTGGTATTGTGGTTTTTGCCAAGTTCCTTGATGCAGATTAAACTATAGCTTGCCTGATTCGCCTGATCTACCCTGATCTTTGGGAACTAGAAGCTGATCATGCTCATTAGTTAGAGTCAGGCTAATATGATGTGATATTATATGCTTATTTACCTTTAGATAAATAAATAAATAGATAATATTGCCACAATTCATCTCATTTTTGGCTTCCTAATCGTCTCTAAAATGGTTTCTCTTTCTGCAGTACCCACGTTCCTATATGGCGCGGCACATAAGGAAGGAAGGACTCTGGACTCACTCAGACGAGACTTAGGTTACTTCAAGCCCAATTCATTAGGCAACCAGTGGGTGGGAGCGCTAGAACTGCAGCCGTTGACTCCAAAGCCCGATGTGGGGCCCGACAAAGCCCCAAAGTCAAAGGGCGTTTTGGTGATCGGAGCCACAAGATGGGTGGACAACTATAATGTGCCCATCCAGTCCACAGACATTGGGGCCATCAGAAGGATCGCCAGGTTGGTAAGCGGAAGAGGAGGTGGGCTTGAGTCAGTCCAAGCCATGGCTTTGGTCCACAGTGAGAATTCAACAGAAGTGGCCTGCAATTTGCTTGACCCAGAAAGGGTCAACGCCAATCAAGTCCAGAGCATGGTCGAGGAGCTTGCTGCAAGAGAGGGGTTGACCACTGGGAAGGGTTATTTCACTGACTTTTCACGGGAGAGGATCATCGAGAGTTACTTGACTCAGAGGGGCTTAGTCTGAAGAAGAGAGGAGAACAGGGGTACCCCAGCTCACATGAAAGGCAAGTGAAGAGAGAGATTCATTTCTTTTTCACCCATGGGAGAGTAAATGATTTCCCTTCATGAATGGGGGGGGGGGGGGCTCCTATACTTCACTGCTTGAGTCAAGGTAATTGCCATCACATGAGTGAAAGGCTTGATTTTCTCTAATATTCCACGAAAATAAAGCTTAGAGCTCTGACCATGCGGATCCCATGAGTAGAAATAATTACCTCACGAAGTTGACCCTCTAGCTGTTAAAAGTAGATGTCATTTGCTTAAGTTTTCCAAAATCTTTAGCACCATGACATTTTTGAGAACTATTAGGCCACCCAAGTCAAGTCAAGAACCATTCGACCTGAGTGGAGAAGACCAAGTTTCTATCATCACGCATTTATTTCTAGCATGGTCAATACTTGTGGCTTTGTCATGTGGACAACATAAATAGTGTGTGGTGCGCTCAACTCGAGGCAAATCATAGGCTCTAACACCATGTGAGATTTATGAACCAAATAACTCAGGCAACATATTGACCATGAATAGAGTTGTAGTATAATCAATATCGTAGTATTCTTCACAATGAAAAAAGAAATTACTTGTCAATTCTTCCTTTTGTAACGATGTACTTGTGGATCTATTACTCTTTCTAACCTCACTTTTGGGATCCACACCTAAATCAGGGTGAGCTTTGAAACTCTTAGCCCATTGATATGATATCCACCCTAGTTATAGGTTGATTGCAATTCATTATACTTCTTTGCCCAGAGAACTCCACTCTATCCATTTTATCTTATCATCCGAGCATCATTCTCAAGACAGAATAATCTGAGAAAACACATTTACTCATCCTCATGCAATCACAACAGGGATCACCAAAAAAATCAGTACTTTTCTATTTAAGCTGCTCACAAACTTACATGGATAAATTTCTCATAGAAGAGAACCTCATTCATCTGCCAATTTCAAGCCTAATAAAGAATGAAAAGAGTTTGAAATCTTCACCACTCAGGAGAAAACCCCACTTGATCACTACACTTTTGAGGGAATAGCAGGGCAATCAAATTGTAACCCACCACATAACTATGAAGCATTTTTTCAATTTATCAATTCGTGTGCATACAAATATTTCAAGAAGCTGACCTTTATACGCAGATAATTTGGTCCACGAGCATCCCTGTCGATGAGCACAGCACCCTTCTCCATTTCATTTGCTTCAAGTCTGAAGAGCCCTGCTGGGAAGAAGTAGGACAGACACTCCATCAACCAGATCCTCAGTTTAATAAAGACATGGATCTGGGGAACTCTGATTCCCCATATTCGCAGAGATTTTTTCTTCATTTAAAACTGCAAATGATCTATGGCGAACAGTACATATGAGAAACATTGAGTCACATCTCTATCATATATGATTTGGAAACGAAATCCCTTTATATTATCCAAGGATTCAAGTCAGTAATGGAGTATATATAAAGGAATTAAAGAACTATGAGGGATCAATTGGCTTAAACTCGAACAGCAACCAAGCTGGAAACCTATCTCAGAGGTAGAAAAGTAGTAAAAGAATCACGAACATAGTTCTTACCAAATCAGTTGTTTTAAAATTTTGGCTGGTAAAGAATCGAGGAGAAAAAAGAAAAACCGACTTATCATGCAAAAGAATTGAATCACCTCATTGGATGGAATCAGTAGTCTGAGACTTTGCCTGATTTTTTTATGAGCTGGTGGACCTGCAGTGAGCGCCTGGAGAAGGATATATACTACAATTCCAGCATGCTCCTCTCTGGGATCATCAGCCATTATGAAACCTTTTCGCTGAGCTCAGACGGGCCTGTGCTCGTTCAACACTCGGTCTATGCTGCCGGAGCCTGTGCCACGGAGTCATTCGGCCAGCGGCATGCAGTCGTAGTTTTGCCAAATGTTTGTGCAACTCAGCCAGGTTGACGAGGGGCACGGTCGTTGGCCGTCCATGAGCACACTACACCAGAAAGCTGCATCATCATCCATGGCACAGAAGAAGCCTTGGCTTCCCACACATCAACCCAAGATAAAGACCAGACACACCTGGAAACAGAGTGATGTTTCCTTGAGCTCATCCACAATGAGAGAGCATTCTGAGGGCAGGAGCGGGTCGCCGAACATGATAGCGCCTGTCATTTAGAAGAAACAACCGGTAAGTGCGGTCCCTCTGCCCCGAGCACTCCACATCTACCTCTGCAGGGAGAAGAGCGCCAGAAAACAGAGCACCTACCTCTGCAGGCCTTAAAATTGAGCACACGGAGGACCGAGGGCGGCATGCTCGACGTGCCATCCGTATCAGCAAGCTGGGAACAGTGGGAAAGGTTTAAGCAACGAAAAAAGAGGTTTTTTTTTTTCTCTCTCCTAGATGTGACCCAGAGTCGTCAGCCAGTGTAAAATTGATTGATGCCAGCTTAGGGGATGGAGGCGTATAGTGGCCATTATTAATACCTCGAGCAAGATGGTCAAGGTTTAAATCACTTGGAGAGATGAGGGTCAAAGTATTGAAAAGATGCAGGAAACTAATACCTGCTCAAGATATTCCAGAAGATCTTTGTCAGACAAGTTGATCCCCAGAATACAAGGCACCTGCGATGGACAATAATGACCAAAAGAGTTCATTATTACTCAAAGGACGTATTTCAAGAAAAGTTTTATGGATTCCCAACGACCACCAAGAAGATTCAGGAATGCGATACAAAGAAACCATACATGCTATTTTGAGAAAGTAAAAAGAACATGATTTCGGTAATCTAAACAAATTCTGAAGATCAATGGCATTCATAAAGGGAAAAAAAATGCTGGAAAACCATTTTCATAGCCCCTCAACAGTAAAACAGTTGGAATGATATTCCAAAAGCTAATATAGCGTATAATTGGCCACTACATTCACTTTTTCTTGTGATCTTTCTTGGAAAAAGAAACTGATATGACCTTAGAATTCCTGAAAGAGAACTGATAAAGGCATGATCTTGGGTCAGTATTCAGCCAAGTATGCAGAAGTCAACGAAGACATATGGATCACCAAAGTGCAATGTTATATGATGAGAAGGGTTTTTTCCCTAGAGGGTAGATTAAATAAAACCTAGAAATACAGTCGATCCTAACAAAAGAATCAATAATTCCTCTTCCCTGAATCTATAATCTCAAACACATGAATACAAGTACAGAGGTAACAAAACATTCACATGAGACAATCTATCAAAGAGGTTGGTGGTGATGTATGTTACAGCAAGAAGTGTGATGCTACATGACTTCTTCTTTAGTAGGCCCAGGTTCCTGCAGAAAAAAAACAAATGCCTGCTTATGGATCATAACAGAAGCAAGGGTAAGATCTAGGAAAATATAATCCATAAAGAAAGGAAGTTGGTTTTACAATATTGATATCATCGATTCTACTGTTACTGAAACCCTACCTTGCAAATGACCCTTCGCTCGAGACATGGGAGCTGCATATCCAACCCCATTTCTTTATCTGATCTCCATAGTTCTGGACCAGCTGGAACCCAATCTCAGGAAGCACCTGTTGTTAACAACGATGAAAAGAAAACAAAACGGACATCTTATGAACAAAATGGTGACCTGTGGTAAAAACTGAACAAGAAATTATGCGCATAATAAAGACGATCAAATCGAATGAGAAACTTACAAGCTCCTGCTGTGAATCAAGGTAAGTGATGGAGCAGCCTTCGCCTGACATTACCTGCAGTTTCAATGATAACTTTGTGAAACATGAGAAACAAAAAAGAAAAGTTAAGGGCTTTAAATAGGATAAACTAGACCTTCTTGCGCAATTCTTCCAAGCGGATTCGTTCATCAGCAGCATGCTGCGGTAAGTCAAAGCATTAATATTATTCAAATATTCAAGCCTTTAAAAACACGAGATAGCAAGCACGGCTATCTCCACTGAAGTGTGTAATGCTGATTACCCCCCACTAAAGTTTTTTTGCCAGTGGAAAAACCATTTGGTTATATTGCTTCAATGAACAAAGTAATCGGCATCATAAAATAATTCGTAACAAAGCTAAAAATGGGAAAAAGGGTACAACGATTTTTGCCTGTTTCTTGTGCATGTACAAATATTTCCATTATTATCACTGGCCCGGAACCAATGCTCAACTTGATCCCATACCCAAACTCAGATATGCATCTCAAACTCAGATATGCTCAATGTCAGATATGCCACTGACATTTTGATTTCAAAATTTGAATATTATCTTAATTAAAGTAATTACCATTTTTTGGTTCAATTTTTACGAAATATACAATGACTGAAAAGTTAATTGAAAGCAATCCCTACTAACTCAGAGTTAGATGCTACTTTCGTATCCTTCAAAGCTGAACATGGATAAAGTGAAAAGTATATTGTAACAGATCCACCGTTATCCAAGGATGTTTCTGTGGTTTAATTTAGTCTTCTGTGTACTGCCCCTTTATTATCTCTCTCTCTCTGTATATATATATATATAAGCTCTTCTTTTGTTATACTTGTATTTCCCTAACATGTTACTATATCAATATAAGCTACATCATATATGAACTAGTTTGGGTCAGTGTCTATTCCATGTGGATGAAAAGCTGATTCTAATCAAGTGCAAGTTCGGTCAAGTTGAGCCCAGTCAACCTATATCGCAAGTGATCTATTTCTGTTCAGCCTCATCCAAATGTGGGTTAGCTGACCCACCAAATTGAGGATGAGCAAAAAATAAAGACTCATAATGCAAATATTCTTCAAGAGTTGATTAACACGATTTTTTATTACTGAATATCAATCAATTAAAAATCCAAGGAGCCATACCTGGTCGATGGCAATAAGAACATCACCAGCTGTGGCAGGAATAAACTTCCGATCTACCTGCAGAAGAACTTTTGCATCTTGAAGTGTATCCCGGCTGACAGATTCAGGTACTAACGAATTTCCAGCAAGATGCAACATGCCAGATGATATGTCAAGTATGTCATCATAGCTGGAATGTTTTTGTGCCCTATTACTGCCCTGCACTATGCAAGAATTTCACCGTGTTCAGAACCCAAGCACAAAATTATCTACTATCTAAAATTTGAGTGAAATGTCAAGCTTGCCTGAACCACAGAAAAATGTAAAGAATCACGGGTTCGCCATTTAATAGTGTCTGAATTTGAATATTCCATCTCATCAGCTTCTGCACATTGAATTTAACAACTCATCAATGAATTAACATAGTTGATTTCAACCATCCACAAACTTCCTTGTCATTATGAATCCAAATGATTCACCTTCATTGGATCCTCCATGGGCTTTTACTGCATTAAGTTCAATTACAGATTCTTTTTTTGCAAGCAAAGTACTATCAAGAAGTTCTGAGGAGGACGCATCAAGTATTGACTTAGTTTGCAGTTGTGATGTGCCGCAAGGTTGGGACAGATCCTCCAATACGCATCCATTCACTGGCCAATATAATGCAAAAGGCAACTTAGGAGTTTTCCATAAGGGTCACAACAGATGCCTACCAGAGAAAACAAACCTGACAAAGCAGTTGCATCGTTGGGGCACTGAATATGTAAGGAGAGCTTTCTCTTGGACTTGTAAAATGGGGGAGCAGAGTGACTTCTTCGCCTTATGTTTTCCAGATGACTGAATTCACAATTTTTAATTTCATCTGTATTTGTCCTACCTCTCTGATTAGATTTTTGACCAGGCAGATCATGGGTATACATGTTACAATTGCTTTTGTTGTCTGTGGCTTGTAAATTAAATTTTATCCAGAAGTGTTCTCCATTAACTTCGCCAGGTACAACTTTTCTGGATTTAATTTCCTTCGAAGTGTGCTGGTCATACACTGTTCTTTCGGGATTAAGGCATAATGCATCATCATTACAGTTCACGGTTGGCAAAGCCTGAAATTTCCCAGAGACATTGAAAGATTTGGAATTTCTTTGTCCAGAAATCCAGGCCAAATCATCAGCAGGCAGCAACAAGCTAGAGAGAGAGCCTGTGGATCCGTGAACTGGTTCTGAGTCGCTGAGCAGGCTTGAAAGGGTGTTTTCCATAACATGTTTGGCATTTAAACAAATATCAGTCTCCTCAGGACGATATTGTCCAAGATTATCTTCGCATATCCTATAATCAGTCCATAACCTATCTGGTTCCTTTTTCTCTATGCCAGCTCCCATTAAATCAAAGGAACCCCTGAACTGATCCGTCCTTTCCATTGTGTCCCTAATGGAGCGGGAACTCTCACTATGGTTAAGAGCTCCCAGAGTAAATGGTCTGCAGGGAGAGACGTTGTTTCCTTTATTAAATCTAATTCCGGGTACTCTTCGAGCAGAGAATTTTTCCATGCTTTCTGGCGGACTTTCCGTAGAGAAAAATTGCTTTCCATATATGTCAAGGCTGTGACCACAGCGTGATAGAAATGGAACATTCCGCACATGACTTTTATTCTCATATGAATGACATGTTGACTTGCTGCCTGTCAATTCATTATTTAGGTCTTCTTCATCGTTTTTGACCAACTCCTTCCCCATTATTGGATAATCACCCTTTTCGCAACTTCTTCTAATAAGATCAGACAATAGGTAACTTCCTCCTAAAAAACTGCTATCAGAAGCAAATAGATGGGCTTTATTCTCTGGAAAAATCATTTCATCACGTGAAAAATCAGAAATTCTCCTTGAATCAAAAGCCTTCCTCTTATAGGAATCAACTTGATGACCAAAATTAGTCTCCCTTTGGAAAAAAATTATGTCAGCTGTGGTTTCATACAATCCCCCATTTCTCTGATCATGACGAACACCACAATCTTCCTGTAACAATTCCACTGAATGTTCATATGTGAGGTCATCAAAGGAAATTCCTTTACCATGAGAACGACAACCCTTTTCATCCAACTTAGAGGTTGTAGATATATCCGGAGCGTAAACACCTGCGAATCAAATTGTCCATTAAGTTTATGAAAGAAAATATATCATTAGAAACAACAGTGATAAATAGAAACCACTCACTTGAGTCATAATAATATTCATCAAAAAAATTAAGAAATGGCAATATATGATCGATGGTGCTGTTATATTATCCGATGTTTTAAAAATATAAGGAACTTTTAATGATCTTGATGGTGGGAAGTAACCACTATAAAAAACACAACTGCCAGACAGATTGTCAGTTAGCAAAAGCCAGCCTCAAACACTCATGAATTGTCATAACACAAGGAAAAGAAATACCCCTTTCTGACCTTGCAATGAACGAGATCAGAAGAAGATTGAGAAAAGGATACTCAAAAAAAATTCTGAAAAAAAACGTAGTTTTGCTTAACCCATGTCAGCTGCAAATGTCGAATCTTCGAAAAAATTCTTTTGAAAAGTAGCCATAACCTACAATTTGAGTGAACCTTTGACAATGTCTTGAATGGAGGGTCTGAAACCATTTCGAAAAAGAACTGAACTAATAAACCAGTCACCAGTTCAACGTCATACGGAGTGGATGAAATCATCCCAAAAAATGAAAAGCATGACGCATTTGATAACATTCTAGCAAATTTTCTGAAAATTGATCATAAAGAGGTTTGCTGAAAGTGACTATACTAAGGCATGCTCCAAACTTCCAGTGATGTACCTGATTTACCTATGAAATTTTGGATTGAGTGAAGAAGATCTTAAATTTACTTCTGTTTTCTCCAGACGAATTGCTCATAAGAGGGCATGTGACGCGTTATAGCAATTTTCTTCTAAAGTTTCAAAATTCTAGAAGATTCGCCGTTCGCAGCTGGCACAGTTTAAGCAGAACTATTCACCCAATATTCCTATGACAATTAATGAAGGCAGGAATTTTTTTCCCAGACAAATCGGTTATTAGTCAATTGTACCAATTTAAATGCCCCTCCCCCCCTCCCACCCCCCGAATCGTCTGGGAATCACCCAATCCTATGTTTTTAAAATGAGTCAACTTGTCCTGATGATTAGCCAATGCTAGTTCCCTGCATTTATCCCAATGATCGCTCCTCAAAGCTCCTCCGTCCAGTTTCCTTTCAAGCGGATGTGCACTTTCGTTAACTGACCCGGCTGAAGCTTTTATTCTTCCACATTCCAAAATTGAATGCGGAGAGAAGTTATGGCCTCAAAAACACAATTTCCTCAATTGCTCCTTGGTGCCTTCCACAGGAATTTTGAAGAAAGATCCATCAGATCTACCTTCCACCTGGAGTTAATGGGAACAAACTCTGGACTTCACCGTTTCTCAACCCACTTCTCTAAGACCTCCAAGTTATGATCTAAGGAATCCTCAAAGAATAAAACCTATAGCTTCTTACGGGTTCACATGCACATTCTGTAGTCATATGGATGATAGGAAGCCTCACAATAGAATTAAGAAGATCCCATCCTCTAGATATAACCTACGATTCCTCTCGAATCTTTCAATTGTCACAACCTTCTCCTCACTCGCAAACCTGTTTCATTTAATCCTCAGAGACTGACATCCTATCCACCTATGCCCTAACCTCCGCAGGAAAGTTTGATTGCAATTTTTCTGTGTCTGGCCTAATGACAACTTCTGAAAATCGAAAGTATGTTCCACGTGCTATGATTGGATCCTGTTATGCTTAACAATCATCTCTTCCCCAGAAGACCTTGATTTTACTCTTCCTATCATGTTGAGCAGAACCCACTATTCCACTCGGGTAATAATCCTATTCTTATGGGTAACACCAAATGCATTATTACTAAGCCTAAAGAGACGAGGAAAACGGTGAAACCCTACCCCCTCACCATTAAAACCCAATTTCATTGCAGATTCTGCAGCATGTAAGCGAAAGAATATGCAGATGAGAGCACAATGTTTGATGGAAATCAAGCAGGTAAAGGTACTAAAAGGAAATCCATAATGTTCGTAAGCTCAAAAGGTTACAGCATAACTACCTCCTTGCTCAATTCCAGTTCCAATGCTCGAGCCACGTCTCTGCCTATGGTGATTTCCTGTATGAAGTAGCAGATGAAGATAATATTTGAACATCATAAGCTCCGCTAGAGAGATTTTCGACTAAACTTGATCTTTGTTCACCTAAAAATGACCGTGCAGAAGTTCCCTCCCAGGAGTTCCAGACAGCTTGTTCAATAAAAGACAAAACAAAAGTCCAATCCTGGATAGGAAAAGAACACGGATTTCAGACAGAATATCATTGCACCCTTTAAAAAAGACTGACCAGATGAAAGTACTTAAGGGACAGATTTAACACCAGATTCAGTATCCCATATTTTGTGTAGTATGAAACTATTTTCCGTAGAAGGTAAAATAATGAAAATTCTAACTACATTCTAAAAGCAACTGACAAACGGCCAAACCGGATTTTGTTTCCATGGAATACGGTGGAAATTTTATTTGGTCGCAGCTGAATTGATTCAGTTATCGCAATGTTATTTTTTATATTATTTATGTTCTTCTGGAGGAAAAGGTGCTTGCTGCGGACAAACAAACAACAGGCAAAAATGACTTTCTTCATAGTGACTTCAATCTACAGTGACTTTCTTCACTATAAGTTTCCAGTTTAATTCCTTCTCAATCAGGATGGCAACAATATTCTATCTTAACCGTATGCATAGCATACCCAATCAAGATGCAGAGCATGCTTAGTACGATGCGACCAATCACTTCGTAGGCAGTAGCAATCCGGGTTTATTCATTCCTAACGTTCGTAGATATCAAGTGTTTAGCAGACCAAGGTTATAACAGAGGTTTAATTGTCCTCCGTGGAAGAATGTAAAATACAACCCTTGCAGTCAAGATCTCCAATGCTTGGGGCACATCTTCTGACAAGCTGACCACAACAACTACTAGTTCCTTGCTTTAGTAAAATCCACATAGCCACCAAAAGAAGAGGTTCAAAATGAATGTAGGACTTCAGAATGTGCCTATGGTCATCCAAAGTATCTTCCAGCCATGTCTGAGAAGTTACATGCCAACATCAAACTTCTAATTTTCAAATTAGAGTCTGAATAGGGCACCTTGTCTTGTTATCTTTTGGATATCCAAACGACCAAGTACTCAATATTCTGCTTAATTAACCAAATCATATGGCACTCCTCTGCATGATGTCACTAGCCCCAGTAAATATCATCATTTAGCGTAGAGCAACCTCCCCTTCATCTCCTATTAAAGAGAAGGTAGTTTATCACCTATAGAAAGAGGAGCATCCCTCGGAACTCTCTTGAAAACACTAGTTCATTGACGCTTCTCACTGATTATCCATGCATAGCCTTCACAGAACTCTGATGCACAATGCATTGAAGGAACGACTGTATCATAGCCATGCGCCCGCACCTTTTTTTAGTCAACATCTCAAATGCGTTTTACAGAATAAGGATTGCATAGAACTGGGCTATCTAAATTAGTGACCTTTCCAGAACTAAGATGCATGGAAGATTCTTGAGTGTAGTTCCCAAGATTGTAAAATGAAATTAAATGTTTTTGCACAACAAACCCAGAGAGAATGATTCATCTAAAGTTGGCAAAAGATCCTTTCCGCTCATCTTCCAACCCCAAGTAACTCTTTCTTCCATCGACCAAAGAGAAAGGAAACATGGAATCACAAACCTTTCTTCACATGGTGCGAAGACTTTATCCCTAAATATGTCATAGTTTACCCAACAATAAATTGAACAAAGGTCAAAAGAGGAAAGACAAAGCAGGCAATACAATGTGCATACTGAAACACAACAAGGCAAAGATAAATGTGACCTTGAATTCAACAACAGTCTTTGAGGGCTCAAAAGTCAGATCGTAGCTTGATAAAGGACAAAGCAAATTCAACATATACACAGGATAACCTTGTGTCCGTTGTCTCTTCATATCATGGACTTCTGGTTCACTCCTTGAATGTTCCAAGGACATAGGGAAACTAGAAGCTAAACTATTAATCAAGTTATGAACTGGACCTCTGCAAACAAACCTGGAGTTTATATCTGAAAAAGTAAAAGACAAACTTCGAAGATTCGTCTCCTGAATAAAGATAAATGAGACCAAATTTTCATTCATAAAAAGAACTGGAAGGATACAAAGATATTGGAAAGCCTGCAAAAAATAAACATAATGACTGAGATCCAATATAATTGATAATAGACCTAATAAGAAGTGAAGACAACGAAATCATGTGTACCTTCACGAAACCAGTGCCAGCTGGTCCTGACAAAAAACCATTTAGATCCAAGTGTTTATCCGAATAGCTAACCTCTCGTAGACAACTAGAAACCTCACTTCCAAAATAACTGGACACTAGAGGCAAAGGGGAAGATGAAGGAACCGTGTGAAACAGCTCATTTTCACTGCAATTAAGACGCCCCAAATGAGAAAAAAGGATCGTTAGACAGTGTAGGCTGATTCAATAACAAGATTTGGAAAGTGAAAAAACATCAGTGTCATCCCAAATCTTTCACAAATTGTAACAGCGAGAAGAGACTGAATGCTAATATTAATCAAATCCCTAAATTTCATATAAATTTATTTTAAAATATATAAACATGTAATTGTAACCCTAATGCATTTTTGGCATCAAAACTGTAAAAACCGGGTTCAACTTCTGAAACTGTATAGAGTAGAACCGAATTGCGAAAGTAAGATACTAGTTTCTCAACCATAACAAGAACGCACCTCTGAAGATCAATTAAGTTGAATGAAACTTTTGGGTGGACAAGAGCAGCTTGGAGTAAGCATTTCTTTACTGAAAGCAAAACCTTCTTAGGGCTGCCAGAACCATTAGAGTAGAGAAAAGTAATTATCAAGTCTAAGTGTTCACACAGATAGCCATAAAAAACAAAAAAAACAAAAAAAAAAAATCATAAGTTTGACAAGATGAAAGAAGATAAGGCAGCTGAAACCTGGCCTGCATAGATTTTCTCCGAACTGGTTGATTGTAAAACAAGTCTCGAACAATGACTGCAAGACATTAGAGGTTTTCATCATTATAATTCAGCGTGGTAAAAAATTCAAATACCACAATGTGATAATCTAGGGAGTTTGAAGGGATATTTTACAACCAATATTATCTGTAGATGCAGTACTAAAGTAACAAATAAAATTTTTGAAAGCGTAGCTGTAGTAGAAGTTTATACGATGGAATACATGAAAAATAATATTGCACTAAATAAAAAACTACTATCCTACACTGATAGAATTGATAGAATTCCCCTTTGAATTATTTCTCTCCAGCCATCTGCCACAAAGTGTTGGCAGCTGTCAAAGCCGATATTCCTCATGATCTCCTTGATGATTTTTACTGTGATTGTCTCTCACTGTTTTCCCAACACCAAGAGCTTAGTCATACTCATCAACGCTATCTACATTATTATATTTTACTCCTTCCGTAAATAAATTTCAAGAATTAAAAGTTTGATTTCGTAAAAACATAGCATTAGCATTACCAGTAGTGCCAACATTTTGCCTGCTCTCTTCAATCCCAAGAAATAAGCAATTCTGGCCCTTATGAGACAAGAATATAGTGTTAACAAAAGTCAATTCAAAAACCGTTTTCAAGTAAGATTTCACTTAAGGAGAAATACAGACTTTCATGACTTTGCGATAAGCATTTGGTCTACCACGAGCTCTTGTAACAACTTCTAACAGAGAAATGTCAGAGAGGGAACTCAGAGCCTCTCCTCTTGAACCCAGTTGTCCACCATGATCATCCATGCCACAACGGTTACGAAGTTTAGATGTTACTGTTCAACAAGTTTAATCAAAACGAAAAGATCAGCCACGATGTCTACCTGAAATACTAAACAGACATCCGAGAAATGCAATAAAATAAGTGGAAAATCTTAAGACCGAACAAAGATCATAAAAGTAAATTTTCAAATTAGTTCAATAATAAACTACAAAATTCCTTCAGAAGAAAAAAATAGACCAGAAAGCAGTGAGTTGCAGTCGAGATTGCATGCTCATCCATAGCGTCAAGATAAGCTATGCAACCAACCAAACACATATGAATTGAATGCATATGAGTAACCTTTCTCATTTCGTTTCAAAATTGCAAAAAAAAAAAGAATATTGATCGTTAGGGGTGCTGAATAAGTACTAAGGAATCGTAACCTGTATAGGATAAATTAACCTCCTCTTTCTGACGAACAGAGGTTGAATGGCGTTTTCCGAAAAGAAACGCAAAGGAGTTTCACAAGATTTTCTTACCCCTGAAAGGAGAGTAATGACACCCCACAGCCTCTCCCACAGCAAAGACAATCTAGACTGAGGGCTTGGCGATATCAACCTTTCCAACAACCTGGGGTGGAAGCTTTAATAGTGTGGTAGTCATTCCAGTGAAATTTTCTCATGGGTTTTGACAGGTCTTTGGAACATGAGGTCTGGACAAATATGCTTTTATTTGCTGGCAGAAACCTCAGTTCATATTAATATCATAAAAAAGCGCCTTATTGGCTAATTTCAATTATAGGTGTGGAAAAAATAGAACTTGAATGGGAAAAAAAACTATAGGCGAACAACAACCAAATCTGGATGTTGCGGAGAGCAATAGTGATGATATTGATCAGACACTGGGGGAACAGCATTACTTGTACACCTGATCATCAAAAGATTTCGGATTATATTAAACTTGTATATACGGATAACGTACTTAATTTTTACTCCTGTCATCTTCTAAATTTGAAAAGTACAGACGCTAGGAGAAAGCAATCAGTTTTCTATAAAAAATAAAACAACAGACGAAGAATGATAGAATATAAAACGGACAAGTCGGTAGATGGACTGAAAAAAGAAAAGCAGAAATTCATAGGCTTGCACAACACAAAGAAATGTGGCAGCCATTTTCCGAAAAATGAGATGAGGAACAGGTATACTTGAGGGATTAATGCTTCACGTCTCAGATGGCAACATATTACGAGACGAGTAGTGGTCTAGGTTTTTGATCCTACATAAGACGAACTTTAATAAACTATCATGTTCCTCATGTAAAAATCAAAGAAATCTTCATGACACGAAAGTCAGTATTATCCACATGTGAAGTATATATAAATAAATAACCATATAAGATTCCATGAACAACATATAAAAAGATCTAAAAGAAGAAATAAATGACATAAAATCAGTACCATATCTTTCACCAAGAAGCGCCAATCCATCACGTGTAACACCAAATCCTGCAGGCATATGCACAAGTGCCCACATGATTCTCAAATACTACTCTGATAGCAACATTAAAAGTTCGCAACTCACCATTGTCTTCTACTTTAACATAAGATGCCCCAACATTCACACCGACATTAACCTGAAAAGTTAAATTTGAAAATGATAGCACACATGAAATATCAAATTTAAGTTTCATATCAAATTGATAACTCATTTCACACATTCCTTCTTCGCCTGCATAATGTCATCAGCAAAATTTGTATATAAAGCGCAAAATTTGTACTGCATAATGTCCAGAAACGAAGCAAGTAAAATGTCTGCCACAAATTCATCAGCAACTGCATAGTCATTGGTCACTGATCCAATAAACAAGGAAGTTCAAATCGTCAACCTCATGGATCATCATTTGTAGACACTAGGAATGGAAAACTCAGTGAAAATGCAACATATGAAAAAAACTTACTCTAAGAGCCAATAATTTCATTAAATCATGTCTTTCAATAAGTTCAGTACACAAGGTTTAGCAATATTTTCTGTGACTTTGCACCTTCAAGGAGCCTTGGAATTTGCACCAACATTCTGAATACCTTGAACCAATTATTAAGAATTTTAGGCCAATTGGACTTTGCAGTGCCAGAAAATATTAGTTATGATTCTTTACCAAAGTGCATTAATCGAAGATAATCATCATATGTCGCATGTTAGGTCGTTGAAGGAATAGCCATACAATGTAAGAAAGAGACTGCAAGGCTTTATCTCACTCCACTTATAGTGAAACATGGACTTAAGGTGAACAAGTCTCCAGGCTGAATCTAGAGCCACTTCATGACCTTGGAAGAGATTTCACAGAACTATAATAGGGATTTAAGAATCGTGTCAGCCTCGTAAGCCATAAATAAGCAACTCTGCTTCTAGTAGTTGTGTAACTAATTGACAGTCCTAGTACTTCTCCCTCTGTCGCCTCACATCTTCATCACCCCAGCAGAGATATAGACAGGGAAATCAAGTTGGACAATCCAGAAGTCTTGAATTGTTGGACACCATTATACTTCAAGTATTCACGTGGTTTGTTAATTTTTTGGTCAAATTACTAAAATAATGCATCATGAAAAGGCATCGTCAATTTTTTTTTAGGCACTTGTCCTCTAGGCCACATTTCTACATTACAGATGGAGAAGTTACCCTTAATAACAGACCCACAACCTCAGCGAGGTTGATATCTAGATAGGTGATCGAAAAGTCCAGTGGATCATCCGGTAAGAGCTTCGGGCCATGTGGAATCATTTTTCTGGTGGCACAGTTTTTTAAGTAAACAGGACAGTCATTCTTATATCTTCAAGAGTTAGAATGTGGATGACGAATTGTTCTCCTGAATAGTGGCATCTTCTCTCGATTTTGAGGGGTGGTTGTACGAATTGCTGTCATTGTCTGCCTCATCTTGTTCAGATGATAGGGATACATTATAGCAAAGAATGAATACTCACTACTCGATCCCTTTTCATGCGAATATATGATGAATATATAGTACGGTCCACTTTCAAAAAAACAGATTCACTACACAGTCAATAGATCCAGATCAAATTCCATTCCAGGCCAGCTTCCTTTCTTCTTGGCGTGCTGCATCAAAAAACCTGGTTATGTACGACAACCTATTCACATGCCTTGAGTCAGTCTGTCATTTTCCGAATCTAATTGGGTGTAATAATATCTTGAGTTAAAATCTTATGATAGGGGAACAGTCTTATCAAAATGTCAGAAAGGGAATCACCCTGTTCCAATAAAGGAATAAAAAACACAGATAATCATCTCTCTATTTAACACCATCAAGCTCTATAGTTACTAATCCTCACAAGCTTCACAGTCATTCAAATATAACATGATAAAAGAACGAATAAACGGAATGATATTGTTTTTCGTTTACCAAAGAATAAGAATACAGGATATAGAAGAATATTCATAAATATCTGCCATTGACATCTTTACCTCGGTAGCACCTGCATCCAAACTATTCAATACCAACTCCTCCACAACTCTAGTTATGTCAAATAAAAAAACACTCGCTCGCAAGGAGCTATGGACAGATCCAGGCAAACACTTAATCTTCTTCATTTAAACGGAATCTGGAAAAAAAAATTGAACCTGGTTAAAAAATGAGAATCAAAACAAAAGGCCAAAAACTGAAAAAAAAAACTAACTAGAGAGTCTAGAAATTTTTGTCTGCGAAAAATAAATTACAGTAATTGAATTCAAGGAGTAAGAAACCTATTTGAAATCATAGTTTTCGGTAAATATTTTTCTTGATGATTTTTCAACTGATTAGACGATATGTATGCTACATATCTCCAAATTTTCAACTGATTCGAGGATATGTATGCTATACATCTCCAAGCGGACGCCCAAAGTGACACAGTTCACTCAAGGTCTAGGCAAATACCGGACGCCATTTAATCTTAATATCTCTATAAATAATACAAGAATAAGGTAAAAAAAATCTTCATACAAGAGTTTACAATTAAACAACGATAAACACAGAAAATGATTGGCTCAGATATCAAAAATGGAAAATTTTACACTAAAGAAACTCACAATTGCGGGATAAATATTTACACAAGAACACGGAAAGTTATCATTGGAGGGCCCCAGGCAGTTTTCTCAAAGGAAGAGAAACAAAATTCCCGAGGGAATCCCAAATAAGCAGTCAAAGAGGCCAGCCGCCGCTTCTTACCTCACGAAGGCCAAGAGAATTACACGCTATTACAGTCCCAAAAGATTTTTCCTCCACGATACCATGGAAAACCAACCGAAGGCGGTGGGGGCACAAGCAAGAAGGACCCTCAGCAGCATTCTCCTCGCGTTTCGAACTGAACCAAACAAATGGAACAGAACAACGAGGCTTCGTCTGCGAGAAGCCTGAAGATGGAGGAGACGAGAATCTTCCACAGAGAGAAGGATAGAGAGAGAGAGAGAGAGAGAGAGAGAGAGAGGGAGGCCTACAAAGGTGGTGGCGATGGCGATGGTTGATGCCCAGAGTCGAGTGAAGGTGGTGGAAGTGGTATCCTGCGCGCCTAGAAGGTTTCCTAATAGAATATATTTATATATAGGCTGTACCATTATTTGTATCCTTTTTTTCAAGGTCACACCGATCTCCCCTTAATAAATTAGCGTCTTTCGTTTCATACCCCTAGGAAATTACATTTGTCGAAAAACTCTATATTCTTATCAAGAACCCCGAAGACTATACGACTCTTGGCTTTTGACCCCATAAATTTTAACCTTAAATTAACCTAGTTAGGATTTAAATTATTTTTTAATGAAAAAATCGAGAAAGATAAAAATAAACATTATATTTTTAAAAGGGAAAATTATCTTAAAAATTTTAAAATTAAAAAAAAATTATTCGTAAATAATAACTTTGGAAAATCAAAGTTTTCATATTGATCCATGTTGATCCAACTAAAAAAAATAAAAAAATGAAAAAATGTTGACTCATGTGTCAAACCAAGTAAAGGTGAATTAAATATCAATAGAGAGAGAAATATTATCTATGAGACAAACATCTAGGAGAGATTGAACATGTGTTCGAATATAAAATATAAAAGTGATGACTTGTTTGCAAAGTGACCAACTCAAAGCTAGTCAAATTTATAAGATGGCTATAAAGATCATTATATATGTTGACATAAGAGTTGACCATGTTAATATTTGACTGAGCGGATCCCAAAATTTTGAGTTCCAACGAATATTTTTGAGTGATGTATTGATTTTTGTCTATAAATAACTGATTAACCCCCTCCATTAGGCAAATAATGGTACATAGGCCCCTAAATTAACTATTTTTGGAGTTATTTTTTTTTCTTCTAAAATTTATTAACTAAAAAATTTTAAAAAAATATTATGAAAGGAAATTATCTCCAATACCAAAGCTGAGAAAAAATCTAATTAATAGAATTCAATTAATTTTTCTCCAGCATTTAAATGCTTGTACATTGCAAGATACCTCCACAATTCTTGCAAAATGTTGAATTATAAGAGCATTTTTTTCTTATATTGTATTTTAATATTCCTATTATTCATGCTGACCCAAAGTCATGAATTTAAAAGATATTAGATCCCTATTTATTTATTTTCTTCATTTTTATTTTAATATTCCTGTAAATAGTTATGAGAAACAAGGGACAACTAAAAAAAGGAAATCTAGTGGAGGGCCAGTTGAAACTTTGGTGTTCAACATAAATATGAGTCTTAATGTGATCCAATGAACTTTGCATCATCTTTCAAGCCAACACTAACATTATTCAAGAATATGTACGGTAGATATATTTAAAAATATTATCTTCATTGAGATGATCATTAATAATTGTCTTGAGAAGATCTACTTGTTTCTAATTTTATATCATGACAAATATTATCCAAAATGTGATTAGTGGATAATATCTCATGTATTTGAGATCTAAATTCTAAATTTATAGTATCTTTCAATGTTTAAATATATTTATTATTTTTTTCTTGAGTCATTTAAAATATGTATTAGATGATAAATAACTTTAAAATCCGATAGGGATGATTTTCTTATGGTATAACCTAATATATGGTAAAATCATCAAAACCTAATTCTTCAATGAGATGATCGTTAATGATTGGCTTGAAACAACCTCTTTTTTTACTCGTTGTAATATATGGTAACAACTATTATTCAAAATATGATTATTATAAAATATATCATTTAAATTAGTAGAAAATATCTTACTTTCATAATTTTTTAATATTTGTCTCGAGGCATTTAAAAATATTTATTTAATGAGAAAAACAACTTTAAAGTCTGAATATTGATATTTTTTATGTTGTCACATAATCTGTGGTAAAATCATCAAAACCTAATCTTCAATGAGATGATCATTAACGTTTGGCTTAAGAAGACATCATTTTTTACCTGCTTTCTAATTATAGGGTGGAAAATATTATTAAAAAATTAATTAGTAGGAAAGCTATCATCCATTTGACATCTAGATTCTAGATTTTTATTTCCTTTCTCATTTACATAGAGTTTTAATATTTTTCTCGAGCTATTTAAAATATGTATTATATGAGAAATAACTTTAAAATCTGAATATTGAATATTTAATCAAAAATATTGATTATATTTAATTTTTTCATATATTTTTTAATATTTGTCTCGAGTTATTTTTAAAAAAGATATTGTATGGGAAATAAACGTAAAATATGAATATTGATGATTTATTTATGGTACAACCTAAGATATGGTAAATTCATCAAACCTTTATATTTGAAAAATAAAATATGCTGTATAATATTTAAAAATATATTTTTTAATGAGTATGCTGCATTTTTATGCATGTTAGAATGTGCAAAAATGATTTTTCCTATATAATCTGATGGCTATGTTTAATAAATTATGCCTGCAATATTTTCAAAATAATATCATCATTATTTGGACTTATAAGCACATATATTTGTTGTCATCCCAAACATTACATTACTATAATGAATGATAATTATAATTACATAAAATGTAAATGTGTTCTAAAAATAGTAGAAGATATCTTGGTGTAAGCTTGATATAAAAAACATAAATTATCTGAGAATAAATGAAAACATAAGTAATTAATTAATAGTAAAATAATATTTAAATTAATTGCCTCTTGTATTGCAGGTATTGTTGATTTTAATAATGTGAAATAAACCATAAAATGAACACATAATGTTTCCGGGCTTTATATCATTTATTAATTAATATGAGGACTGCATTGATAAAAAACTTTGACCAGGATGCGTAAATTGGGCCCGTTTCTTTCGATGATGTTGGCTTGGAAGCCCGTCCCTCTCTCTCTCCTCTTTCTCTCTCTGCTTATATAAGAAGTTGGGTGACGGGTCCATTTTTATTGGCTTTCTTCTGGGCCCTAGCTTTCCGGCCCGATATGAGCCCGGTTCATTTACTAAACACCACCAAATGTTTCCGAAATTGAAAAAGAGCGCATGTGAAGAGGGAAGGGGGGGGGAAAGGAGAGAGAGAGAGAGAGAGAGAGGGAGAGAGGAGAGTAGCGGAGAGTAGCGGAGAGAGAGGGAAGAGAGAGAGGAGAGAGGAGAGAGGAGAGAGAGGCGAGAGAGGGGTGGGTAGAGGTGAGAGGACAGATAGAGAGAGGAGAGAGAGGAGAGAGGGAAGAGAGGGGAGGGAGGGAGAGAGAGGACAGAGGGGAGAGAGGGGAGAGGCAAGAGAGAGGAGGGAAGAGAGAGAGTAAACGGGCTATATATATAGGTCGGGAGGTAGGGAGAGAGAGAGAGGGAAGGAGGGGAGCTGAGAGAAGGGGAAGGAGGGAGGGAATCTCCCCGCGCTTCCTTTGAACAGCGCCACCGCCGTAAGGTCGTCGCCGCCGCCGGAGATGGAGGACGACGTTGACATGTCCCTCGACCTTGACGCGGGGATTAACGTGGCGCCGGCGAGGCCAAAGTCCAAGTTCCAGCCCAAGCTCAAGGGCAAGCTGCTACCCAAACCCGAGCCAGTGGCCGAAGCCGCCCATCTCCCTCCATTCCCTCCGGTGAAGCAGGAGGACGCCGTCGGGGTGGAGAAGGCCGAGACATTGGACTTGGGGGGGGAGCACGCAGGTGCCGACGTCATGGGGTTTTTGAAGGAGGAAGAAGAGGAGTTCGTCGTGGGGATGGCGGCGCCCATGGAGGTCGACGGGGTTGGAAACGATGAAGAAGGCGAGGTGGTTCGGGAGATTGACGTATTCTTCAACCCTTCTCCCTTGGACTCGGACACACAGGTACGGAGCTTTGGTTTCTCAATGCATTGCATTCTTCTATTTCTTGCTTTTTCATGCCTTTTGTGTAATCCTGTGAGCGTCTGTGGGGCCTGCCGGAGTTTGAGGAGGCATCATGGTCATGATCATCGTGCAACTCCATTTTAGAAAGAAATAGCCCATAGATTTTAGAGGGGAGCGAGAGGGAAAGAAATAGCCCAAAGCTGATGAACAGAGTAACACTGGGTGAGGAACAAACGCTGGTTTATTTCTCCTAGTTGTGCATATGAGAACATGCGTAAAGTCCTGAAGCTTTATGTCGGGAAATCAATTGTTGGTGGTAGGCTATGGAATTTTATTGGACCTGATTGAGATGGGTTGAGAAGGGTTGAGAAGGGTTTATGAGATGAAGGGAGGTGTTGCTTAATGACTACTTGTTGATCTCAGGCTTTCAATAATAATGACATGACCAACAATATGCATATGAAGGTCGTATAGCTGACACTGAGGCACTTGTCTGTTGACAAAGAAAGAAGAACAGTTTAAGGACTACACCTTGTAGCTGATATCAATGTGATCTGACCTGCTGAGCGAGTGGTGACATTCAAGTACTTGGATATGAAAGCTTAACTTATAATCAGCTTCTTTTGGATTTCTATGCAAATTGTGGACTATATAGATGATAAGCCTGATATGACATATGTACATTATCTCAAGATAATTTGTCTTTTCCATGCCTGTATTTCCTTCTGTATGTTTAGTGTTTTTGGAAGACAGCTTAGCTTCTTGATTGACCATTCTTTTCTTCTCATCGGATTGTAATTTTCATTGCAGCTCTATGTGATGCAATACCCTCTCAGGCCATGTTGGCGCCCATATGAATTGAATGAAAGATGTCAAGAGGTATACCACTATTATTTTAATGCTTTTGTGAACAGCTCCGGATTGTTGCTTTCTTTACTTGGAAGTTGAAATCTTTTAGTCAGAATTTTTATTCTCTTCGTCCTGTTGTCTAAGCAGGTTAGAATGAAACCTAAGCAGTCAAAGATCGAATTTGATATGGCCATGGATGTTGACAGTGAAAATTATGACGGTGAGGTTGAGGAGCACCTAAGGTTAAGGAAGCAGGTTAGTGACAACTTCTCTACGTCCTTGTTGTAGCGTTTAGTATACATCTATGGTAGTTCATAGTAAAATCGTTTTGATCTGTCTTGTGTTTATTGTTGAATTATTTAATGTAGCCTGGCATTGTACATTTGCATGTAAATGTTCTATCGTATAAATTCTCGTGTATATTTTTGAAATTTCGGTAAAATCACCTATTCAGCGATCTGCACACACTTACATTGGTTTTCATGCTTTTGTACCATTTTCTGTCCTTAATTTATGCCAAAATTCTGTTTTTATATTTTTTTCTTGGTTCCTATTTTGCATTTGTTTTAGATTTGGGAGTATCGCACCATTTATGTCCGTTCAGCTATGCCAGATATGCTATTTATTCTATTTTTTTTCTTCCAGGTACTGTCTTCTTCAAAGATACCGTATGTAACTGGATATGCTGTTGGGATACTTGTGGGAAACCAGGTAATTATTTTGTTTATACTGTTGCCTCTGTGCATGCTAACGTGCTGATAAAAGGTAGATTTGGAATCAAAATTAAATGTAGTGCGTATTTATGATAAGATTCCGTCTTTAATGAGAAGTTGGTGGTTTTGACTTTCAAGAAAATTTGGTATGCTAATGAGAGCCTAGTATGTTGCCTGAGTGGTGTTATCTCGTTTACATATAGGGTGCCTGGACAGGCACCAAAAAGTGAGAAGTTGAATTATTTACCTACAACTTGGTTCAGATATAAAGTGAAATCAATCGAAATCAGATCCTTGATAAGTCGCATGAACAGAATCAATCGGGTTTGCTTAAACAATTCAACGGTAGCAGGAAGTCTGATAAATAGGGAAGGAAAGATTTTATAAGGAGGCTTGTATGAAGACTTTTGCTACAAGTACCAGCCTGATGCCTGAGTTACCCCCACTGCTGGTAATGGCTTTCATTCCCTTCCTCATAATGAGCAGCCTAATATATATTACAATTGCCTTGACAACGTGGTAGGTGGAAGATGTTTATAAATGTGGGTAGTGTGAAGTTTTCGGATTATATTAAGACTGGATTAGTTGGAGGTTTTGATGTTACAAACGGCAAGCAACAAATCACAATGTATTGAACCCCATTTTATTAATGGGTTTGAGAAGGAACATTGGCGAGTCAGTCTCTTTTTTTTGTGGCCATGTGGGTCATAGTGATCTCTTTCTTAAGCTTCAAAGTTGAGAATCTGCTATCATGTTGAATGAGGATAGGGAGCCTACTGATAATTGAACTTGAGGGGCAAAGGCATTTGACACTCCCCTATCACTCTATGTTGTAAAGTTCTCCATCTCTGTAAAATTTCAGTTAATCAAGTCAGGGGGCCTGTGCACTGTTGCTATTGATGCTGTTTCAGTGTGAAATGGAGCATTGCTGTTCTTATACAGGTGACAGATAGAAGTAAAAGTTCTCTTCCAAGTGCTACTTAGATGGCTAGGAGCTTTGTGCTGTTGGCCTTTTCATATATTTCATAACTACGGAGGGATTTGGTTTTCTCCTTTATTATCAGGGATTGGTTCGTCAAAATTTACAGATAACCCAAACTGAGAAGGTTCCTGGTTCCATTACAGCTAAAAGTCCTTTGTTTGTCTAAGAACATGCATGTTAGCTAGGCAACTGACATCTTCAGGCTGAGTAATCCCCTAACTTTAAGACGATTCTCCGCAAAATATGAGCCAAAAAGTGTCATTCTCATTCAAATTTGGATGGAAAATCATAAAAAAGTATCGAATTAGTACTCTTTTTACAATTTTCAAATTAAAGAAAGCTACAAAGTACTATTTTCTCTATTGGTATTCCCATTGTCAACTGAGCCCACTCCGACCTCCCTCTGCCTATTACCAATTTCGTAAAGGCGAATCTTTCAGGAACTTTTGACTCTGATAAACTTTTAGTTTCAGCTAGTCCAACTCTTTGATATATTTCTTGCTGAAGAAATATTCCTAATTTTGGTGAATAAACTTGGGTGTATGGGAAGCTTAACTATCAATATTACCCGTATGGATCCCATTAATATATTGTCTCCAAACTGTAATTTTGTTCCTTTCTTCCCAAGTTTTGGTCTGAAATTCTTTTCCTCCGTTTTTTTCTGAACTTAATGTTTACTTTGATTGATTGTCTTTTCCAAACTGTAATGTAATTTTTTTTCTTTTTCTAATCTACTTCAAGAGCATGGTGTTTCCGTATTTCCTGTGTTGATTGATAAGAAAGGAAAGTGATCTTCCTCCTATGCACAGTAGTTGTTAATAACCCTTTGTATTTTTACTTGAAATCTTTATTTATATTTTCTTTCAACTGGGTTACGTGGTTCCAAATTCATTGCCTAGGCTATTTTACTGAGTCACACTTTTTGCTGGAACAAGTTATTCCATTGATTTGTATTCTTGGATACCTTAACTGTCTCAAATGAATTTGGATACTGAGAAAACCTGAAGTAATATTGTAATGTTTTAACATTTTTTGGTTGTTTCCGCTTTCAGGGGAAAAAGACGTCCTAGAAAATAACTCCTGCTGTAAATTTTGTTGCATTTGATATCAATTTTCGTTACCGATCTCTGAGAATTATAAGACCTTTTTCTGCTCTATGTTGCAGTTACACTTGAATCCTGTTCATGCAGTTATGCAGTTTCGCCCGCTAATGTCTCATATAGATCCCAGTGGGTTACAAAAGAGGAAGCACATTTCTCAGAGAACAGGAGTTGCCACTAGTGATGATGAAGAGGTACAAGAATCTGCTAAGCCATCAACTAGCCGGGTAAGACTTGGCTGAAGATGAAGGGGATGCTGCATTTATCTTTTTTTTTTCCCATTGGTTTGTTGATTCCGTCCTAATAATGGATGTGGAACTAGTTTCTTCTTGTTTAGGATTTAGGTCACTAAACCTATCCTATCAAGTCAAGTAATTCGACTAACAAAATATTTTTTTCATGGAAGGTGTCAGAATCAACGTTTCTTTTTCTGAGAGATCCCTGCCATTGAACATGATTGAATTGTCTTTGGGCAATGCCATGTTAACCATAGTGCTTAGGATTAGCTGTACCCAATCTAAACGGTAGAGGAATCGGAGATCCCTTGATCTGCCAATTTTTGGTTTTCGTTTGTCACTAATTCACATTCTTCTTGATGAATCTGCCAGAAACATGACCTGTCAACATTGTGGTTGATAGCAAAATTTCTGGAACTATACTGTGCCTTCTCTATTGCAGATTATTTGGCGAACGTTTTATTATCAGTGAATTATGAAATAGCGATGCATATTATATTTCGTTTCTGGTGCAAGTTATTCTGTGGTTACAATAGACATACCTTATTCTTCCCTTATATTGTCGTCTGTATGTAGGGGAAGACAGCTCTGGAGTCTACAACTGAGAACGGTGATGATTCAGAGGTGAGTTGGGCTTTTAATTAGACAGAAGGGATACACTGGTGATTGACTTCTGCAAAGTTGTTTCTGGGGCTAGAATACTATCTGCTTTCATTTACTTGGCTTCAGAATGATGAAACTTCAAATGAGTCGAAGATGTTTCCTTCATTTGAATACCAGTTTTATTCTGATGCTATTAATTTTTTAAAGTTCATGTGACTAGTCCTGTGTCTCTTTAAAGCTGTCCTTTCATCACATCTTATGCCTCAAGATTTCTGTTGAGATGATTAGTTGTGGGATACTATTTTCTTTTTTTGTTCTTAGCTGAATGTGAAGTTACTCAATCACACGAGATGGTGTCTAAGAATCTTGCACCATATGTTAATGTTATCGTATAAGTTAATGTTTTTAAAGCATGACCAGATAGTATACCTGTTCGGATCACGTTTGGTTACTGATTTTATTTTTCCGATTCCTTGAAAATTTGGCTGAATCTCATGGTACATGTTACCTTTTTCAAGTATCTAGTATCTGTTTTCTTCATGTCTCTAAAGCTGTGCCTTGCTCATATTTTTTGCAATTTCTTTTCTTATAGGAATGGGTGTCACTTAAATACCATGCTGCTGATAGTCCTATTTCAAGCAGATACCAAAGAAAAATGCTGTCTGAAGCGGGTGATCATATACCATTCTTGATGAACTCGTATGCTTTTCTCTTCCTGAGTGACAATTGATGGCAGTTTCTATATAGGCTTCCTCATTTAACTTTATTTTAATCACCATGCTAGTTTGTGATGGATTCTTAATTGTTTTCCAAAGGTCTGATTATCTTAACTGCTTGTGCCCGGGGACATCAGCTGGTAATGACAAGATCAGAGGTCTTTCTAGAAGGTTAGACAATAATCCTTTTTCCAAATAACAATTATCTAAATGATGTATCTTACGCATGTTCACACAGATTTCAATCTTTGTTAAGATACTCTTACCATAATCACTTTGCTAGCCCAGCTGAGCATGACTGCCCGGATTTGTGTAAGCAGCAAACCTTAATACTGTAGGTTTGCGTACAAATTCTACATTTAAGAGGCTATCGATATGAATAATGTCTTCTAAAAGTGATATATATCATTTTCTTCTAGGTTGTCATGCAAGGCATGAGAATACCTACCAAGAGTTTTTCAGTAGGTTGAGATGAGGATATATGGCAAAACATGAGATGATTTGATTCAATTATTTTTTGCTACTTAGTTCCATATTCATCATACCAGTTGATGAGACCTTCTTATATTTTCTAGAACGATTTCCAAATTAATCATCGCACTTGTCAACTAATGATGGTCACACTTGGAAATCCACTTTGTTTTTTTTCCAGTTTAGGTTTATCTTTTCACATGGTACCTACGGAATAAATTTTCATATTAGAAATTAATTTTACGTATTAGAAATTATTGTTGAAACCAGTCCTTACCACCTCTGTTTTTCTCTTTTTTTCTGAGCCAATAGTGTATCTCAATTGACTCATCCAATAGTTCGTTGACCATTCCACGATTGATTCACAGAGAACTTGTTTATATTGGGACTGTTCCCTTAATGATGAAGCAAAATAAGAAATCGCAATGTAAACCTTACCCAAGCATTCCATTATAATCTGGCTCAGCAGTGAAAGAATCACGTTCCTTTTCTCATTTCATCTCTTTTGACAAGGATTTTGTCTCATCTGATATTTTCTTCTTCAGTGAGTAACCTGATATATATATTTTTTTGCTTGCGGTGACTATTCATGAAATTCTGAAACTTGAATGCCTTGTGTATCTCTACAGGATAATGTTGACAATCCCATTGGATGAGCGCCTGAAAAAGTTATTTCTGGAGGTCTATCCTCGCTCTTGTACTGTGTCATGGGATTATTTTTATTTAACTTTGGGCTGTTTTAATGCGCATCATTTCATTCGTAATAAATACAGGGAAACATGTGTCTATTAGCTCCAAATTTGAATAGAAAAAAATGGGGTTCAGAAGAGTAAGAGGAAACTATTTTTATATCTACCAGAAAATGACTGACATTATTTTTTTGATCAGTAAAAATAAAAAAAATGGAAGAACTTTTTTTAATGGTAAATTTTTTTTATCTCAATCATTTCTCAATAAAAAGAAGAAAAATAAGAAAACAGAGGGTTCAATTTTAATTTTTTTCATTGGAATGAAATCTTCTTAATCTAACAGTTTATCAACTAGCCAAATGAAAAGTTGAAGTAAACATTTGTACCGTTGGGTGTTCTTAGCAAGTGATTATTGAGTTACAATTCTTACCTTATTTCTCCTTTCTGGGGCTTGTAGGGAGGCCAAGTACACCGATTTGATGCTCTCATGCATCTTGCTCCTTCCGAGTCACCAGATGCTGCTCTGAGGATCATCCAGCAATATGCAGTTCTGGTGCAAGGTCTGTGGATTGCAAAAACCTCATTGTTACTTGACGGTCGTCAAGCTCTCGTTAGGGATTACATACTATTTCTGTTCACAAAGAAGAATACGATACCCATAAGCAAGGTGAAGGAGATAAACCTTTCCATGGAGGATATGAAGCCCATCCTGAGCTCGTTGGCTTTCGAAAGATCTATCTGCAATGATTGGAAATTCAAAGAGCCAACTGATCTATCCTTCATCAAGCGTTTCCCAGACATTGTGAATATTCAAGAAAGCTTCTGGTCTCGTCGGCAAGAGCAGATAATGAATGCTTCGCCGGGAATTCTAAAGAGCCCAGTGTTGATGGCTAAGTGCTCCACGAAGCAAGGTTTGGGTGTCAAGTCAGCTGGCTCTGGGAGTGTTGACCAGAGTTTGAAAAGAGCAAATGAGACCACGGCGAGCTCTGGGATGTCAACGTTGTCGGATGAAATCCGTGAAGCTCTTCCAAAAGCTCTTAATGAACTATTCAGGAATCACAGAGTCTGCAGGTAATGCTTATTCATTTTTTCTTCGAAAATCATTTGTATGAATTATATATTAAAGACCCATGTTCGGTCATGCTTTATACTAAAAAAATGAATTACAAATGCAATGGATTACTGATGATTGGACATGAAAACTGTGTAGAGAATATGGATCTTGGAGAAGGGAAAAATCCTAGCTGGTAATATGCTTCAGTTATGGAGTTATTATTTATTCGAAAATTGATCTGCTTAAAATTTGATTAATGTGCCAATTTCAAGTTTTATAATTTTAGTCATGTGTTTTATTCTTTAAAAAAAATCACATATTTGTGTTTTTTTCATGTTAGACGTCAAATCAAGCAGAGAGGAGGGAGATGTAGATGGAATGGGTAGTTGAGAAAACTATACTACGTTGACTCTACAAGGATAATTCATTCGAGAAAGAAATCTTACAGAAGCTAAAGAGGATGAGATATACCCAGTATAGAAACATCCATGATCTTCCCTGTTCGGAACACCAAATGTACTAAGGATGGGAGAATCGCCAATAACGGATAAAGCAAGAAGCTAGAGCCTTATACGCAGGAAAAACACCAAAAAAAGGAACTAGAGGAGTTTATCAAATTACGATACGGGTTGACCTATGTTTGTGAGGATATCTCTCAGGATGATCCACTCTATACAGGGGAAGTAACTAAGTATTTCCTCTTCAGTGAAGAGCTTTGAGGGTCATCGATGTGAAGACTAGGCACCACCTAGGTAGTCCAATGAATGTGGTAAATCTAAGTTTATAAAATGATGATATGAGTTGACCTAAGTTTGTGAGGATATCTCTCAGGATGATCCACTCTATAATGGGGAAGTAAGTCTATGTTTAAGGAAATGGTGAGATAAACTTGTTTTGTAACAAAATATTCATCTTCACTGAAGAGCTTTGAGGATCAACGATGTGAAGACTAGGCACCACCTATGTAATCTAGTGAATGTGGTACATCTAAGTTTATAAAATGATGATAGATGTTGACCTATGTTTGTGAGAATATCTCTCAGGATGATTCATACTATGAAGGGGAAGTGAATCTATGTTTAAGGAAGTGGTGAGATAAACTTGTTTTGTAACAAAATATTTCCTCTTCAGTGAAGAGCTTTGAGGATCATCGATGTGAAGACTAGCCACCACCTATGTAGTCTAATGAATGTGGTACATCTGAGTTTATAAAATGATGATAGATGTTGACCTAAGTTTGTGAGTTTATGAAATTATGGTAGACTACCCACAACCTAAGTATTAGATGTAAACATCAGATTTAAATTATCTAATGAATGTGGTAAAAATCTATCGACCTGGGCTGAGGAATAATGTGGTGGATCAAGGACAGAACCTCTTGACTAGAAGAGATCGATTGGTAGCCTTGTTGAATGGCTGCTTTCCTACAGCTCCCAATCCAAACTTGTCCCAGAGAATGCTGCTGAAAGGAAGATTGGGAAGAGGTGCTGTCTGGATCTGGTGGATCTCGGATCAGCTGGGTCAGCTTCTTATCCACACTTGAATCATATCAGCCAGACTGGCCAAAAAGTCAACGCCCGAAGATGTATATCCATATAGAACCAGTATTTTTGGCATCTGCGAGGTGTCTACCCAAAACAGCAGGATTTTCAAAGGAGAAGATTTTTTTTTTTTAGAATCTTCCCCCTCGATCGTTGCGCCATTGAGGAAATTCGGTGAACTATATGCTATTTATAACTATATACTATGAATGGGTTGCCTTGTCTTTCTTTTTCATGCTCTCTGAATGAATATATCTTGGGATTGGAACCATAACATGGCCTTGCTATGCTTTTTTTCCTAAAAGCATGAACCAGATCCGTCAGGGGCTGCGAGAGATGGCAGTTTCAAAGTCAACACTACCTAAAGCAGATCCCAGACCCTTTGTTCTTGCTGCTCATGGTGCCTCTGCGCCTGCGCCTGAGCTCGAATCAATTATATGCCGGGTTGCAGAAAAAATCCATGATGTGTTCGTTCCAAAGTCCAGTAGCAACCCGGCACTCAATCCGTTGAGGTGATTCATGATACCATCTCCTCTCTCTCTCTCTCTCTCTCTCTCTCTCTCTACTGCGGAAGTACATCAATCATGGGCATTTTCTCACTCTTTTTCTTTGCACTCGATCAATTGGGGTAATTCATGAGATCATCTCCTCTCTCTCTCTACTACTGCTGAAAAGTACATCATGGGCATTTTCTCACTCGTTTTCTTTGCACTCAAATCCATTGAGATGATTTCGTGATGTCGTCACCTCTCTCTCTCTCTCTCTCTACTGCGGAAGTACATCAATGATGGGCATTTTCTCACTATTATATTTTTTTCCTTTGCAGGAATGTTGTCATCACTCTTTTGCGGGGAAGGCCGCGCACTGAGAAGTTAAAGAAGGGAGAGATCGTTGCTGCAGTTGAGATGGCTCTCAAGAAGCAGTTTTCTGCTTCCGACTTTAATCAGGTTAGTCTCACTTGCTACGATGTCAACCCCATCAACAACTAGAAATTCTGTAGATTCCTCTCTGCTTCCTACCCGGTAATTCAAAAAAAAAAAAAAAAAAAATTATTTTCAGAAAATATAATTTTATTCTTACAAACAAAACAGCATCTTGGTAGAGCTGCCTGCGCAGAATGGACGGGCGTGGACCATTTTACCTCCTTTTTTCTGTGATAGATAATTTTTAAGTTCCATCCGGATTTTCCCAATCACTGTTCTAGAAAATCGGATTCTGATCCTTTTTTTTTTTTTCTTTTTTTTTCTTTTTTTGTGGGTAGGGGGGCATTCGATTAATTGTGTGGTGTACAAAGAACGGGATTGAAAGAGAATCATCTAGCAGAATCTTTGCATGCTAATGTGTCAATTTTACCCATTACCACGATTAGAAATGTAACTCCTTTCCACGCTCTTTGGATTTTTACTTCTTTTGTTTTCTTCGACTAGCCATATTATTCCTATTATTATTATTATTATTATTATTATTGTCAATATCATTTAATATTTTTTTTTGCTAAAAGCAGCACTTATAGAATGGTTGACTGCTCTTATAGGATTAGAGAATCCGGGGCCTGGTCCATTTTTTTTTTTTTTTTGTTGCGATTTTTTGGATGTATGCATGCGATTAATAGTGCTCAAAGAAGTATTAGTAACACCCAATTTTGCCCGCTTCTCACTGCCATAAATATATCCATCAGAATCTCAGCTTTCTTTTGCCAAATTTACCCATCACCACAACTGGAAATCTAATCCCTTCCCACGCTCTTTGGATTTATTGCACATGCTTATTTAAGTATCCGTACTGTTCATATTCATAGTATTATTATTATTATCTCAATATTATCGAATATATTTTTTGTAAAAGCAGCACCGAAGGTTTGGCGTGGACTACCTTCATAGGATTGAACTGAATGCATGCATATGATTTTATTGAAGACACTGAAGAGATAAATGATCTAATTTATGGTTTGATTGATTGATTCCTGGTGTTGAATCCTATGCGCTTCCTATTGTGCCAAATTTTTACCCATTACCACAGTTGGAAATCTAATCATGGTTTAGACCCTCAAGAGACACAAATGATCCATGGTTTGATTGATTGATTGATTGATTGATTGATTCCAGGTGTTGAGCGAGCTCTGCGTGTCGAACAGAGGAGCTGGATGGCTATTAAAGAGCGGGGACGACATGCCCAAGTGAGATCCATTAAATTTTTTAAGGTCTTTCTCTGCTAACCATCAGATCCCGGCCGTTGACTCGTTGGATGGGCCCACCGCTCGGACAGTTGACCCGGGGTTTAGTGGATGGAGGACTTGCTCCTCCCCTTCTACTCTTCTAGTTGGTGGGGTTCCTTTTAGGAAACTTTCCATGGATGATAGATATTTGTGTATAGATAGAGAGAGAGAGAGAGAGAGAGAGAGAGAGAGAGAGAGAGAGAGAGAGAGAGAGAGAAGCCGATTCTTCGCTGTCGGAGTCAGGTAATTTGCAATGTAATTCATTACTAATGTTATTGTCATATTCCTGGCAATGGAATTGTTCCGAGTTTTTTTCTTCCAATTCTGGTGGGGTATCTTCCCTCCCTCTGACGTCTGCTTCGATTGATGATGTTTTCATGAGATCGAACTCCAGGTTTTGTGAAGAGAAAAAAGAGGGGTCAAGATAAAATCTAGTCCACAAAAAAATGGAAAAGCTTAATTTTTCTTCCTTTTTTTTAATAATAAATTGGGCCTATTGGGCCAGTTCTGACTTGATCAAGGGCCCAGGCCAAAATCCTACTTTTTTTGTAGGGCCTCCGTTTGCTCTTAGAGGGAAGGCAAAGGTTGATCCCGTTGACATTACAAAGTTTTTTACAGTATTTAATTATTTATAGTTATTAAGAAAGAGAATTAAAAGCTGGCTTATACTTTTTTTATTCGCGGAGGGTTTTATAGAAAATTTCCTTTACTCTGGATACTCGACCCAGCGTCGGAGAGATTATCCTCTCTCTCTCTCTCTCTCTCTATCTTCCGGCTAAACCCTCTCCACTCCCTCCTGATCCTCGTCGCTCTCTTCCGGTCCTCTCTCTCTTTCTCTCTCAGTCTCCGGCAGCTCCTGTCCCTCGGGTCAGGTCGGCGGCTGCCGCAATTAGATGGGAGAAATCTAAGAAGCAAGCGGAAGAAGAGGGAGGGAGGGAGGAAGAAGATGATGATGCGTCTGTCGGTCACCGCCTCCGCTCCGCCGTCCCCGGTGATCCCCGGCGGCGCCGCCAAGAGATCTCCCCCCCTCTCCTTCGGCTCCATTCCAAGGATCCCCCGGAGGCTCCTCCCTCCGCAACATGCCCTCTCTTCCTCTGCCTGCCTCCGCCATATCCCGCCGCCGCCGCACCACGAACAGCTCCAGAGTAAGGGAGGTGAGAGAAGGGGCAGAGGAGGACGAGGACAAAGACTGACCTGTGCGGCCCTCGCGGGGGCGGAGTTCCTGGGCGGGCTCGAGAGCTTCCAATCGGTGGCGGAGGCCGCCGCCGTGCTGGCGGCGATCGTCGTCGTCCACGAGGCCGGTCACTTCCTCGCCGCCGTCCTACAGGGGATTCACGTCAGCAAGTTTGCCGTCGGCTTCGGCCCCGCCGTCGCTAGCTTCACCGCCGGCAACGTCGAGTACTCCCTCCGCGCCTTCCCCCTCGGCGGCTTCGTCGCCTTCCCCGACGACGACCCTGCCAGCGACATCCCCGCCGACGACCCCGATCTCCTCCGCAATCGCCCCCTCCTCGACCGCCTGCTCGTCATCTCCGCCGGCGTCGTCGCCAACGCCGCCTTCGCCTACCTCATCATCTTCTCCCAGGTCATCTCCGTCGGGCTCCCTGTCCAGGAGCCGCTCCCAGGGGTGCGCATCCCCGAGGTTCGCCTCCATTCGGCCGCCGAGCGGGGCGGCGTCCTCGCCGGCGACATCATCCTCTCCGCCAACGGCCTGTCCTCCCCCTCTGTCTCCGATCTGGTGGAGATCATCAAAAGAAGCCCTAACACGAAGGTGACCTTCGAGCTGGAGAGGGCCGGGAAGCAGGGCCCCCTGGTGGTTGGTGTCGTCCCCGACGAGAGCTCCGACGGATCTGGGAGGATCGGAGTGCAGTTGTCCCCGAATTTCAGAGTCTTCAAGCTCAGGGCGAGGGATCTGACGGAGGCGATCCGATTCACCGGGAAGGAATACTGGGGGCTCACCTCCACGGTCCTCGAGGGGCTGAAGCAGACCTTCCTCAATTTCTCCCAGACGGCGGAGAAGGTCTCAGGTCCGGTGGCGATCATCGCGGTGGGGGCGGAGGTGGCGAGATCCAATTCAGATGGACTCTTCCAGTTTGCCGCCGTCATCAACCTCAACCTCGCCGTCATCAACCTTCTGCCATTGCCAGCCCTCGACGGAGGCTCTCTGGCTTTGCTTCTAGTGGAGGCGGTCAGAGGGGGGAGGAAGATCCCCAAGGAGGTCGAGCAGCAGATCATGACGTCCGGAATCACAGTCGTCTTCTTCCTCGGCCTGTTCCTGATCGTCCGGGACACTCTTAACCTCGATTTCGTCAAACAACTCTTGTGACTCAGAGGATTCCTCCCGTAACCGGACTCTGGAACGGAAATCGCAGGCCGGTATGTTGACATAATCTCTCCTCTCCTAGAGAGATCACTTCTTCCTGCATTAATCTCTGTAAAATTCTTTCCGATTCCGAGATCATTAGGCAGCAATCTTGAAACACATCCGATCTCACTACGTCAAAAATCTCTCAGAGACCGTCGAAATTCCTGTCAGAAACACTCGCCGATGTCGCCTATCAGATTTTCCACCTGCAGAGATGAACTCTCAAAAAACCACTACGAGACTGACGAAAACTGGAAAATCTGAGAGACAACATCTTGCATAAAAAGCTCCTCCACAAGAACAGCTGCGGAAATTCCCCCGCTGCAGTACTAGGTGATGAATGAGGTGGATATTTTTCTCTCTTGAGAAAATAATGCATTTTATCTTTTCATCAACAGCCTCAATCAGTATATATATAACCTCACAAATGTATAATTTGAGATAGGCCCCGATACTTTTATCCCAATTCCTCTTAACCTCAATTAATTACATTTTTGTAGTATAATCCCTGATGTTCCGTCCGGCCCCCAGTTCCGCGTATCAAATGAAGTATAGCTAATTAAAAAAAAAGAAAATATATTAAAAATGATCTTCAATTTTTATATTTTGTTTATGGACGTGTACGGGGATATTAGTGGGCCTACTAACTGGCTGTCCAGTTCAAGACCGGCCCGTAATGTCACCGGCTGGGGTTGACCCTGCATGGGCTGGGCCCGGGAATAAAAGCCCGAAACTAAGCGAGATATGATATCAGAATTTGGCCTCTAAAAGCCCGGAAATAAGCCCGAAGCTTGGTCTTGCCACGTAGCAGCAGCACTCTGTCTGTCTGTCTGTCTCTCTCTCTGAGAATTCAGTTTGTCCCGGGCCGAATCTGCCCGTTGAAAAAAAGGCCGGGCCCATTATGGGCTCTTGAATGGCCCAAACCCTGAGCCATTAATAGCTCTAACTGAATAAAATGTCATTAGAGACGTTGTTCGGGGCTGGGCCTGGTGAAAATCCGGGCCCATTAGTAGGGTCTTTTGGAAAAAAATCGTAACGGACCACCCCGGTGTAGGCCCGGCCTGGAGAGAACATTTGTGAGTCCTGGGTCTATGGCCCGACAGGCCAGACCCGGGACTGCTGGTGGCCCGGTAAGTGACGTGGGCCTGATTTAAAGCCCAAACCCATAAAGTCCGGGCCGAGCCCGGAGATACCATAAATTTTCATTTAGTTTAGTAACTCTTCTCTCCATCTCTCCCCGTCTCTCTCTCTCTCTCCCTCTCCCTCTCTCTGTCTCTCTCCTCTCTTTCTCCATCTCTCCCTCTGTCTCTCTCTCTCTCTTTCTCTCTCCTTCTCCCCAATCTTCATCCTCAGTCCTTTTCCCCTCCTCACTCCGTCCATCTCTCTCTCTCTATCCTTCTGTCTCTCTGTTTCTGTCTCTTTCTCTCTCCTTCTCCGCCCTCTTCTTTATCCTTAGTCCTCCTTTTCCCCTCGTTCTCATGCCGTCCTGCTCCTCTCATCCTTACATCATTCCCTCTATCGTCACGTCTGTCCTCCCCCTCATGTGGCCCCTTCCTCACAACCTCTCTCCCTCTCACGACCAAACTCTCTCCATCTGCCTCTTCTCTCTGTAACCTGCGCAGAAAGTCGGGCGTTCTACCACCGTAAAGGCCGGTTTTCTGGTGTTTCAGAGAGAGGCGGGCCTCTCCGACGTTGTCTCTCTCAGTTCCGCCGTCTTCCTCTGGTACGTTTATGCAACAACCGATTGGACAGAAGACTGTTCTTATCCAACAGGAAGAAAATGAAAGTCCGCATGTTTTGGCCTACAACAACTTTGTTCACATGAAAATTCACCAGTCGTTCCCATTAGGATCGTTTGGTAACCAGTATGAAGTCTGTTCTCCAGATGAGGATTCTCGCTTATAATTGAGCGCTCAATTGATTGTGTCTTCTGTATCTGTCCTGGCCTGGATCTTTAAATGCTTCTTTGCTTTCTTTTGTGAGGAAGGCTCTGAGATTCTCCTATAATGTTATGCTCATATTTACTTCAAACTAATGCAGATCGAAGAAGCTTCAAGCATGGTGGTCATCGAAGTTGAAATAGATCGTTGTGACAGTGTTCCAGCGAAGATCAAGAGGATAAACAAGGATAGCAAGGCCATGGAAGTGAAGTTAGGAGAAGCAGATTGTGAAATCGATGGTGCAGAGAAAACTGTGAAGAAGAGGAGAGTATCCAAGTGTTCGTATATAAAGCGAATACTGCATGAGCACAGGAGCAGGCTGGTGGTTTTGATAGATAAGTTGGCCAGGAAACATGAATGGAGTGATGCAAGCGGGGCTTTGAGTGTCCTGCTGAAAGGAACGCCTCGTGGGTGCTCTCTCATGGAGGATCGCAAACATTTTCTGGTATGAATTGAAAGTCCAGGCTGCTGCCTCTTCTTTTCCAGCGCTGGTATTGTCAATACATATACATTTTCTTATTGGCTGTCTGTTGTCTTTGGATGAGACATTCCTGTCTGTAAATGAGAAAATTTGGTCCGCCAACTTAAATTAGTAAATTTCTACGAATCACACTAGTCAGGATCACACTAAGAGAGCTAGCAGATGGAGAGTGTGAAGAAGAAGAGTAAAAAAGTTAGTGCACTAAATTCAGAACTTGCTTGTCCTGGAAGGTCTTATGGCATAGGGCTTTTCATTAAAAATCGTTACTGTAAATATCGTGGTAGATCCTTGGAAGATAAGGGCCATTTTGTTTCTTTTTTTATTCATTTTGCAGACTGTTTTGCTTGTCTGCTAGAGACAAAAGATCAGTATAAGTCTTTTGAGTTTTTATTTAGACCAACTGTTATCTCTTTGTCAAATGATGAGAATTTGAAAACCATGTAGAACCATGTTCATGCCCAACATAAATCTGTGTTCTCTTTTTAGCTTGGATTTCCGTTGCCATGCTCCTGCGAGTGACGTTGTACATTTTTTGCTCTTGTAGATCTAAGAGATCATTTGTAAAAGATGAGAAAAATGATGCTTTGATTAACATTTTCCTATATTCTCTTTGTTTATTACACCTAGCTTGCAATGGAACTAGTACGCCGTTTTCCAAATTCTCAAGACTACACCAGAAGAATTAAGCAAATATTCGAAGTATGGATGAGCAAGCTTCCATGGGCAAGAAAATGCTGTATGAAGGTAGTTCCTGGCATCCCATGCCATCATACACGTGAAAGTCTTAAGTTAGTCTATTCTTTTCGCACAGAAGATTGCTTTGAGACCAGCTGCATGGTGTCAGTTTATATCATGTATAAGATATCTTCTTTTGGCACGGAAGATCGTTTTAATATCATTTATATAAATATGTGCTCTTCAACAAGTATTTACATTTTTTACTGCATAAAATTACTTTAAATATACTTATAAATGGCTTCACCTTGGGATATGCCATTGGAAGACCACCATGGTTGTCTTAAAAAACATGTTCCTGGAATGAATCATAAATATTCTAAGATCTAGCAGCAGCTTGGTAACCTTTATCAACTCCTGGCGAATGTACTGTAGGTTCCTTTTATTCACAGAGTTTATGATTGTTTCGGTCTATAATTGGTATTTGTTCCTATCACCCTTTTTCTTAAGGATTTCAATTTTTTTGTAGAAACACTTGATCCAGATGGAGTTAGCTCTCTTCTGCCTTATGCAAGGGAATATCAGAGAAGCACATCATACCATGAAGTTGTAAGTTCTTTATGTGAACTTTAGGCATCTATTCGTTTATTTGTGATGCTGGCATTACCTGCTGATTATCTGGTTTGCTTGCACGGTTGATTATCTGGTTTTTATTCTCCCTCCTAAGCAAGTTCGATTGTGGAAGCATTTTCATTCTAAAAATTCCTTGAACGTTGGCCTTTCCAAATCGTCTACTTTTTACTGTGATGTATGCCAAGGAAAAATTTAATTAAATACTAAAATAATCAGTTGGCATCTGTTTGTTCTCAGTCTTGCACAAGATCGTGAATCTAGGAGTGATCCTCATGTTCACTTAATCCATGGTTTGACATCGTATCAGCTCTGGTACTCCGAACTTCCCCAGGAGATGCAATTGAAGGATTTCGATGTGTTCACGCAACCTGAGGTCCCTGGCATGGCCTCGTGTGGTGGTTTCCCGCAACAAATTGGGTTAGTGGGAATGCCAAGTGATCATAACTCAGCTGATATTCAATATGCTGAAATTTTTGCTCAGAGCAATTCAGAAAGCTCTATTGGCAATGAAAAAATACAAGCAGACTGCGATTTGCAAACACGAAGCAAACGGTCTCATCAGGATGATTCTTCGCATGAATTCTACATGACTGGATCTGCAATAACAGATGAAACCAGAGTTGTTTTACCAAGCATGGATAGCAACCAAGCGAATGTATCCATTTTTCATGCACAAGGTTGGTTGATCTTGTTTCTGTATTCTTATCCAGTATTCTTTTCTGTTTATGGCAACATGTGCAATCACATGCAAGGTGCCTGACATTCAAAATGCTACGCCTGTCTTCCCAGTAGAAGAAGAGCTTTTGATAGTTCTTTAGTTCTTTTTTTCTTAAAGAATATTGTTTTGGATCAGCTCTTTCATGAATATACTGTACCCTTTTTTTGTCAGTGTAGAATTGTTTTCTTTTCTGGTTAGTTAGTGAGCAGTTACCTCTTATTGTGCAGACACACATCTTTCTGAATGTTCAATATAGCAGATGCAATCGTATTGTGCTAATAAATGATGTGGTGGTAATAGGATCGTTTGGTACTGAATATTGGTCCCCTGAGAATTTTGAGCGTCTGGAGTGCGTTTTGCCTATTGTTAAGCGGAAAAAAAGGAAATATAAATGGGGTAGATTTAGAAATTCATGCTCAGCGGTGTACTTGCATTCTCATCCATAGTTTTGAAGCAGTTCCCCCTGCCTCCTTGGTAACACATGCTTAGACTTATTTCAGTATGCATTATGCCGAGACGTCATTGGTTATGCCCTTTAATATTTTGGAAATATTACTCTATCAGAGCGTGATGTAATGTATGCGTTTATGTGGAGCATTTTAGGTCCACTGGTGTTGTCTCTAACTAGGATTTATTAGTGTCCCTTATATTTGCACGTGCATTACTAATACCATTTTATTGTTGGCTGAAGCTTCGATTTTCTCATTATCTTCTTTGCTGTACTGTCTATTTTTTTCCATGTTATATGGTTAAGCTCTAAAATCTACTTTGATTGTACATTGTTTCATTGAGCTTTTTTTTCACATATGGATGTATTCTTATGGTATGTTTTTTTTTCATGTTTGTGCCATTTCTTGAAGTATATTTTTATGTATCCAGGGTTGGATGCATGTTTATTACCTATTCGGTTGGAGGAATCAACGGAGGATCTTGAGTTTATGATCCTCTCGCATAAGAAACTGCTGAATGAACATTATATAGATGCAGTGAAACACCTGAGAGCGGCTCTTCATTCTAATCCACCGATGTTATCAGCCTTGCATCCTTTGATACAGGTAGTTTGGCTGTATACTATCAACAATGGTCTTCTTGTTGAATAATTCTTGGTACATGCGCTCTTTAATTGCCAGAAGTTCATTAAAATGGTTTTTATTGAATATACCTATTTACTGTTTACTGTACCCTTCTTCATGCAGACAGAATCGTATCAATATGTTACCGTTATACTCTAATATTTTTTTGCATAACCTGCAAGAACTATTTTAAATGACCTTGCTGAAAATCCATTCGTGTGAATTTGATGCTTTTATTGGTCGTGTGGACAGTTTGTTTTTCCTATTTGTGTGCAAGATCAAAATTCCTTCATTCCACTATAGAAGATAATTAGTACACCAGATGCGTGGGGGAAAGGTTGGGAATATGTTACTCGTTTTTTTGAAGTATTGATGCTCATGGTCTCAGATCCTTAGGATGTAAGATGAGGATTAAATTGCGTAAAATTGATCACTACCTGGCCTCTTTCAGCATGTAAGTTGACACTGAAGTAAGAATTATTCATGAACCCCTACCATTTGAATAGCAGAAATAAGAGTTTGGCCTTGTACCTCCAGATTGGTTACCATGATAAGGAATAGGATCTTCCATTATTCGAAATTGGGATTGAATTTTCTGGCCAACTCATTTATATGATTTCGGAATTCCCTTTTTCCTTGGGGCTGCACACAATCTATCTGTGGGACGTTGTCCCTTCTTGGAAGGGCTAATATAGGTAAAAGTTTAACATTTCTGATGCGCAGGCCTAATGTCTTATGATGTGTCCTATTTTTATAGAAAAATCATGAAATGTTTTTTCATGGTTTGGATTTAATTCTTTTTATTCACTTTTTTGTTCCGTGTAACAGCTTTTATTGATTGGCGATCAAGTGGAAGAAGCACTTAAGGAGCTTAATGACTTCTTCCATACATCTAAGTCAATGTTGCCTTTAAGGTTTTGGAAACCACCTGTTGCCTTTTCTTTTGTTCTTATCGTTTCCCTTGGTGATATATTAAATATCTGAGACCTTGAAGAATTATCGTAACCGAGCCTGATATTTATGCATAATGTTTTTACCTATCTCGTGAGACACGATCTGATATGCATAATCCGTGAGTCTTGAGGCTGGTGATCTGATTTCTTGAGTCAAACATGACTTCTAATCACATGATTGTAATATTTTCTGATGCAAATTTCACGACCCACATTACATGTCATCATCTGATACCAGTCTGATGCCTGAAATGAGACTTGTTGCCAGTCCTGGGAACATCTGTTATTTGTACTTTATGTTCAGCAAGGGATTTGACCTGCTAATAATTGATCATCATAGCATAACTCTGACGTTCATCTTTTCCAAATAAGCATACCGTGGAAAGCTTGATATCATTTCTGTGACCTTTTTCCTTGCTATGGTCCATAGGTTGACTGTATGCTATGTATTCAGTTTGCGTCATCCTAACCTGTATAGAACACAGCTTAAAACTTGATATATCGATTCCCTGTGATAAATTTCCTCTTAATATAAATCCAAAATAATACTGACTACGACTTTTAAGTTAAAGTTTCTATTCTACCTCACTCTGAAATCTTAAGAAAGAGGTGAGGAGTTTTAAAGATCAGTGAGTAAGGGCATATGTACTTTGTCTTGAGGTCTGACTAGAGTATGCAAATTTCAAACATAGGGCTATATATCATCGTATAAAGTTTTGGTTAATTTTTTTCATTTTTTTTCTGGAATATGATGTAAATGACATTTTTTGCTTTCCGAGTGCAGGATAATTATTAATTGATGTTCTCTTTCCTACAGATACAAAGCTAGGCTTTTGGAGTGCCTAGGTAATGGTCAATACATGGAATTTGCAAAATGTTATGAACAAATTGTGGAGATTGAACCTAGTCATGTCCCATCACTGCAGAGGCTGATCAGTTTGCATATGAATGGTATAATTTACATCTGAAAATCCAGATTTTCATCTTTTAATTCTTCGTTCGGCTGCTACTGTCATCATTAAATTCATGTTCTCCTAGCTCCTGCTTCTTTTCTCACCTAGGTTTGTTTTTGGTCAAACCTAATCCTGTGGCACGAGCTGAGAATTTTGGCAAGCCAATCTCATCCTAGTCCAATTCTAATGGCCAAAATAGGCTCAAATAGGCTGGAAGTGCCCATAAAAGTGGGGCCAGAGTTGCATGATACAAGGTTTATCAGTTTTCATTCTTTCTGATAACCTGTTTAAGTCATCTTTTTGGGATTCTGTGTAAAAGTTATGACTGAAATATTAGACTTGGATGAGTATAGCCGAAAACTTCCTCACTGATCAATGTAGATCATCCCCTGTCCCATCCTCCTGAAAGTTGACAGACTACATTTTTCAAAGTACACTGATAAAGTTGCCATGTCGCACCTATCAGCTATATAGGTTAAAAAAATTCTATTATTCAAAATGCACTCTGATAAAGCTGAGAAATGTAGAAAACTTCTAATATTGATTTTCAACTATTTTCGCATTGAGGAAATTAAATATAAATTAGAAGGATGAAAAACAGATGAATGGGTACATGAACACTGGGACTTAAAAATATTTGAACTGGCAGCCTTTTTATAATTATTTTCAAAGGTTATAAACCTGAAACTAAATTACTAGTAGTCGTTGATGTATGGTTGTTTCTTTTAGGGTATTGCAATATAGCACTGCTTGGCTGCTGAATTAGTATTTTTATGGTCTGATTAAATGGTTTGATAAGAGGTGACTTTACATGTGATTTCTACCTAGGAATGTTGTAGCTCAAATTATTATTCGCTCTGGAACGTTTTAAATGAATGCCGTTTGTTTTATGTGATGATTTTTTTTTTTTGAATTTTAAGAAACGTGATAAACTTTTAGTACTTTGCCTTACTCTCCTCCTGCCAACTGCTGATTAAGAATGCACTTATACTGAGTGGGAAAACAAGAGAAAAGATGAGGACAAATCAAGCGTTGGTTCATGTTTTTGTTCAAATGTAGATTGATGGAAAAGTAATTTGATACTGTGAGTTTCTCATTCTTGACTGATCGCTAATACTCATCTCCAGACTGGGTATTACGGGATAATAAAAGAATCCCATCATATAATATACTTATACAAAAAAAATACTTATAAGCACTAATGCATTGATTCTCCCTGAACAGAGTATGTGTGGTAGATAAACTGAGTGACTGCTGTAGAATTCCTATCCTAGATGCAGAATTTGGTGAAGATTCTTTGGCATGTTCTGAATGGGTATATACTCATCTCCAGGCTGTGTATTACGGAATAATAAAAGAATCCCATCATATAATACTGTATAAATAAATACTTGCAAACACTGATGTATAGATTCCTCCTGAACAGAGTATGGGTAGTAGGTAAGTTGGTTGACTACTGCGGAATTCCTATCCTGGGTGCAAATTTGGTGAAGATTGTTTGGCATGTTCTGATTGGGTATATACTCATCTCCAGACTGGATATTAATATTTACATAAATACCTACAAACACTGATGTATTGATTCCCTCTGAAGAGAGTATGGGTGGTAGGTAAATTGGGTGACTACTGTAGAATTCCTAGCATGGATGCCGAATTTGGAGAAGATTGTTTGGCATGTTCTGAATGGCATTCTGATTCTGAATTTTGTTGTCATTTTAGGAAATTATGGTACAGTACGCCTTATGGAATATTTAGCGATGCATTTGGATCACACAGATGGGATATCAAGCATGTGGGAGGAACTCGCTTCATGCTTTCTTAAAATTCAGTCTCTCCAGCTGTCTGAGTACGAGGAGGATGAAGAGTCAACGATGAGACCGATCCATTTCAGTAGTATGGCTTGCAGATCCACTACTCCAAGAAAAATTCCAAGGGTTTTCCTAAGAGGAGAAGCAAGGAACATGTGGACATATCGCTGTAAATGGTGGTCCAAACGTCATTTTAGCAAGGCCATCTATATGTCAGAGATTCAGACTGGTACAACTTCCTTTTTAGTCTCTCATTTTCATGGTCATCCATATCAGTATGGTCATTCTATCATTGTCCTTTGGTGCATCAGAACACTTGCCCAGTATCCGATAATATATTTTCTCTTGAATTCTTCCTCTGAAACTGATGGAAAGCTTGTTCTTCACGAGTTCTTGAGAAGAAAACACTCGCCAGGAAGATCTGCACCAACAGGACTTTATGATCTCTGTGGTTTCCAACTTGGTTGACCCTGAAAGCCTTTTGGGCTTTATGCTTATCTATAAAGATGATGTGTTAATAATTTATCTCTGGGCTATTTTTTTTTACTAGCTCACCTCCTGCCTTTTTATTTGATCTTGAACTTCCAGTTGGAACAGAAAACACTATATTTTTTTTTTATTTTAACCTTTATTCCACTTAAAGCAAACTCTTGAATAACATTTATAGCTTCCAATCATTCCATTTCGGTGCTTCAGAAACACTAGGCTTCTGAAACTGATGGAGATCATATTCATAGCCAGTTCCTTGCTTTCCTCTTCTAAAATTATTTAATATTTTTTTTTTTTAAAACGAAAACGACATTTAGATTGATCAAGTATGGAATGACTGTGTGGGTTCCTGCAGGGGATTTTCAGCGCCTAGCATACAAGGCCGCATGCGCCTGCCACCTGTACGGTCCAGATTTTCAGTACGTCAGAGAGTTACTGTGCAAAGGAGGCAGAGACCAGATATCTTTCCTGCGTAGGCACATGGACAGTTCCTTGAAGCTGTGCGAAGCTTTGACTGCAGGAAACCCCTTGTGACAACCGATTCTCTCTCTCTCTCTCTCGCTATATATATATCTCCTCGTCAGAGCAGATTGGAATAATCTTGGTTCGTCTGAGTGGGGATTTCTATTCTCAGCCGAAGAGAAGTTCTTCCAAGCAGAGGAGCATCTCGTTGGCTGCCTGATGGTGAGAAGTGAGGAGATCTCGATTTTTGGGGCAGGAGAAATTCTTCAAGCCAGAGAATGAACCGTGTTTTTATCGGCTAAATTCCAAATAAATCCTTTTTTTTTCTCCCCACCAACAGCAAGGTGGCAGCATGCTTTTCTTGGTAATCTCGATCTGTCAGTGTGATGTCGTTCATGCTGGAGCTGTTTGTGCTGGCTGATGACAAGAAGAGATGGGGGAGATTTCTATCTTGGGCCGTAAGGAAATTCTTCCAAGGTATTTTTTCTTATCTCTCAAGAATTATAGCTGATGAATCTGATGATCTCAGTCAAACTTGAGGGATTTACACGGAGATGATCAGGCACCAGGTCAACTTTCCAGGTCAACGTTCCTAAATTGGCTGCGCTATTATGCTAGGTGTTTCTTCAGCCTAGGCTTTGAATCCACTGGCCTCCCACCTGGGGAACCGGATGTTGCATGTGAGATGATGCGTCAACAAGATCAAGCTTGAGGGATCGAGATGGAAGCAGCTTGAGCTGGCAAATTCTGTAAGCATCAAACCCTAAACCTTAAACCCTACATAGGAATTTAGATGGAAGTGACTTCATCTCTGAAAATTTATGAATGTCAGACCACCTAAAGTCAAACATGAGGGATTTAGATGGAATCAACTTGATCTTAGAAAATCAGTGACTGACAAACCATAAACCCTAAAGTCAAGCATGAGGAACCTAGATGGAAGCAGCTTGATCTTGGAAAATCGGTGACTGTCAAACCATAAATCCTAAACCCTAAAATCAAAATTGAGGGACCCAGATAGAAGCAACTTGATCTTGAAAAATTGGTGACTGGCAAACCATAAACCCTAAACCCTAAAGTTAAACTTGAGGGACTTAGAAGGAATCAGCTTGATCTTAGAAAATCAGTGACTAGCAAACCATAAACCCTAAATCCTAAAGTCAAACATGAGGGACCCAGATGGATGCAGCTTGATTGCGGAAGATTGGTGACCAAGAAACTATTAAATCTTAAACCATAAAGTCAAACTTGGGGAGCCTAGGTGGAAGCAGCTTGATCTTGGAAAAATTTGATTGCCAAACCCAAACATCTAGAGTCAAACTCTAGAAAATATGTGGCTGCCAGACCTTAAACCCTAAACCCTAAAGTCAAACTTGAAGCGCTTACAAGACGGAAGCAGCTTGATCTTGGAAAATCGCTGACTAGTAAATCATAAACCCTAAATCTTGAAGTTAAACTAGAGGAGCCTGCAAAATGGAAGCAGCTTGATCTTGGAAAACATGACTCCCAAACCCAAAACCCTAGAGTCAAACTCAAAAACCCAAATGCAACTTGGTTGATTGGGGAAAATCTGTTGCATTTATTGGTAATGGCTACCTCCATTGACCATATTTCTCGCATCACGATGTGTCAGATTTTCTCTCTTAATCTATTGTTGAAAGACGTCATCTAGTGATTATAATCCTGTTCTTATGCAGGTTTCGGAGTTGATGACTCATTTGACTTGATGATTGATGGCCCGGATGTTTGATTGAGTAACCATGGTTGACTTTAGATGGTCAACCTTCGGTAGCTGCTGAGCTGCCAGCTGATCAAGCCTGATGATGATCAGAGACAAAGTGGATCGATGAGCAGTTGCATCAGACAGGCCTAACTTCGGTAAAATATCTCTTTTCTTAGAACATGGCCGATCTAAACTATCTTTGGACTCGCATCTGATTTCGAAGCTGAAGAACACAATCTCTCTCTCTCTCTCTCTCTCTCTCTCTCTCTCTCTCTCTACAATTGTGATTGGAGAGACCACTGGACCCATGAAGTTTACTATACTGATCTTTCCCATGGTTAAATTTGAAGTTTTTCCAGGAGAAGAAAATCTTCATGGAACTTTTTTAGTGGGCAATGTTTGACACTGTCTACCTGCCTAGGGTTCTTACCCTTCTTGGCTAAGGTTCTTATCCTCTCTCTCTCTCTCTCCCCGACAGGTGCTGGGCCCACATTGGTTAACGTAAATTCTGTAAAGTTTCACTTATTCATAAGATGATTGATCCAAATTATCTTTACATCCACAATTTGGCTCACAAATTGATTTAGATGACCCCCCCCCCTCTCTCTCTCTCTCTCTCTCTCTCTCTCTCTCTCTCTATCTTCTTTGCATAGAGTTGTGAGTGGCGGCTGATCGCACTAGTCCCATGTTCCATTCTTCTTCCATAGCTCAATTTAGAATCTGTACAAGGGAACAAAGTTTTCATGAAGCCTCATTATGAGAACAAATTCTTTCATCTCTCTAGCGAGAGAGAGAGAGAGAGAGAGAGAGAGAGAGAGAAAGAGAGAAAGAGAGATTCTCTTCATGTGAGTGATATAGAAACGGCGGTAGGAGGAATGGGTTTCGGGCCTTAAAAAATCATTCATACGGCCCGAAGCCCATTGCTCCCCACCGTGGGTCTCTCTTTCTCTCTCTCTCTCTCATGTGACAACATGCATGTCTCTCTGTCGCTCTAACCGACTAAATTAAAGCGGCGGTGGCATTGGTGGTGTCTTTCTCTCTCTTATCTATGGGTGTCTGTAGTGAAGCCCGTGATGTTGTGACCCAGATCGGATGGACGATAAATGATTCTCCAATCAGATCGCACGGTCCAAAATCTCTTAAACCCTGCCCAGCAGGGGTCAGGGTCTAGACCAGAAAAGCGGGCCCGAGGGTTCTAAGTTTTGAAGGGGGCTGGGCACGAGTTTAATCAACTCCGGGCTCATTAGCTCAAAAAGCCCGCAAATCGTATGTGCTCTATTCGGGCCTTTTTGGGCCCGAAACCTTGCGAAACTTTGGTGGTAACGGCCCGGGGCCGCCGACCCTACCGTTTGGAGAGGGAGAAATAAGTGTGAGTATATGCATAATTATTAGATTTTTATATCTAAAATATAATTTTAAAAGTTTTTTGGGTATATTCAGAGAGTATGCAAGATGAAAATATAAAGACTAGAACGGTAGGGATGGAAAAGAGTGAGAGAGACGATCCCAGAGAGGAAAAAAGCAGAGTTAGAGAGAGAGAGAGAGAGCGTCACAGGATGCTGGAGAGAGGAACAGTGTAGGATGCTAAGGTAGTCGGGGAGCGAGAAGAGAGAGAAAGAGAGAGAGAGAGAGAGAGAGAGAGAGAGAGAGAGAGAGAGAGAGAGAGAGAGAGAGGGAGCATAAAGGTGGAGGAGGGTGTGTGAGATAGCGTAGGGAGAGCAAGGGTGAGAGAAAGATGGTCGGGGAACAGCCGGGTGGAGGGAAGAAGAGGGGGCGGCCGAGGAAGATGCGGAACGAGCATTCTCCCAGCGCCACCTCCACCGGGGCAGCCGCCGCCGCCAGGAACCAGGCGACTCCTTCTCCGCTGCCGTTAGTGCGGCGGAGCCGCCGCCGGAGGCGGCCCCGCCGGGCGCGGGATTTCGCCGACTACGGCGACGAGGACGACGACTTCTACTGGTGGGAGTTGTCTACGGACGAGGAGGCGGGGAAGAAAAGGGGGGAGGAGGACGGTGCGGGGAGTGATGACCTCGAGCCCAGGAAATTCAGGCTCCTCCGGAAGCTTCCGCCGCAGACCACTGGTAGGGTGAGACGCGGTGGAGGCTCGCAGTCCGACGGATCTGGCAGCAGCAGTAAGGAGGAAGAAGACGAGGTTGGTATCAATCTCTGTTCTATTTTCTTATGGATAATTCTGCTTACACATTTGACATTTATAAAAAAAAAAGTAAACTCTGGCTCTGGGTATAGAGTTCTTGAGGAAATAGAGACATTTCTTGCATGAGAATCCGACTCTTTTATTATTATATCAGAGTTTAGCTCTGCCCTGATAGAGTTTGAGCTTAGGAGATTCAGGCAGAATTGGAAAGGAGCTAGAACAGTCCTATATTGCTTGGGAGGACATCACTATTCAAAATATTTGAGCTAACTCCACTCTTGGTGGATAGTTTTTTGAATTATATGGCTTAATAACTTTCACAATCAACCTTCTAAACTTCAAGATATCTCTGAAAGTGGAAGGTAAATTTTTCATGGGTGCCGATTGAACCCCTCGCAGCAAACCTTTTACACTTCAATCACTGGGTAACCTGGGGATGCTGCAGATCAGAGTTTGCTTGATTACTATAGCAGCTGGGAGTCTTAGGGTTTTCACTTTTGATTTTATTTTTTACCAGGTTGGAGGGAGAGATTCTACGCAGAAGTGCGATCAGTCTGCTACAGGTCTTCGGCTCTCCATCTTTCACCATTTCGTATTTTTTCTAGTCTGAATCTCCATGCTGATGATGCATCTTCTTCCTCCTGCACTCTGAATCGCAAGCCCAGTCTCCACTCCACTGCCTGAGAAGAAGACGTTGGAGGATGTCCTCGACAAGTTGCAGAAGTGAGCATAGTTGGCCTATCTCCTCTGAGACTAGTCTCTGTGATTCTGTGGGCATTGGTAGTTGATGTTCCATTGACAGTATGGTTTAATTTGCCGCAGGAAGGACATCTATGGGGTGTACGCGGAGCCAGTGGACCCAGAAGAGGTTTGATTCTTTTGGCTTCTTGTCTCTCTGTGAGGATCTAACTGATGAATGCCATGGCCTGTCTCACAGCTTCCTGACTATCATGACATCATAAAACATCCAATGGACTTTGGGACCATAAGGAAGAAGCTGGCTGATGGCGCTTACAGTGATCTTGAAAAGTTTGAGGTCAGATCTCATCTTCGATTATGGCATCCCTTCCTTTTGTGTTTCTAGATCTCTGTGTCAAAATTTTCAGTTTTTTTGGGGTGGGTTTTTACTTCTAAATTATCCTGGATGAGGAAATCTTGGCTTAAGTTGAAGATTATTCGTAAATTTATGTTTCTTTAGTTTTTTTATTTTGCGATAATGGGCACAATAGGTCCAAGAGGTTGCCCTCATGTGGCCTTTTGTTCTCATCTCGTCTGTCCTGTTGTCAGGGGAGAGAGTCATCTCAATGAACCCATTTTACTTTCTGGTTAAAAACATTTCCATTTATCTTTCTTTGAGTTATCTTTAGTCAGCTGCTTTTGAAAAATCTCTATCAGAGTTGAATGTGAGATGCTGGGCAGTTGAATATGTTTAATCACTCGTTAGATCTAATTTTTAATCTCATCCTTTTCTAAGTCCCAGTATTAAAGAATTAAATGTGTTTTAGGCTTCACATGCTCCAGAAGATCAAAAGAACAGTCCTTGATATCTTGTCACGTGAGTTTTCCTCCTGGATGCGTGCTTGAGATGATTATGAATCTTTGTCACCACTGTCGATCTAACTGTGTGACAGCTGATATCAATAAGCTATGGGCATTTTAATAAAAAAATCGGTTTCAACTAAAGTTTCCCTTGCTTTCCCAGTTTAGCATGAGCTCAAAACTTGAAACCATTTATGTTTCTCGAACCCAAATCTTATCTTGGATCTCAGAGCCACCTTTTAATTTTTGTTCATATCAATCAAAAAAATGTAGCAAGGGAGCCCGAAAACAAGGATCTCTCCTAGAAGCTCATAAATGTTTGTTTATTCTTGATTGAAAAAATATCATGAATCTCAGTAAACAAAGGCCTACATAGCAGTTCCAATGCTAGGCATTGATTTTGGTTTCCTATAAGTGGGTGGTACCACATATTCCATTCTTTAAACTCTTAGCGTTACTTGTCCTTGTTGCATAGGGAGTACAGAAAAGTCACCCTCGTAGTAGATCATAAATGGTTGTTTATTTTTCATTAAAAAATCATAAAATTCTGAATCCTCTTGAAGATCTTGACCCTCTTCACCTCTAAAAATAGTAATACCATATGTTCCTTTCCTTAAACTCTCGACATTGCTTGTGCTTGTTTCAGAGTGATGTGTTCCTTGTCTGCACCAACGCCATGCAATACAACGCCCCGGACACAATATATTTTAGACAGGTGAGTTTTGACTTTTGCCCTATGGTAGTAAGCGCGTTCCATGCCCTTGACACGTCATCTTCTTTAGCAAAGGCACACTCCATACAAGAGCTGGCGAGAAAGAAATTCCAAAGCATAAGACTGGGCAGGGAAGAGGTGATCAAGTCTGAAGGCAAGAATCAGCCGAATTCTACGCGTAAGAACTTGATAGCAGGGTCCCTGGACGACGAGGATGCCCATCATCCTGCTAGGGCTCTTGTTTCAAATGGCGATATCAGCAGTGGTGGTCTCGTTACCCTGGAGACTCGCGTTCGTGAGCAGCCTGCCAGCATTAGTGGAAACATGGATGGCAGCTCGACATGTGAAAGTAAATCCATCAGGGGGGAAGATAACTCAGGTAAGATAGTCAGTAATTCCTTCTATTATGGGAGATGGTGGCGGCCGGTTTTGGTTGTTTGCAAGATATTCTGGTTTTTCTTATCATATTCAGGGGTATCATATGTGGTAAAAATCTGGTGGAGCTTTGAGACCTGACCATGGCATGATCCTTATCTAATGAACTTGCCTGTTTTATGCTACCCATCTGATGATATATTGATTAATGTACCAGGTGTTTGGATATTTCTCAGCCTTCCATTATTTCAAAATTTTCTCCTATACCATGTCACATGTATGAATTATTTTATTTTTTGGAAATTCCGTGCCATAAATAGTTGAGCTTTTTTCCCTAGTTTATCTTTTTTTTCCCTGTCTTATCTTTAATATCATCTCACGTATATGAATTATTTTTTGGATAAGTATGGTCATAATTAGTTGACATTTCTTTCAGTTATTTTATTTTTTCAATTATTTTCTTCCATAATCATCTCATGGGCGTGAATGATTGGCGGCCATCTTACGCTTGCAATCAGATTGGGCTTCTTTTTAACCATTTTGTTTTGAGAAACTTCACACGGGCATCCTGACTGCTGAATTTCTCCCTAAAATCATCTACCATTAAATTCCTTGGTATTATTATCCCTTGCTTTTTAAAACTCGCCTCTCCTCTTCGCATAATTCCCAGTTAGGAATCCCTCCAAGCCTGAGGGGAAACCCGACGCATTTTATGAAGACTGCCGAGCCACCTACAATCCCCCTGTTGAGCCACGTGTGATTGGGTCCCACCTGCCCTTCTCCATCTTTGACAACGAGCAGATGCATCTGATTGCTGTAAGTAGCTTCCATATTTTCCCCAGTTAGCTCAATCTCTGAATACTTTCTTTCTATTTTCCCCAATTTTACTCAATAATTAAAATACCCCTTCTCTTTCCTTTTTTTTCTAAATCAGGTAGGGCTTGAAGGAGGGCAGCATACTTATGCCAGAAGCCTGGCCCGCTTCGCTGGCCCGTTGGGGCCCACCGCCTGGAGAATTGCTTCCCAGAGAATTGAGAGGGTGTTGCCTGAAGGGGTGGGCTTCGGGCCCGGTTGGGTCGGAGAGTATGAGCCACTGCATCAAGGCCCTTCTTTTCTAAATAAAGCAGAGAATCAGAGAGAGAGCTTGATGGTTGACGAGGCGGGGCCCATAAAATCTGAACTGTCCAATGGTAGGTTTCCAATGGGGCCCACGATCATGCAAGTGGTCAACAGCAGGGGAGATGTTCCAGAGGTGGGTTCGGCTGGTTGTGGGCCCCCTGGATGGGGCCCGCGACGATGGCCTGGCTTTGACTTGGGACCCGTCAATCAAAATGCCGGCACCTTTGTTCAGCACAAGTCAACTGCCTTGGCATCTGGAGACAACCAGAGGGCTAAATTTGATGGGAGTCAACCCGAAATATTCAAGTGGGTAGGACCGCTGTCTTCTGCGTCTCAGATTTCCCAATTGAGTGATGCAAGATTCGGTCAAACCCTTGCTGGAAGAAGCAACCCGGGGTCGTATCTGGATCCGGGGCTTTTTGCTGATGGAAACCTCGGTCAAACCATTGCTGGAAGTAGCCCCAGAGTTCTTGCTGACGGAAGGTTTAGTCAAACCCTTGCTGCAAGTGGCAACCCAAGTTCCCATTTGGAAACCGCAGTTCCTGCTGATGGAAGATTCGGTCAAACCCTTGCCGGAAGTAGCAGCAGAGTTCCTGCTGATGGAAGATTCGGTCAAACTCTTGCTGCAAGTGGCAATCCGAGCTCCCACTTGGACACCAGGGCTCTTGCTGACGGTAGATTTGGTCAAACTTTTGCTGGAATTGGCAACCAAAGCTCTCATTTGGACACCAGGGCCCTTTCTGGTGGAAGATTTGGTCAAACACCAGTCTCCCATTTGGACCCCAGAGTTCTTGCTGATGGAAGATTTGGTCAAAACCTTGCTGCAAGAGGAAACCCATCCTCCCATTCAGGATTCATTCCTCCAAGTCAAACCATGGGGAGGCATGGCGGCCATGATCGGGCGGCAGGAAGCCACATCAACTTGATCAGGGGTATCCTGGAGGGGCCCTCCAACCAGCTGACCTTCCCCATGTCAACTGCAGTCGTTGAAAACCCTAATTTACCAGTGAGAAGCAACCCCATTGATGCTGTAACCACCGCCGCACCCACCCGGATGTCTGTCGGGAGATCCTCATCTGGGCAAGTGCTGCCGCCACTGCTGCCGCCAGGGTCTGCTTCAAACTTTCTAAATATGGAAGGAAGAGGAGTCCCCCCTGAATCTCCTGCTCAGGGCCGCAGGTTTCCTGGAGATGGCCAGTGTCAACTTGGAGGAGCAACTGGGGAAGAAGAACGCTGGCCCCAGAATAGGAATTTTGCAGAGTTGACGCCCCAGGTCAACTTGGCTGTATTTCCCCGACAGGCCTGCTGGCAGGGGTTGACCCCACACGGGCAGGAGCCGAAGAATGACGGCGGCACCCCAGATCTCAATGTCGGCGGCTTCCATGCCCCCAGATTGCCAGCTCAGCAGCCCCCGGCCATCCGGGTTGACCCCCCACAGCCCGATTTAGCCCTGCAGCTCTGAGAAATTAAGAATCTTTCATCAGTGAGAGCAGGAAATCGATCATTCTGCGGAATGTGGAGCACAAAGAAGACAGGAAGAACCCTAATTTTACCAGTGAGAGTCAACCCCGTTGACTCTCTCTTGGATAAGAATCAGAGGGGCAGAAGACTTCCCATTTTTGGGTCTCTCAGACAAGCTTCCTATCCGTGGAGGGGGATGGTGATTTTGAAGCCGGGCCTTGATTCTGCACGCATTATTGCGATCTAAAACTTTGGTCAGGGTATAATTAGGGTCGTAATTCATCTGGGGCAGAAGAATTCAGGCCCACATGGTGAAAAAATGCTTCCTTTTTGGGGGGGTGGGATGGATCTTCTTGAGTTCCATCTCTTCAAACCCTAATTTTGGGTTGTAATGCGTTTTAGGAACGTTAATGGGCCAACCAGACCAGCCCATGTAATATATGTTAATCGGCTGGGCTTTTAAAATGGGCTTCAGGAGGTCCAACCCCTCCGCACTAGGTCATGATAGATGACAGCCCATTTTATTGAGGCCATTAGTGCAAACACATGGGGACTGATAGGGGGTATAAGAGGAATATGCAGAACATTAAGGCTTATAATGTTATGCAACCATCTCCGTGGCGGGTAAAGGCTAAAAGTAAAATTATGTTGTATTGGAGGGGGAAATTGTACGTTTTGTCATTTGGTAAGTTGCTAAGAGGAGGCCCACAGTGGCGTATGTGGACGTATGTACAATATTAAATATTATAAATAACAATATGTAACATGTGAGATTATTAAATGTCATCCTATCTGGCGACTTCTAAGGGAGAGTATAAAAGATAAAACAGAAAGTTGGTGGATTAAATTGTAATTTGTATCATTTAGAAGGTGAGTTCAGAAGAGGTCCAGTGGGTGTAAGTACAATATTAAACATGGTGAAATTAAATTATCCTGAAGTAGGAGATATATATATATAAATACAAATATGTATTATGTAGGCTTAATAATGTCATCATCTTTGACGAGTCCTAAGGGAGAGTATTAAAGAGAAAACATGCGAGTTGGGGATTAAATTGTACTTTTTATCAGCTGGTAAGGCGAGTTCATTAGAGTCCCACGGTACCATATAGGGGTATAAATAAATATATTTGTTAAAAATAGGTAACATGTACATAATTAAAATAATGTCATGATATATGGAGGGCGACTCCTAAGGAGTATAAGAGAGAAAAGAAAAGAGTAAGGGGTTAGAATGTTATAGTTTACTGGAGTAGGGGGGGGAGGTTTTCTGACAAAGAGGTCTCAGCGGCCAGCTTCGCCTGGTCCGGAGGCTTCCTTCTCCCTCCGACCGGTCGGTGGCTCTCCTCACCTCTCTCCACCGCATTCCTCTCTTTCTCTCTCTCTCTCTCCTCCCTTCTCCCTCGTCTCCTTCTCCCCAAGCTTCAGCTTCTGCCTCAGCAGCTTCTGTGTTGGCATCTGGCCACTTTAGCTCAGCTCCTCCGTCCATCGTCAACGTTTGGTCCATCTCCTGCGAGTCCGTCCCTGTTGACTTCTAGCCACCGAATTTCTCGAGAGGGATCTTGGGTCTACCCTTGGGGCGGGGGGATTTCTCGGCTGTTCAGCGGGAAATGGGGAAATATGTGGTGTATCAGTGACTGGCGGAGTGTGAAGTTAGCGCCGGAGGTGGGGGGAATTCTTGTTTGGAATTAGGGTAAAAAGGGGAGGATGACGTGGAAAAGCAGGGGGGGAGGGGGGGAGGTGGCGTCCAGGAACACCTTATCGAGGGAATTGACTGTTTTCCTCTGCCTGGGCTGCTTCTTCGTGGGTCTCCTCTTCTCTAATGGGTATGCTTGCCTCGATCTCCTTGACCTGTGGTTCTCTTGGCTGCTTGGGTCGTTCAATTCTTTCATTTTTCTTTAGTTTTTTTTTTTCCTATTCTTCTTCGTTAGATTTCTGCTTCCGGGTTTGTTTCGTTGATTGGTATGATTTTTTCTGGTTGCTGAGAATGAAATAATATATATTTATATATATATATGTCTGCTCCTGAACTAGGGCTACTTTAGCTGTAGATCGGCTTCGAAGAGAACTCTGGCCGCCAAGTTATTATCCTGTTTATGATGACTTTCATGCATCAAGTACTAGCAGACACGTCGTTTTATTTGTCAAGATGGCAGGCTCTTTCGACGAAAATGATCTGCAAGATCACTTTCCCTGCATGGAGACTAAATTTAGATTTCTCTATTTTTCTTTTTGGTTCTTACAATGCCCGCTGTTCTTTGCAGAAAACCATGAACAGATTTATATCCCCCGTAGTTTTGGAGACATAGTGAGAAAATTTTCTTATTTCATTTAGTTTATTCCTTAACGGTATAAAATTAAAAGAGAGGCTCGGAAATATTTTAAATAGTTTTTTCATAGCATACATTCAAACTTGCAGATATTTGGAAGAAGAAGGTGATTGGATCTCCTTTGATTACCATCGTCTTCTGTTGTGCAGTTTGTTTCAAAATAAGTTCACAAAATTTCTGATCTATCTTAAAATTCGATGCGCTAAAAAAAATGATTTATTTATTTAACATTTATCATCATATGTATTAACATATGTGTATGAATTAATAATTGAGCCCATCATAACAGAATCTGGGGGGTTCCTGAACCTGGAGATGTTGGGAAGCCGATAATTGCAGAGGATGGGAAGATGCATCACGCTTTAGTGGGATGCAACCCCAAAGACGTGAGAACATCGCCCTCAGTAAGTTATTCATAATTGAAAATTTAATTCCATTTCGGAATTTAATTCATCTTTGAACATACCAATTCTAGCATATTAATCTAATTTATTTTTCTTATAAATTTTCCTGCCCCTTATCAGAATAATACAGAGCAAGATCACAAGGACACGCCAAAGGAGGTCTCAAACGCGCATTTTACCGTACAGTAAGCCAACCATAATCTTCTTCCTTTGAGAATCCACATGATCTTATGGGTTCTTTAAGTGAGAAAGCCACTGTCAAGCTCACTGTGCATTACAAATGCAGGGCACTGGATAAAACAATTTCAAAGCTGGAAATGGAATTGGCAGCTGCGAGGGCCGCACAAGACTCCATCCTCAATGGCTCCCCAGTGTCAGAAGACCTAAGTTTGGGCGAATCAAGTGGGAGGCGGAAATACTTCATGGTAATAGGGATCAACACCGCCTTTAGCAGTCGCAAGAGGAGGGACTCAGTTCGAGCGACTTGGATGCCGCAAGGTTCTACTTTGTCTGAATCGCTGCCATTGCATACACTTGGATCACGAGATTGCTTTTTGCTCAAAGAAATTGATTGAAACTTTGAGCGCTGAGGATTGGTTGATTGAGATTCTCGATTGAATGAAAACAGGTGAAAACAGGAAGAAGCTGGAGGAAGAAAAGGGCGTCATTGTTCGATTTGTTATTGGCCACAGGTGAGCACATATGATAGCATTTACTGAAGTTTAGGCTTAATGAAAATCCTGCGGAAATAGTCATGTTAACATTTCCATTTAATGAACTCTGTAGGTGTGATAAATCTTAAAAAATATTTGTCCCATTAGCTTTGCGAACAATAGAGAGAAAAAGAAGAAAAGGGCGTCATTGTTCGATTTGCAGGCGATTCTTGAAATTGATTTGTACTCTCTTTGCTATGGAGTTTGCCCGATTTTCTCTAAAAGCTATGTTAAGCTGATGTATCTTTTTCTCTCACTAGAACCAAATAATATGGGTTCATTTTCATTTAATTTTTTCCCGCACACTTGGGCTTCTCCTCCTAGAGCTGATAAGAGCTGCCTCACACCCAATGTCTCTCTCAAATTATAAGGACTCTACTTATATCGGTTGCCAAATAATGTGGCTGGATCTAGGGTTTATGTAACCTCAGCTGGCCAATTCTCCTGTCAAATCCTTATTAAGACGCCATGTCTCTAGGCATTAATAGGTTGCAAATAAGAGAGCTCTACGTGGGTTGGTGTGTGGGGGGTGGGGACACTTGAAAGCTTCATTAGGGTTTCTTATCCTATCCCAAATCCATTTGAGGAGCATAATTTTATACTGCAAATTATCACATGGGTTTGCAATGAGCATTAATTAATCTGTTCAAGCTGGTTATCTACGTGCAATATATGACCATCCTTTCGTACTCTACTTCATTGGTGCCGGATCACAACATCAGATTAACCCAACTTTTTTTTTTTTCAAGTGCTACAGCCGGTGGCATTCTGGACAGGGCCATTGAAGCTGAGGACAGGATGCATGGAGACTTCATGCGGCTGGTGCATCCTTAATGCTCTCCTTGAATCTGTTCCAACTTCTGTCATGGCCATCTCCACATAGATGTCTCTTTGATTAGAAATATTCCCATTTCTCTGACTGTGAGATGAATCTTGGCAGCCCAGCTCCAAGCTGTAATATTTACTTTTCTCGGGTTAGATCCCTGTGTTTGGCTCATTCATCTGTTGTGAATTGGTAGGAGCATGTTGAAGGATACCTTGAACTATCAGCAAAGACGAAGACATACTTTGCAACTGCTGTGTCTATGTGGGATGCTGAATTTTATATCAAGGTTGATGATGATGTCCATGTCAACATTGGTAAGTGCCTACATTATTGACGACATATTTTCTCAGATACAGTCGCTAAGCATAGGACTGCTACTAAACACAATTTTGATTTCATTATCTGCCATTATCATTCTTACAAAAAAAAAAAAAAAGTTTTTGTTAAATTATTGCCCATTTTGAAGTTTAATGAAAATTTGCTTCAAGTTTTGTTATAAAACTTGGGGCTATCTCCTTCCTTTCGAGGCATTGATGTAAACTTTGGAGATATTCATCCGAAAACAATCAAAAACATTCTAAATCTAGTTCTCTTGCCAAGTTTAATTGATGGTCTTCCGATTCAGCTCAGTGTTTCCGCGCTGTATCTGGCATCACTTCTTTATGGGGGTATCTTCTTGCATGAGTGAACTTCATGCTATCATCCTATGTGAACTTGATACAGCATTGACTTATGTCACGGGGAGTAGTCAACGTTGATGCTTTCATGTTCTTGCAGGGACACTGCGAGCTACACTGTCAAGACATCTTTTGAAGCCTCGTGTGTACATCGGCTGTATGAAGTCTGGTCCTGTGCTGGCCCAAAAGTAAGTTTTTCCAAAAATGGCAGCAGTTTCACAGGGTATGATGCTTCCCATAAACGACATATGATCTGACTTGATCCGTCATTGGGCAGGGGTGTGAGGTATCATGAGCCTGAGCACTGGAAATTCGGTGAGTCAGGGAACAAGTATTTCCGACATGCTACAGGTCAACTCTATGCCATCTCCAAGGACCTGGCTACTTATATCTCTGTCAACCAGTAAGTCAACTCCATGAATGATGATCGGGCACCCACCCGCATTTCTTTTTCTCAGGGGTTTTTTTTTTGTTCCCTTGAAATCCCTGCCTGACGATCTCTTACTAAATTAGTTGACTTGTGTTCTTAATCCATCCAGTGTTGTACCTTGAAGACTCATGCAAATAACATCAATCCCTCTCATCCAACTCTCTCTGTCTACCACTTCCTTCCATCCCCCATTCATGTTGAGGCTGAGAAAAGCCTCGTGGCTCTCTACCACTTCTTCCATTTAATATTTTTCTCTAGCATATGATTTTTAAATAGGGTGATTGCTGATCTATACATGGTGGTTATCTGTAGGCATATTCTTCACAGATATGCAAATGAGGATGTGTCCCTAGGATCCTGGTTCATTGGCTTAGATGTCAACCATATTGATGAGCGAAAACTATGCTGTGGTACACCGCCAGGTATGGTTTCATCCTACTTTATTTATTTTATTTGATGTATTTTTATTCGGTGAATTAAACCAGTTCATGCAAGATTTATCGTCGAAATGGGTCTTTGTGGTAGTTTTTTTTCTTTCAAAATCAACTTTTTCCCCTTTCAGGTAGGAGCATCTTTGATTAAATATCATAAACTGCTTTCTCTAGTACATAAAATTTATTTTCCTAAGAAATTATGTACAGATTTGATGATGAAAACCCTTTGACTAACTATCATTTATAGAATGTGGGATGGAGCCTGCTCAGCAAGTTTGTAGGCTCATTGCATTTGTGATTTCTAGGGTGAAGACTCTTTGGCAAGGGTCACGAGATGCATCTCATTGATCAAGCATTGGTTTGATGAAACCCATCAATGATTTCTGGGATCGAACTTATGGGATGAAGCTTTGGATGCAGTTCATTTTATCATTAATAAACTATATTTAGGGTTCTTATGAATGAAGCCCATCTGAATAATTTTTGTAGGATGAGTCTATGAGATGGGGCTAAGTTTGGGATTGCATGGGTCTAGGATGAAACCCATTTGTAACCTATGATGTAGAGCTCATTTTTAGAGAGAGAGAGAGAGAGAGAGAGAGAGAGAGAGAGAGAGAGAGAGAGATGTGATTGATCATTGGGCAGTGGCATGGCAAGACGAACAAAAGGTCACATGGGTTTTCATGCTATCTATCTACTCTTTGCTAAATATGGAAATAATGGTATGATGCAGATTGCGAGTGGAAGGCCCAGGCGGGCAATGTCTGTGCTGCCTCCTTCGACTGGAGCTGCAGCGGCATCTGCAAGTCTGCAGAGCGGATCGGGGAGGTTCACCAGCGCTGCGGTGAGGATGAGAATGTGCTGTGGAGTGCAGATTTCTGATGAACCCAGCTGGGAACCCCTCGGAATATTACACCCGAGGCAGACACCTCTCTTCTACCCACTATTTATGCCCCGCCTCTGCCAAATTTGGCACTCTCTAGATCCATGTATTTGGCTTGGAAGGTGGCGGTGGGCTTCCCCGTTTGTTAAGCAGGAAAAGAGGCCCTGGAGTTTCACATTGGATGAGAGAGAGAGAGAGAGAGAGAGAGAGAGAGAGAGGTGAAGAGCCCATTTGCATGCTATCCTTGTGTCGTGATTGGATATCAGCATTGGTGTAGAGTTTACTGATTTTTTTTTAAATTTTCTTTTTGGTTTTCTTTGTGGGTGCTTGGCATGATGTATTATTATTTTTGTATTCTTTCAGAAAACGCCTCCATAAATTTTTAATTTTTTTTGTCCATTTTTTTGGCTATTTAAGGGCAATCCAGTGTGGCATTAGATGAATGATCGTAAATGATAAGTTCATAACTTTGCTATAAATAGTATGATCAATAGAGCTGTCAATGGATCAAACCCTGGTGCTGCTATGCCTGCACTTCTTCCCCTATTTATTTTGTGGAAAAAATAAATCAGGTCAAACCCTAAGTCACAATCTACTGGAGATTTAAGTAATCCAATTTACGGAAAATGCCCTCGGAGATTCTTTGTCATTGACCTCTACAAGTACTTTATTTTGGGTGACAGAATCCAAATTTTCTTTTTGAAGGAAGAACATTCTCCACGGTGAACCCTAGAAAGCCGCAATCATACAGCTTTATGCGAGAGAGAGAGAGAGAGAACGTTGAACATAAGGCATGAACTAAGACAACAACATGCCTTTCTATAGCTTTCTTCTGCTTCAGATGAGAGCTAATAACGGATATCCAAGAATTTAGAAAGATACTAAGAATAGCTGTGAAAATAAATAATTTCCCAGAAAAAAAGAGACTGCAAACATCTATTGTTGGAAATGAGAGATCTCCTAGAAAGTAGAAAACTGATAAAGATATCTGCCAGAAGGAGAATGCATTGCTAGATTTTGGGTCCTCTGGGTTTCACTGCTTTGGCCTCTCGTTTCTGGTAAAATTCTTGCCAACATGTGTGTGTGTGTGTGTGTGTGTGTGTGTGTGTGTGTGTGAGAGAGAGAGAGAGAGAGAGAGAGAGAGAGAGAGAGAGAGAGAGAGAGAGAGGGTCTAATATAACATAATTACACGGTAAGAAAATAGACTGCAAATTCTGAATTCCCACTTGAAAAAGCTAAGAGCCTTGTCGACTAACTAAATCAAACAGTGATCCTATTCATATCACTAACAACGTATAATAATTTCCGGTTCCTAGAAAGTTTGTAAACACAAGATTGCCCATAAAAGGTTAATGCATTATCGATGTGGATTCAGACATGACTATTGAATTCATGGGAAGAACCAAAATAGCAATAAAAAAAAAAAATTAGTATCGTTTGCATACGACCAGATACATACACAGTCAACCATATTTAGATCAGAAAGTGAAAAGTTCATATCAATTAATAGCATTCGTTGAATACTTCCTGAAAAATCCGCGATGATTCTCCTGGTCGGCTCTTGCTACGATTACAGCTCTCACTTGATCGCAAAATCAATATTTTTGTTAATTCCCAGAGCACCTAATTGTCGGAAGAATCCACAAAGTTTCTTAGATGAAAGACATTATTTCCATCGGGCATGAATCGAATGGTCAAGAACTGTGATGGATCGGACAGGTTATTCCAAAAATAGGAAAGAAAAATATTCAAGGGAAAAAAATGTGGAGAGCTGTACAGAGCGTCAGGAGGGGCGAATTGCCTGCCACCTTCACTCGAGAGTGGAACCGCAGATCGCTCAGAATGTCTCCAAGCAATTGAATCCCAGCTGTTTCTGCCCCCACATCTTGGACCCGCCGTTTCTCTCACATGAAGAAGCTGAGAGGTTGCAGAAAGAGGAGATATCTCTGAGTTTTTTGGGTAAAGAAGGTGACGGCTGTTGTTTATGATTTATTCAGAGCTAAACGAATGTTTTGATGGGTCAATGAAAAGAGCTCATGAAGATTCTTCAACTTTCATTCGATGTCTGATGATGAATGGTGCTTTAAACAGGAATATAAGTAAAATTTCCAAAAGTAAAGGACCATGACTGACGCCCTCTCTCTCTCCTTCTTTCTCTCTCTCTCACTGGTATCCCAAGAAAAACGCCATTGAAAAGCACTGGAATAAGTTCTCTCTCTCTCTCTCTCTCTCTCTCTCTCTCTCACTCACTGGTATCCAAAGAAAAACGCCATTGAAAAGCCAGATAGGCTAGAATAAGCACACCTTCTCTCCAAGCTGCAACAGCAATATGCAGTTGCTCACTTGCGGGCGGAGTGGTAAAGCTCCATGTAGTCCAGTGCCGGCCGGTTCCATGACCAATCCTGCTCCATCACCTGCTGACACAGCCCGTGGAACCAATCCCTGCCATTGTTCCACGCGGCAAAAGCCCTGTTCATCCCAACAAAGAAGGGAAGACATGAGCCAATGCCCCAAATAGGAACACTCCTCTTCAGGGCAAAAACAGAATTTCTTCTTTTTTTTCTTTTTCAAATGAGCTAAATTAAACTGTACATGGAAACATGCAAGTGTATGATCTAGGAATGAGATCTTTGATCATAAACCAATACCACTCGCCTGTTGAGAGCAATACTCTTCTTCTTCTGGGCAAAAGCGGGAATTTCTTCTTCTTTTTTTTAAGTGAGTTGAATTGAACTGGACAGGGAAATATGCAAGTGTATGATCTAGGGATGAGGTATTTGATCGTAAACCAATACCACTCACCTGTTGAGAGCATAATCTACGCCCCCAGAATCAGTCCCATCGAAGCTGAAACCATTGGGCTGCAGGCCTTGAGCCCGAGCTCTTTCTCTGTCGTTATCGACATCAAATACGGTGTCATAGAGTCCTGGAATTAAGAGAAAAATATCTGGTTACCTGACTGAATCTTAAAACACAATATTATATACCTTTTGCACCATTTAGAGTTCTCTCTCTCTCTCTCTCTCTCTCTCTCTCTCTCTCTCTTCCACACACACTGACAGCCTTCTTCTCTCTCAAGAAAAGTTGGGCAGCAATTAGGAAGTCTTCACGCAACAACAGTGAGCATACTTTTTATTGCAGAATATGGTACAATGATGGCAAGATGTGAAGCACATTTGAGGTGAGTTCAAAAGGAGGATTTGCCAAAAGGCAAAACTGTCTCACTCATTCTATAAATGTATATAGATTATCATCTCTCTCTCTCTCTCTCTCTCTCTCTCTCTCTCTCTCTCTCTCTCTCTGTTTATATCTATTTACCTGTCTATCTATCTCACTACCACAAACACACTCTTCTCTCCCAATAAGAGTGGTTCAAAGAGAGGAATGGGCATTCTACTTCTCAGTTCCTAGAATTACGGGTTCAAGCGGTTATTTTAAAATGCAAAAATGTAGCGAAATAGAAAGAAAAAAAAGAAGAAGAAGAACCAACCTCCAGTTTTCCGAACAACAGGAATGGAGCCATATCGCATTGCTATGAGCTGAGTTAGTCCACATGGCTCAAATATTGAAGGGACGAGAATAAAATCTGACCCGGCATATATCTAGCAAACCCAAGGGCAGTAAAGAAATCAGTTCACACCGACCATGAAGAATTTCCTGAAAGGAACACATGAGAGAGAGAATGAGGAAGTTGGGACCAAACACTTACCAGGTGGGAGAGAGGCTCGTCGTAGGTCAAACAAAGGCGAGCACGATCCGCATGTGAGGAATGCAACTGATTGGCCAAATTAGTAAAATCACCCTGTATTCGAGGATCTGGAGCTGAACCCAGCAAGACAACCTGCAATGGAACGTCAAACTTTTCTTTAGACTTGGCAAAATGATAGAACTCAGAAGTAGCAGAGGGCTTGAGAGTGGTTCCAAGAACATAAGATGAAACTTAACCTGCCCATTCTTATCAAGGGTTTGAAAAATGGCATGCTTGATGAGGTGAATTCCCTTCTGAACAGTCAATCGAGTGATGATCCCTACCATGGGGTAGTCAGATTTCCTCAGGCCAAGCCTCTGCTGCAAGGCCTCCTTTGCGGCCCTCTTACCTTCCACAACATTTTCTGCTGTATAAGGTACCTGGGATGACAGATATAGAACTGACTTTTCAGTCATCTAGAACAGAAAATCTATCCACGATGTAGCCCCACTAAATCCTATCACCTAGTCTGAAGAGAATAACGCTTAGAGAAATAAATTCATAAAAGAATGAGGTCTTGTTCGCAGAAAGCCACAGATAGAACAAACAGTTCAATAGTAATGGGCAAATAATGTCAAAAGTATATTATACACACTGATAGGAAAGGTCCATGGTTATGTTAGGTCTAATTCAAAGTGATACAAAAAACTGAGAAATAGCAATGCAAAGAAGACAGTAGGAATAGAAAAATTGTATATCAGAATTTAATCTTAAAATTCTGACGAGAGCACTCAGAAAAAAATCATACGCTATCAACATAAAATCATTCTAAACATGTGCACTTTTCTTTATCGTTAACATAAGGAAAGATGAGTACTGTTAAAGATTATTCACAACAAAGTATATTCTCAGGTAAGATACTCAGGTATTGCAAGATTGGACTTTTTTATATCCTGTGGCCAGTGATCATGGTTCTAAGAATAGTATTGCGATTTTTTTTTCAGAAATAAGCCTATCATTAAAGATGGGTTTACTTCACTTACCATCAATTGGTTTCAAGTTCGATGGCTCAATAACTCAACTACGAAATCAAAGCCAACTTCACTCTTGACATGAAGGCATGCATGTGATCAAAAAAAGAATTATTACATGAAGGCATGCATGTAACTATTACAGAAATAAACCAATGATTTTAAAGGTGGGTACCTACTCATCATCCACTGGAAACGACATTTCCAGAGCTCTTATTGACAACCAAGAAAGAGATTACTAAAAATTCTAACAAAATTTCAGAACATACAAGGCAGGATTAAGATGGTCATACCGTATGCATGAAACTGAAGAGACTGAAGGATTAAGAATTCGAAAAACATTGTGTTCTATTTTGTTCCTTTTATTTATCTACTACGTTGAAGATGATAAGCGGATTTATTTTTTTTTGCTTTTCCGGTCTTCCTTCAGTGGTTGTGTCGTTTCTATTTTTTTCCTTGTCCTCTATTTTGGCATTCTTTTATGATGGCATGACACCTTGAAAAATTACTGCAATCCTTTCTTAACGCAACAAAAAATTTGAACTACAAGATTCACAAATAAGATGGAAATTTTCATCTATATTCTTAGCAAGAAAATATCGGAATTTATTATTTCTTCAGTCTCTTGGACGTAGTACCAATGGTATTTGGAAAATAAAGATGTTATTAAAGGCTATGCAGTACATCTATTTGCAGCTGAATCACAGTTTGTTAAAAACGTTGTTGGTAACACATCTGCTAATCAGACAAGTGCCACAACAGGAATGCACAGTAGCAAGTCTCTATGCAAGCAATATCCATATGCATCTGCCCAAGGCTTCTGAAGCAGAAACAAACCAAATACAGATCGATGTAAATAATTGATCAATTCGATGACTTCGAATTTCAGCTACGCAGCCATCATTTATTTGTTAAATTGAGACCACAATCAACGAGAAAGAAAAACTATGAAGATCATCAATAACACTGCTCTAGAAAGAGAAGTTCTGAGATAAAACTACAATATTAGACTATACTAAGTCTATTGTAATACCGAATAGCTAAAATATTGGCAGTCTCAGCATGCATGTTGATAAAATAAATGAGAACACAGAAAGACTCGTTGCATGATTTGAACTACATACAGGGATGAAGTTGTCATTGTATGGATCCCAAATATCAGGATCAATCCCGTTTAGAATTCCATGGAACTTATGAAGATGTGGGGCTATAACTGGATTTCCAGAAACCTCTCTTGAGTAGGTATGAGAAACCTACAAAAAAAGGGGATATTAGATATAAGATAAAACTTTGAATATAATACTGGTTCTGTAAAGTCGAAGGGGAAAACTAACAGTAGTGGCTTTGTCAGCATGTTCCATTGCTTTTCCAATGAACTGCCCCCCAAACTCAAGATTATGAATCGTGAAAACAATCCGTGCAGAACCCAATCCATAATGCCTATAATGCTCTTTAAATAGCCACGCAACAGGGGCACTTGACCAATCATGGCAATGTAATATGTCCTGTTCACAGAAATGTAAGCAAGAGATCTTCAGAGCATTGCAATGGTGAGCAAATGATGGAAGCTGAGAAATTGATATTCCAAACCTGGTGGAAAGATATATTGTCTACATTCTTTTTCTCTCCGCTCATTATATTCTTCTCTTCTAAAAAGTTATCACCGTCAACAGAAAAAGCACAGTCCAGGAGGGGGAGATGAAGCAATAACATGAATTACTGTACATAGAAAATATTCACATCCACAGACGGTAATGCTTCAGATTTTTTTGGAATTCGATCATAGCACAACAAGCTATGATTTTGACGGGTGAACACTTGCATGAATAAGTATAATGCACACTGTTGGTTCAACAAGGGTAAACAACTTTTGATATATGTATATATTAGATTCATACTATATGAAAAAATAAAAATACATTACACGCTAGATAATGCTTAATATTGAACTAAATGCATTACAACAATGTAGTATACAACAAATAATCTATAATGCACATCAGCAGAACATGGATTCACATTCGGAGGAAAAACATCTTTAACCATTTAAAAGCACACAAATGCAAACTGCCATAAGTGATCGCAATTGCACAAATGGTATCATAGCCTCTTCTTACATTTTGGTAATCAAAAAGGAGAAAAATAATGGACTCTGAGAGGAGGAAAATTACATGAAGATGCACATGTGGAAGCGACATGTGAGAAAAATGAAAAACAAATTGGAAAAACAACAGAGGATGTAGTGAGCAGTCAACAACTTTCCTAAGTTATCCACCAGGTCTGAGCTGGATGAAAACATATTGACGGTCAACCCATACATGACCCGGAGCTCTTCCATTAGCGTAAATCGTATCCTCCTCATAGCTCTAGGCCACCACTCCAAACCGCCATCATATGTTAAATAAGCAACTTTCCTACTCAAACTACTTCCAACATTTTGGGATTACATACCATTTTCAGGACAAAGCACATCTTCATTTCTGGTTATCTACCAGAGAAAAACTATCATAAAAAATGTTGTTCATGTCCGTCATTAACATCAATTAATGAAAACCGTTTGAAAAAAAAGATAATGACAAAATAATGCGTCAAACTTACAGGATGTGATCCTCTCTGGAGGAGGAATTCGAGTGCAGCATGACAGAAGAAACCAAATCTTTCTGCATCGTTCCTCCCTCCATATATGCACCCAGTCCAAAACATGCTGCATGGAATGAAATCACAAAATATACATTGACAAGAAATCAAAGACGAAGATATTCACAGGGAAGCACAAAGTACTCGCAATACAGAGCATCTGACAAAGCTTGACCCAAAGGTTTCACAGAAACCCGATAAGGTTTCTTCATTTCCTCTTTAGTATCTAGCCATGGATAAATTCAACATTAGAGTTCAATCAAGAGAACTGTAAAGCATCTAGTGGTGAATGCCAGGCAAATGTCTATTTCAGTTCCTCGAAGTGTTAACTGTGTCTCTGATAATTTATTAAGCATTCGGGCCTTTTGATGAAGGTGGGAAACTTTTCGCTGTTGACATAAGTACAGAGCACAACAGATTGGATAGCTTAGAGCGGCCAGCCCGTGCTTGGAATTCAAACCACCACAGAAACAATCAATGTAGCCCAAATATACTAAGTCCATAGTGCCACATGTACTGAATGTAAAAAAGGGGAGCACAAGATCATATGATCAATTAACTCCTAAAAAGACAGCCCATACAACATTTTGCCATTTTACACAATACCACTTTAGTAACCCAAAGCGCTCAAGATTGAGGGGTAAATCCCTTCCTTATTTCAATATCCTAACGCACAGCTTCAATTTAAAGCGTACACAACTGACCGCCCTCTCTACCAAATAAATCTGGTGTATAAGTATCTACCTCTTCCAATCATTCCAAACGACCCAGAGTCTCGAGTAGGACTAGACTATACAATCATTTTTTCTATTATCCATGAGTATCCACTGGCGATCCCAGCTCCTCAATCACTTCTTGGACAATCGACCAAATAATTACATCAGAAGATATAAATTTGACTAAAGATGGCAAGGACACCAATTATTCCGGGCGATTCCCTTTGGGTATGGTTGTGTTACAATCAGTCAATTTTCTATCACCATGTAAATCTTATATCCGCTGCAGGCCACTTGTCTCATCAACAAAACCTTCATAGTATGAAGGATTATCTTCTCTATCCCTTCCACGAGCCATTTGGCCTTTTTATAACCTAAGGATTATAGGCAAACTGTCCTCAAAAACTTTAAGCAACATTTGGATCTCCTGAGTACACAACCCCTTATCTTCTCTTCTCTTCTACCATGGTAACAAAGTAATGTCATCATCATACTTGGTACACAGAAGAAACTTCTCCCCTTTCCCCTAGCCTCCATTTCTCAACTACCACAAGAATCATGTTCTCGCTTGTGGCTCTTTCCTGTAGCCCATCCCTGCCTGAATGCCTTAGTATTATGCCATCGACTAGAATTCCCATAAGTGGAAATCAGTCTAGAAAATCAAAGTTAAATTAAAATTGGTACAGGAACTTTGTACAAAATTTTCTTTTTGCAAGATGTCTTTCTGGCAAAAGAAGATGATTAACATCTAGTAGATAAGTCTGTATGAGAGGTAAAACGCGGAACAGAAGCAAAAAGCACCCAGGAAAAAAATCCATAAAAAAATGTAAACCGCCATTACCAGCAGCTTTATGGCTTGAATTGTCAGATCATTCATGTTTAGTGTGTATACAAAAATGAGAAAACCATATGCAAGGAATAGAAGGTGTACTCATATGAAGGTTTTATTACCTGTTCTGTGGCTCCAGAAAGTAGACAGAAAGTCCTTCAACTTTTCCGAACCACATTTTTATTTCCGTTCCCCCCCATGCAAAGCTTCGACTGAACTGAAAATCTTTCACCTGCATCTCAGGCAAGAGCACATTACTTCCGTTACAACAACATGACACAGAAACGAAAGCTACACAAAAATTAATCGAGTAATGTGACAGTATCGTTGAGGACAAGGACAATAGTATCAGTAAAAATGACCAGCATTCACACCAGGTACAGGATAAAACTAACGTATCTTTTACCAGAAACTACTGGGCTTCTATAACCTGTGTCCATAAACTTTCACTTGCTTACCATTAGCAATTAAGATACGAATATTGTTCTAAAACTTGGAGGTTTCTCAAAACTGATAAAATTAAAGATGATGCAAAAGAAGAATAGATAGAGAGATTCGAGAGAATGAGGGAGAGAGGGAAATTTCGTCGAAAAAATAATCTATGAGAAAAGTGCTGCCGGATCAGCCAATTTCAAAGAAACTGATTCCTGACCGGCGTGAGAAAGTTTGACAACATTTGTCTAAAAAATTTCAATGTTCACTGTGCTTGATGATGCAAGTGGAGGAAAAATGCAGCACTTAGACACCATAAGGAAAATAGAGGAAGGAGAACCATAGAAGGATCCAATGTCCTTTCCTCATCCACCACCTCTACTAACCCTGCATCCAACCCTGAGAAAACAACTAATGTCAAACATCTAGAAAAGTGATGGATTGAGTGGAAATTCAGAAATTATTATATTTTTGACCTCTTACGAAAATATGTTCATACAATTATCATCCATTCTCTCTTGGTTCACCTTACTCGATCAATTATCATTTTTTCAAGCGGAGAGTTCATAGTGCTTAATCTAACAGAAAAACTCAGAAAATTTTCCACTGCATTTACATCACAAAGATGCATCACGTCAAGATCAAACCCTTCTGATCTGGGAGCCGGGTCTGAATCCGTACTCTATTGCAAATTCCTGTATCTTTCCTCTCATTTGACTCGTAAGGGGAACTGCCGATTCCTATGTCTTTCTCTTGAAACAGGATTGGATACTAGTAATTTGACCCACTTACTGAGCACACAAGAAAGGATCAACCAAGCAGCCCATGCAAAATTTCACTTCTCGCACTCAGTCTTGATGCTACAGAATCCTAGACATACAGCAGATGATACTAGAAGAGTTTACTAAACAGTATTTCTCAAATATTTCCAGAAAATATTATGTCAGACCATTGAGGTTATGTTAGGAGAGAATTCATCACCAAACAGAACTAGAATCCAATCATCAGTGAAGGGCCACGAGAAAATACTTTTTGAGGAAGATTATTATTTGGTTCTTATGGATAATGAATCATTAAGGAATATCTTCAAATCTTATTATCATTCCCCTGAATAAAACAGTTCATTTAGATAAGAACAATAAGCACTGGAATAAGTAGAAATATCCTCATAACATAAAACTAGGCTGTAACCAATTCAAGATCTTTGATAGAGACGTCTACAAAAAAATTCCAGAAACTTACATTACTAAGGTTCATGCAGTCATATTTTGGAAGGATAATTTCAACATTGTGCCCAAGATCCTGAACAGCACGTGAAAGACTGGTGACAACATCACCAAGCCCTCCCACCTGCAGTACAATAATCATATGAGAAATAAATCACGAGGCTAAAGCTCTGCAGAGTTTCTTCATAAAGTACCACATAGAGCAGTCTAACAGTGCAGAGTCTAGAGCTTATTCGCTAGGGAAAACCAATTATAGCTATACAGGAAACATTCAAGCTAACCTTGGCGATAGGTGCCATTTCGACAGCAATATGTACAATATGCATTGGAGGCTCCTTATGAAGGCCTCCAGTTACAGGAATGTGATAGTCCATTTGGTTTCTGTTATCAAATGTTCCACCATCTTCTCTATCGGAGAATACAAAGTCCATCATATATGCATCCAATGGAACCTTAACTACAAAAGAAACGCAAGTACCATTAGTCGGAGTAAAGTACATAAAAAAGTGGATGTGAAGGAGATGAGTAATAAAGTATGGAACAGTGAAAGACTATCATCAATAAGAAAACTCCTCGGGTCGAAAAAAAAGGCCATTCAGCACATAAAATTCTCAAACGTAGCATGAAAATAGTCAGAAGAACAATAGAACGCTCTAACTTCACTGAAAGACTTTACTAGCAGACTTTTGGTGATGGAGAGGGACGTAGAGGACAGGGAACGGGGGATAAATGTCAGAAGTGAGATACACAAAGAACTTCAAAGATGAAATCATCTACATAACACCCATCTCAAGGGATGAAGTCATAGCATTCACCCAAGTTCCAGTAATAGGCATGGCTTGAAACAATACATGGCGAGCTTATGTCAGTCTGCTGGTGTATCTGGACAGATCACTGTCTTCCACTTGCTGGGTTCAAGGTCAGAGTAACAATGTGAAAACATCACCCTGATAAGTCTGTACTGTCAACGTATTGGTTCACGTAGGAGAGTGCAGAAAGACAACTCATCTACTGGCATAAAGCTGATCATATATTTTAAGATCTAACTTCAGATATCTCCATTAAAAATGATACAGTGATGTAGACATACCAGTTGCTTGGACATGTGAACCGTGTTCTGATGAAGCCATTCTCTGAGGAGGTAAAGGACCAGCATGATGAGTCCAACGGTTAAATGAGCATCTGAGCCAAATATCATGTCTCCCATTCAAGACAGTATTGGAAGGGTTGTAAAAAACTGTAACTTCTCTCCCTGCTTGCACTTCAAGCGGCTCTGTATAAACTATATGCTTTTGTGATAATAGAAAACTTTTCATGGTTTTCGCCTTTGTTTCAGCTTTCAAGGACAAAGCTTTTTCAGCCTGTTTCAACGTGAATCCTCATGAGACGAAGAAACCAGCAGTTTAGGTGTTGCATGATGCAGAAAATTCAGACAAGAGATAAAACAGATAATTACAAATGTTTTGTAAGACTCGTAAAACCAATAAATGTTATAAGAAAAGACAACTTCCTGTGACTTCAGGGAAGATAAGCCAATATCGTCACACCCATACTGACCTTACTCTTAGCCGCCTCCACTTTTAATTTCCTTTCCTCTTGAATCTTGTCGTATATATACTCTTCCTCATCAGCCCAGAATATTTCTTCAGAGATACAATTTGGAACAACTGCATGGAAGTCCTGGTTGTTATTGTTATCATATATCCTAGCATTCTTCGGGGGTCCATCAGCAAATACCCAATCCATTACAAGAGCTCTGTCAGGAACAATAACTACACAGAACAAGTGTATTAGGAATCTAGAGATGGTAAAACTAGCCAATCTTACTTTGAGGCAACTGAAGTAGAAAATAGATATCAGAAAACTTGATAACAATCTCAAAACCTCAAACTTTAATAAAAGTTAAATGTAGACCCAATAATATTTTCCAGACGTTTGGCTCTTAACTTAGAATATCATATTAATGTAGACATTTCCTTACTATCATAGCTTTGTGAAGCTACTCTGACTTTTACTGTCAAGTAAATAAGCTCTCATCGGATGGTCCAGTGATTTTTGCTTCCCTATCTTTGCCTGGGTACAGGCAGAGATAATCTATAGATCAGTAATGTTCTCAATGGCGTCTTTAGAGACCAAGTGCAAATGGTATAAATAATAGTGTTACCAAAAATTTGTATCCTTGTTAAAAGGGTATGCAAAGTTAGCACACCGAACTAGAATTATCTCGAATCTGATAAGACGAGCATGCATATAACTGTTTATAAAATATTAGCTTGGGTTCTTTCTTGGCAAATGACTACGACCAAGTATAGAAAAAAAATATTTTCATTGTGACATATCTGTGGTGGTTTCTATCTCATGGCACAGTGGATCAGAAAAACGAGCTCTAATCTTGGATTATTCCAGGTTTCGTTTCTGAACTGACTGAACTAAGAGAAAAAAATTGAGCAACGCCAGAACGAATTTTCTAGGTTTTCATGCCAAAACGATGACCATTAACAGACCTCCATTTTGCTAATCACCTAAATCTCCTTTTAAAGGGTATTTAATGTGAATCCCTTACCCGGAACAGGTATCTCCTCGTATGAGGATATTTTTCATTATGAAAGCACACAAAAAGTTTTTTCAAAGTATAAAATGAATCGTTTAAACTAAAAAATGAATCCCCACCCATGCTATGGCCTCTACACCTATCATTTGCGTTAAGCGAACGTTTGCTGAACTTTTTTCCACAAATTAAAACCTTTTCACTCGTCTAAAGAGTTTTTTTCTTTAACCATAGCTGTAGGGGCCATGATCAAATTTACTTCAAGAAATAAGGAAAAGAAAGAAAGCAATGGCGTAATCTTTAACAAGGATATGCTTTCAGTTTTCACTGTTCTAAACATAAGACTGACTTTATATTAACGCATACCATCAGCATACCACCAATCACCATCCTTTTTATCAGAACGGGAAAGCCTTTCAGAAATAGAGGGACCATCCGTCCATTTATTATAACCTCCATGCAACCAAATCTCAGTAGCATGAGCAAGTGGGCGGGAGCTTCTGTTGTAGAAAATTCGAACCATGTCCTTTTCTTTGAATACAGTCGGTTCTATGTGCCATAAACTTTCAACGGACGGAACAGCCTGTCTTATAAGATGGTATAGAGCTTGTCGCCTTTTTTCAACCTCAATCCTTGCCTGTGCTCGGTCGGCTTCTCTTCCTGCTCTTTCTTCTTCTTCTCGGCGTTGCTCTTCAGCCTGACGTTCTCTCTCAGCTTGTTCTTCTGCAAGTTTCTGAAGTTCCCTTCGTTTCTCTTCAACCAAAAACTCTTCAAATGCAGATGCATTCATTTCACCCTCTATGTCAATATGAAAATCCTTGAAGTCATTATTCTCATATATACTCCCACCATTGAAGAACACAAAATCCATCTTGTATGCCTCTTTAGGAACATGAATTTGGCAAGACCACCAATCTCCATGAAGGTCGGTCTTGTGCAGTTTCTCAGTAAAAGACTTCCATTTCCAATCATTGAAAGCTCCCTTAATAGAAATATCTGATTCATTTACAAGGGCAGATATGCTTCGGTTAAGAAAAATTTGACAAGGCTGATCAACTTTCATCACTTGTGGATAAAAAAAGATCTTCTTCCCACTGGAAACGTTTTCCTCAGCAATTTTATTTAGAATTTGTTTCTGTATTTCTGGGTCCACCTCATCCTCTGGTTTTACCTCAACAACCGTTTCTTCTTCAACACTTAAATCTACAACGTTCTCTATGTGACCAGTCATCCTTTCTTCCTCTGACGACCTATCAACAACCTGCTCTTCATCCAAAGTTTTATTTAGAATCTGTTTGTGTATTTCTGGGTCCACCTCAATCTCTGGTTTTGCCTCAACAACTGTTTCTTCTTCGACACTTAAATCTATAACGTTTTCTACGTGACCAGTCGTCCTTTCTTCCTCTGATGACTCCTCGACAACTTTCTCTTCATCCACACCATTATCTTTAAGGCCTTTCATGTCCCCTAGAATATTTTCCGTCTGATCCTCAACATCGAACACCGTTTGTTGTAATGATTCTGTCTTTCCCGTTTCACTGGAGATAATTGACATTGAATCCTCTTCTTCTACCGGTGATACTTCCCGTCCAATTCCGTCATGATTACTTACTTTGTCCCCCTTTTCATCTACCATGTTGTCTGTCCTGGCAATGTTTTCATCCTCCTTCTCAACAATTTTATCACCCTCCAACTCATCAGTATCAATCCGATTGGAAATTTTAGTGGGATTTGAGGATAATACCTTCCCTTCTACAGATTCAGTGCCTTCAATTTCTTCCTCCAAATCATCTGTGTTCTTTTGCGTGGGAACAAATGAGCTGACTGTGACACTCTTTGTCTCCAGAATAGTTTTTTCACTAGATCTAGAAACCATGTCGCCATCTTCTATTGCTTCCTGGTCCTTTTTCTGTGTGCTCGTCCCAATTTGTTGTCCTGGAGAAAATCCTCTGGGGGTGGAACGGTTGGTCTTTGGGATCAAACTCCTCCTTGAACGCCGCCTCGGGTAGTCTGCAAGTAATCTGTTGTGAAGGGACCAGGATTGGCACAATTTTTTATACCATGCCACCAGCGTGGGTGCTCACCTGAGCTTGCTGTCATGCGAGGTAGAGCTCTCATTTGGGGGATTTGTCTACAACATGTGGGAGACTGGAACACAGAGATGAAAACAGAAGAGAAGGAACACATTCAAAATATCACCCTTGACATCAAGGCCATCAAGGTCAATTCAAAGAAATATCTTAAAAATCTTTACTTCAATTCATTAAAATAATTTACGATGCATAAGCACGTAGATCATTCCCAGAAATAGGAGCGCCAAACAGTAATGGTGGCATGGCGTTCTTCCATCACGGTCAGAAAAAATGGAGATGCTAAAGATTCTGTCTCTACTAATCAACTGAAAGCGAAGAGAATTCATGATCATATCTCAAGCACCAGAAATGTATAAATTACCTCTCGCATTTAGAAGAACTATCCCAGAAGAAAGAGGACGCTGAAAGATGTAGGACTCGATCAAACACACACAGAGATACAAAGCGACAGCAGCTCTCGCTCATTTCTGACAAACAAATCAAGAAAAATCTGCGAAAAAGGTTTTCCACCACAACCACAACCAATATGGCAACAAAAGCTGTCCATTAAATATTAAAATTTTGCACCATCTGCTCACCAGAAATCTGTAAAAATAAGAAAATATGCTTCACGTCCGTAGAAAATAGAAATAAGAACGAAAAGCAAAGTGCCCCAGTGAAGTGAAGGAGACGGGCAGGAGAATTTCATAGCATCAGAATTTTTCTACAGCTCACGTAAAAAAAATGCATAATAGCAATAAAGTCGAAAAGCAAAGTCCCCAGTGAAGAACTGAAGGAGACGGGCAGGAGAATTTCATAGGATCAGAATTTGTCTACAGCTTACGTAAAAAGTAGTCATTATAGCGATAAAAGAACGAAAAAAAAAGTCCCCACTGAAGAACTGAAGGAGACGGGCAGGAGAATTTCATAACGTCAGAATTTATCCACAGCTTACGTAAAAAATAGCCATTAAAGCGATAAAAAAAAGGAAAAGCAAAGTCTCCAGTGAAGAACAGAGGGAGACGGGGAGGAGAATTTCATAGCATCAGAATTTATCTACAGCTTACTTGAGACGACAGATTCACAATGGGCCTGATCCTGAATCCTCCAGGGAGTACCTCCCTGCAGTCCACAGGGCCCCTGGCATGGAGAGTAATCTCCATTTCCTCTGCTCCTGTTGCTGCAGCTGCAGATGTCTGCAGAGATCACCCTTCCCCGGACAATCTTGTTCCCCCAATGAGCCCACACCCCCCCCCCTCCCCGCTTTCCACTCACCCACAAACAACAATCACTTCCGTACCCAGTTACAGCGAAATACAGCAGGAGATAAACCAGAGACGTTCAGAGGTAAAAGCCATCCCAAGAAGAAGCGTCTAACAGCAGAGCCCCAATTCCAACCCACCCCATCAGCCCTCCTCCTAATTACCCTTCCTCTCTCCCTTATCACCCTCCTCCTCTACTCATCGTCCTCTACCCTCCAAAACCCTGCACGATCCTCCAAAAACAGACCAAAATCAACGGTCGATCCTTCTCCCCGGCCAAACCAGAGGGCCCCCCACCACCTTCTTCTTCGCCGACTCCGGCGACGTCACGTTGTAGGCCCCTCCCGACTGGTTCGACGGCGGTGCTTCCTCCGCCGAATATTCCGGAGAGAGAGAAGAAGAGAGAGAGGGGGCCCAGATGGCCCCACAGGAGCAGCGACCCTTAGCGCTTACCCATGATCGATCTGTGATCGACGCCGCAGTGGATGAAAGCAGAGCCGGACATGTGGTGGTGGCGCTCGTTACCGCATCCACGTCGGCGGGGGAGGTGGATTCTGGCCACACGTCGAGATGCTGCGGCAGAGTCTCATGTGATAAGCTAAGCTCACTGCCACATTTTGGTCTTTATGAAAACTCCCTTAAATATGAAAATATTGTTTTCATACCCTTTTTCGAACTGTCATGTGAATAACTTTCGTGTTTTATTTTCTTGAAACCCCTCACCAATTTTTGAATTAAGGAAATCCCAAGTTGTTTTAATTTTATTTTGTTAATAGCATCTCTCAAATCATTGACTTACGGGAAAGAGTGTAAAATTCTTAGAACTGTCATTATATTTGTTGTTGATCGTTAATGACCCTTGTAAATTGACACCTATAATTAGTCAACTATTTCCTTTATATATTGATAGTTGTTCAAATACTAATGTTATCTCTCCAGTTGACCCTTAATGTGTAAATTGATCATACAATTAGTCAACTACTTCCTTTATCAATTGACCATTGTTCAAATAATGATGTTATCTCTCTATTTGACCCTTAATGACCCTTGTAAATTGATCCTAAAATTAATAAACTATTTCCTTCATCAATTGACCATTGTTCAAAGAATGATGTTATCTCTCCAATTGACCCCTAATGACCCTTGTAAACTGATCCTAAAATTAGTCAACTATTTCCTTCATCAATTGACCATTATTCAAATAATGATGTTATCTCTCTATTTGACCCTTAATGACCCTAGTAAATTGACACCTATAATTAGTCAACTATTTCCCTTGTAAATTAATCTTCAATCAGACTATTATAATTGCTCCAATTGACCCCTAATGACCCGTGTAAATTGACCCCTAAAATTAATTAATTATTTCCCTTGTAAATTGACTCTTGTTCAAACAATGCTATTATATCTCTAGTTGACCCTTAATGACCCTTGTAAATTGATCCATAGAATTAGTCAATTATTTTCCTTGTAAATTGACCATCAATCAAACAACACTATCATATCTCAATTGACCCTTAATGATCCTCCTAAATTGACACTTATATTAGTCAACTATTTCCTTTGTAAATTGACCCTTTTTCAAACAATGTTATTATCTCTCTAATTGACCCTTAATGGCCCTCAAAATTGACCCTAGAATTAGTCAACTATTTCTTCATATATCGACACTCAATCAAACAATGGTATTATCTCACCAACTGACCCTCATTCATAGAATAATAATGATCATGCTAATGATTGATTGAACAATCAAGCCTAAAGATCACTATTTTTCAACCTAATTTAGATTAATAAAGAGAGCCCTACAAACACTACAATCTCAGCCTCCAATGGTTGTTGCTGTTGCTTGACCCAAGGAAAGATAACCCTCAATCTATTTGTCATCACCTCTAGAGTCAAACCCACCAATTTTAAAGCAAACAAGATATAACGCAACTAATGCTGGGTCAACTGGGCAGGTCAACTATGGCACCCATTGAGCACCAGTCAAAGCCCTTGTTTGACTTGAAAATCCTGACATTTTTATGCAAAAGTATCATACTTACCATAATCCTCATCTATATAACACATAATTTATACCATTTTTGAATAAATTTGATGTTGAAAGATGGTCTAGATGCTATGGCCACACCCTTTCCTCATATGGTTAGGTCAACGGGTGCCTTTTTGAAAGCCCAAGCTTGGTGTAAAACAACATCTCCTAAAGCCAGATGCAGCCCCAAAGAAAAAGGCCACAAAATAAGTACAAGGCCCCCGCTACTATGAAGCCCAAATTAGGCTAAGCCCAACCCAGAATCGGGATGGTGGGGGGGGGGCCTCCCACAGGAGTGGGGCACACGTAGGCAACTGTGTCAGGGAAGGGAGGATGAGGTGGCACCTGCCACGTGGATATTCGAGCCAGCAGATATTGAATAAAGCCCATATTTTTTAGTGGCCTGACTTTGAGGCCCAATTCCAGAAAAAGATATCCCGGTGGGCCTGGACTTGAGGGAGGAATGGTGAGTTGACACACAGGACAAGGGGGTGTGGACCCAGTGATGTACCAGATCTTGGCCTCAGACCCTCTTCAAGAACCATTTTTTTTATGGGCTGGGTTTTCAGCCCAAGCCCGAAAAAAGATCCTGGTGGGTCCCTGTTTGACCATTTACATCACCCAGAAGCTCATGGATTTGACCACACCTCAAGAAACCGACGTTAAATCCAATAACATACCTGACAATAGAGACAGAAAGGCTCTTGCACAGGGCAAAGTTTAAGATGGTTGACTTTTATACGACCCTTTTTCGATAACACATTGGGGGGGGGGGGAGGGGAGGTCAGCAGACATATAGGTCAACACCACGGTTTTGACTTCTCTGTTTGCAGAGGTCAACCCTTCTTGCTTGGTAGAAGTCAACACTTGGCTGTCAACTGGACCCCGCTGATACTTCCATGCCCTTTGAGGAAGTCAAACCTCCAGAAATGACCAAAGCTGCGTGGAAGAAAGGGGATCTTCTGCACAAGATATCAGAGAGAAACAGCGGTCAGGACAAGGCAATTAAGAAGAGCGAGAGAGAGAGAGAAGTTTCAGATGAATTTTCAACACGGTATTGGGCCGGGCCGGGCCATTCACCATCGGCCCAATATAAGGCAGACCCTTGGGTCGGCTTAGAGCCCCACAAGTCCAAGTTGAATCATTTAATTCCTCAGCAATTCCCTATGTTCAGGGCAAATACCACCTCAAAATCATCTGAGCTACTCACTTCCGCTCACAACCAACCGATCCAAATCGGACCCGTCTGATTCCCCCCGATTTCACTATGATTGTGGGCCCTGATTCTACCCCAAAACCAGATCAAAGATCACTAATTCTATGAATACCTCTCATTTGGTGGGTTGACTTTGGGGGGCTACAACGCCAGCAGCTGGGACTTGTTGTCTATGCCGTTGAAGATGAAAGTGCCCGACATGGGCACAAACTGCCGGGTGATGAGCTGCAAAAGTCCACGAGATCAATCACAACATCACATAAAAAAAAAAATTACCCACATAAAAATTGCTATGCGGGCAGTTTATGATCACATAGAAAAAAAATTACCCACATATATTTACGCATAGTATATGTACCTAAGCATGAAAGGGAGAAAGCTTAAGATGAGAATGAGATAGAACCTTGATGACTTCCTGAGAGGCAACGCCGCCCACATATGCGGCGACGGCGTGGATCTCTGCTGCGCCAAATCGGCACATCTCAGTGATCAGATCCTCCTGGAGGGCTGACGCGTGGCAGCCTACCTCAGTCAATATGGCGATGGCGATGGCCTTTAGACGGGCAACATCCTCGTCCATGTCGCTGTTGCAGACACTATAGCTAAATTAAGCAACTCAGCAGGATGGATCAGAAAGGAGGGTGAGAATAGTGGGGGTGGGAAGGGGGAGTGAAGGGCATTTGTCGGCATACCTATCGAAGACCCCCGGGAATCTGTTGTAGTTGGCAGCGAACCGGTCGACGGCTCGGAAGAGGACGTAAAATCCGGCAGCGAAGCTGAAAGAGTAAGAAACGCTTATGAAAAAACCTTGGCTTGGAGATGGTCTAGCAACTGACAGAGCCTAATTTAGAATAGAAGGAGGAGAGTATCAATAATCTGCCCCTGAAGAAAATTCCTGATTAGGGTAGGGAACAATTGATGGATATTACATAAAATTTATTGAAGATTAGTCTTGATGGTTTTCCTATTGCTCAAGTGATCTACTGGGCTTGGGAAGCATATATGAATTCCCTAAGTCAACGTCACAAACTTCTCGGAGGTTAATATTAATGGGTTCCCCTAAGATTTTATCAAATAAAATTTCTAGGAAATTACTGTCAGTGGGTTTCCAATGGCTGATCTTGCAATTGGTCCTGATAACCAGAGATGGATCCCCTATGAATTACATCATATGAAATTTCTAGGAAAACAGAGATAACAGGGTTCCTAGTTGCTGAGATGAACCCGCAATGGGGCTTGAGAAACATAGATGGTTTCCTTAAGTCTAATGGTTTCCTTGTTCCTGGAGCAAACTCCTAATCGGGTTTGGCATAGAAAGATTCATAAAGTTCATCTTACAAGCCAGACCGAGACAGAATTTAATGAATTTTACAGTCGTGCAATTTCGAATCCAGATTACTTGATTATAACTGATCATTACCAAAGGGGCTCTGTCTAGCACTGTTAATTCCATAAGAACTGAAAAGAACTTGTTACAGCCCTCCTCCACATAACCCCCCACTGTTCAGGCAAGTAACAGTACCTCTTATCATTCTTCCTTCATATTTAGTCCGATTCCATGATCATTAGCATTCAGAAACAGAAATCGAAATGACTAACCTGATATCCTCGTCTGTCAAATATTTCTGTAATTCTGGTGCAACAGGAGAA